AGAGTGAGAAGCTAAGCCTGAGTTCTCATGTTTATAGTTCAAGTCAAGGTTCCTCCCCCCCCCCCCTTATATAACAATATTTTTTATTGTTTCAACTTTACAATTTCTTTCTTACACATGGTTTCCATTGGTGCTCATATTTATACACACTTCATTTCCATGTAACATTGTTTTTATCTTGATTTTGGTTTAATTTATCCTGGAAGTTTTCTATGTTCCTGTACTTCTGTTTAACTTTTACTAGCTATACCTTCTTGATTGTAGATTTAAGCTGTATCAGTGATTTCCGACTGTTCCTGGACTTTTGTCGCCTCTGGAACTTTTGGGTCATTGTTTGGTTATCACCTTTCACTAAACCTTTTTGGATTACAGTTCCTTCTTTCTTTTTCCTGATTTTATATGCTTTTTATATGTTTCTACAATAAACTGTTTATATATCTGGACTCTTGTGTGGAGCGGTGGTCATAGGTGTTTCCAGGCCTGAAGTGCAACAGTCTAGAATTCCATTGGCCTTTTTTCACAGCTGCACCATTGTTAACTCATGCTCAGACTCCTAGATCCCTTTCACAGTCATGTTCAGCTTCTTCCTCAGAAAGGCTAGGTTTACAGACCTTTGATCATTTGGGTCACCTTTCTCAGGACACCTTCCATCTTTTCCATCTCCTTTTTGAATAGTGTTGCCCAGAACTGGACATAGGTTGATTCCAATCGAGGTTTGACCATAGCAGAAGGAAGATGGGGTTATTATTTCCCTGAATTGAGACACTATATTTCAATCAATCTGTGTTCACAAAAGATGCTCAAAGGGCCATTCAATTTTAGGGACTCCCTTACTCCACAAAACAAAGACATTGAAACTTGGCACATTGTGGCCCAGCATTTAGGAGCAGCCTCTCTGCTTCCATACAGTCATGGATCTCCGTACCTTTAGCCATCTGTACCTTTAGCCATCTGTACCTTTTACCTTTAGCCATCTGGGTGCCGATGTAAGGAATTGTAGTCCAAGATGTTTGAGGAATAGTTAATTGAGAAGAAGCTCAACCTTGATCCAGAGAAGGACAGATGCTGCCTTTGTTGGTCTACTCTTTGAATGACAAGATGTATGAAAGATGTTTGGTTGGAGCCTAATTGGGCTGAAGACACAATTCTAAAATATTGAGGTCGGGGGAAAAAAACTACACTCAGGAACTGTAATTAAAAGTTGCTGATGACCAGTGACAATTATTAATTGTTGACGTTGTTGACTTAATTTTTTGGGGAAAGCAAAGTGTTTACATTAACAAGAGACATTGGCTCTTTAAGTTAAGGAAATGTTTACAAGGTTTTTGATGTTAAGAAGGAAGTCAACACAAGGCTTACGTTTACCAACACCAATTAAGAAGAGTCAACATCTGTCCAGGAACTGAGATGAAGCCAGGATGTTTCAGGCTGGAAAAAACATATATCATTCATTTACAACTTTGGAACAACATCAACAAGAAATATATAAGAGACCTTATTACAATCCAAAAATTGCTATATAAGAGACCTTATTACAATCCAAAATTGTGACAGATTGCTGTGCTGATCACCCGCCATGTTCTGCTCCTTGGGAAGGAGAGAGATGGTATATGTATTTGAGAGTGACAGATCTGCAATGGAAAGCAGAAGTCTGGTCACTTGCTTCTTTCTCAGGGAAAGGGAAAAGATGCCTTTGGAGAATTTTGGCGTTTTGAAGTTTTGGGAGCTGTGCATTGGTAGGCTGCAAGAAAGCGGAGTCTGGCCTAAGCAGGTGGTTCTCCAGGAAGAAGAAAAGATATGGTAATATTTGGATGAATGAAGATGAATGAATGTGTAATGTGAATGCTGAGTGAAAATGTAAATGCTCTTTCTTTGTTGATTAGCCAATGTAACTGTAGGTTGTTTGTGAATTCAATGTATTTACGTAGAATCTGTATGTCTGTATGTCTAAATGTTGTTCTGTAAAAGTTCTGATACCCTTTCTCTTACTGCAAAATTGCAATAAAAAGAACCTATGCTTTAAAGTTACTGAAAAATTATTCATAACATTTCCAGGCCTGAGTTTTTGCTCCTTCTGTATCTTTTTGTATGAGTTGTCACAACAAGAAAGAAAACGATGTGCCACAAAAGCTTGGTTGCACTGCCTCAGTTTTAAATATTTATTTTAGTGCTGTGTTACTTTTAAAGGATACGAAAGAGAAAGAGAGGAAGGCGGTTAACATGAATGGTGAGGGGAATCACTGCCCTTAGGACGATAATGAGAATCCACTTGACAAGAGAACAACGAAGACATGGGGGGAAATGGAGACTGAAGATGACACAACATAATAATAATAAAAGGAAATGGAACTTGTGATAATCATTTCACCCCAAAATAAGTTTTGGCGCAGGCAATGGTTTGGGACCAGTCTCTTCCCATTTCTTCCCATCCAGATGCTACTGGGAGCACAAATCCAATGCATGGCTGGGGATGATGGGAAATGTCGTCCAAACCCTTCAAGAGAGCACCAGGTTGGAAAAGGCTGGTTTCAGTGACAAATGCCCTTCCCTTAGACTGAGGTATTCTGGGTAAAAAGCACCAAGACCAGAAGGAGATAATGAATGAGGGAGTGAGCAGAGTGAAAGAGAGGAGGAGAGGAAAGGGGGGATTGGGAAAATCCAGTTCAAAGCAAGCCAAATAATACACACAGAGTAAGACTCACATATATTTTTACGAAACACAGAGATTCAAAAAGAACAGGCGCCAAAGCCATTTGAAATACAGTACAGCCCCGATTACATTAATATTACATTCCTTATATAGATTTTTTTTAAAAAAAACGATTATTATACTATTAATCCTCCTCTTTCTTTCTTTCTCTCTCTCTTTTTTAAACTCCAAATTTACATACAGAGTCTACATTTCTACAAAACAGAATGGGAAGGGGGGGGAAAAGCAGAACAAAACATAAAGTACCCATCCGAGGCTGACTGAGTGGAGAAGTTAACAAGGTACCTCCAAGTTGGATTTCCAGATTGATGTAGATCTCAATGAGAAGGTGTTTCTGTCCCCACTGTATAAACCAGAAGTCGGACTTGCCGAACAGGCAAAAGAGCTTGCATAGATTACAAACCCAGAATCATATGGGAGAAAAGCTAACGTGGATTGAAATCCTTGAGTTGCTGTGAGTTTTCCAGGCTGTCTGGCCAAGTCCCAGAAGCATTCTCTCCTTACGTTTTGCCCACATCTATGATAAGCATCCTCTGAGGTTGTGAGGTCTGTTGGAAACTAGGCAAGTGAGAGAAGCCCCAAGTTAAAGGCTGTTGTGTGTGAAGCTGCAGTGTGAAAGCCACTGTGTGAAGCTCCTGTGTAAGTTTAGTGTGAGAAGAGGCTCTGTGAGAGCAAAGCTTTTTACCTGCTTGAGAAAGAAGCCCAGCGTGGAAGCAAAGATGGAAGTATTCATTGCCATGAAATTGCTTGTCTTCTTCATACAAGCCGCTATTCAATGGCCAAATGCAAGGTCCCACAGCCAAGTCTTGAGTTTCCTTCTAAAGGACAGGAGGGAGGTGGCCAGTCTTTGGGGAGGGAATTCCACAGACGGGGAGCCACTGTTGAGAAGGCCTTGTCTCTTGTCTCCACCAATCGCGTTTGTGACAGTGGTGAGATTGAGAGGGCCTCTCCAGATGATCTTAAAATTTGTGATGATTTGTAGCAGGAGATACATTCGGACATGTAGTCTGGGCCAGAACCTTTTAGAGCTTTAAAGGTTAAAACTAGCACTTTGAATTGTGCTCAGAAGCAGATCGGCAGCCAGTGGAGCTGGCGTAACAGAGGAGTTGTATGTATGCCGCTCCGGTGAGCAACCTGGCTGCTGACTATTGGACCGATTGAAGCTTCTAGGTAGTCTTCAAAGGAAGCCCCACATAGAGCGCATTGTAGTAGTCTAGTTGCAATAGTATAGCCCAGTATAACCCAGTACAGACAATATTGGGGCTGAATGGCATTCTAAGCAAGTGGACTGACTTTTGAAAGGTTGAATGCCAGCAATTATGCCACATGGTCATTTAAAACATGGTCATGTTGGTCTTTATTTACTGTACTGATTTTACAGTTTTTAAATACTGGTAGATAGACCCAACAAAGGATTCCCCAGGCAGCAGCCAGCCAGGCTTTGAAGCTACAAGGCCATTAAATGCTAATCAAGGTGACCAATTGCAACATTCACGTAGACAAGAGTTCTTTCTCCCACCCTAGACATTATTCCACAGCTGGTTAATTACCAGCTGCAATAGACTTCTGCCAACCGGAAGGTGACGGGTTGGAAGCCCCAGTCAGATTGAGCACCTGACTGTTAAGCCCAGCTTACTGTCCATCCAAGCAGTTTGAAAACAGCTGAGCTGTGAGTAGAGAAATTAGGGATGGCTTAAAGAAGGGAGGTATTTTACAATACTGTAAAATGACAGCAGTCAAAGAGCAAGGAGGAAATATGATCAAATTTGACTTGGCGTGATAGTGGATGAAGCAGCAGCTCCTCCTGTGGCTGGAATCAAGCATAACCTCCAGGCACCAAAGTGGAAATACCAAAAATACCTTTATCTGTCTGTCTGTCTAGAAAACTGCATTCAATGTTTGCTGTGCATTTGTGCATTGTGATCTGCTCTGAGTCCCCTTCATGGTGAGAAGGGGGGAATATAAATACTGTAAATAAATAATAATATATAAATCTCATTTGCCTCGTTTCCAACAGACCTCACAACCTCTGAGAATGCCTGCTGTAGATGTGGGCAAAATGTCAGGAGAGCATGCTTCTAGAATATAGCCATACAGCCCAAAAAACTCATAGCAATGTAGTGATTTCGGCCATGAAAGCCTTCAACAACACATTAAATTCCTTGAGTTTACCTGTCTCCTCTCCCTGTCTTTCTTGCCTGATTGGTTCTCTTGCAGCCAAATGTGTTGGTAAGACACACAAGTAAAACACATAGGCACGTACACACACATACACACACATACACAGAGAACAGCAGAAGCATGTGTTTAGTTTTTTTTACAAGCTCTAAGAAAACTCTAAGAAAAGCTTTTACTTTTTTTGTACACAACCATGACAAAAATATAAAACGACTTGTTAACAGAAAACCTGGATTCCAAAGAACATACCAAACCACCCCCCCCCCGCCCCGCATAAAATATTTAATGCACTTTTTAAGTTAAAGATCAATTTGTCGTTGTTGCCTCGAAGATCACAACGTCCCCCACCCGATCCCCTCCCTTTCCTCTCAGCTCTGCTTCCAAAGTGGAGGATTCAGCAAAGGAGTCTGCGACGAGACACTGTAGCACCTCTTAGAACCTTAAATAGTTTTAGTCATATATAAAATAACACACTTCTTGTTCGAAAAATAACACAAAAAGCACCAGGTATTTCACAGTGAGAGGTAGAATCAAATGAAACAAACCCATCCCCTCTCTTTCATGATGTCTCTCTGATTTTTTCTTGTTCGATTTAGCACCAATCACTCCGTTCCTGTTTTGGTTCTCCCCTCCTCATAAACCTATGGAAAGGGATTTCGTTTTCCCGCAAAGGGGACGAAGGATCGCACTTGGTTTTATTTTTTGCCTTAAATAATATATATAATATATATTTATACTTTTTTTCTTTTTTCTCTAATATTGCACATCAAAATGCTTCCTGTTCCAGAACAACAAGCAAGATGAAATGAGTTGACAAAGCTGTCTTTTCCAAGACTTATTCCTATCTCATTCCACAAACCCTGCCCTGTTTTGTGTCCGCAATCCCTGGAAAGCCACATTTGGTATCGGAGGGACCAGGCAGGATTATTATTATTATTATTATTATTATTATTATTTTGCGATATCTCATCTACCATCTTCTTTGGCCGAAGGAAGATATTCCGAAAATCTTTGGATGTTGAATCCGCTCCGTTCAACTGGCCTCCGCTTCAATTTCCTGATTCATGTCATGTTTTTGCGAAAACCAACGTTCCCTTTGCTCTCTCTGTGTTGGAAGAAACAAGAGTCCAATGGACCCTGGATTCATGGTGGTTTTTCGTGGTCCAAACACGGAAGGGACAGTCCACTAGAAGCTCACTGAGCTTTGGGAGCAGATGAGCCCTTTGCTCAGCGACACCCCGTCTCCAAAACAGAGAAAGCCAACGCTTGAAGGACAACAGAGGCTGCCCTTTAGAGAAAACATACGGGTCCAACCTCAAGAAGATACTGCTGGCCAGACTCTGAGGGCAGAAGGTTGTGGACGCTGACGATGGGCAGCTGGTGCAGGTCCTGCGTCCGAAATGTAAAGAGAGCCTGGTGCCACTGTCCATCCTGAACCTGAATGCAAAGGGAAGGCGGAAGGAAGAAGGTTAGCACTTAGATGGGAGGCCACCAACCAATAATAATAATAATAATAATAATAATAATAATAATAATAATAAAAATTTATTTATACCCCACTCCATCTCCCTAAAGGGGACTGACTCAGTGCGGCTGACATGAGGCCACGCCCATCAGTACAATACACAACAATATAACACAAGAACATAATAAAACCAAAAAATAAAATACATGAAATGCAAAACAATGTAATAAGCAACACAACAATATAAAATCAGACATTAAAACAGGGCCAAATTCAGGACAAAATTTTAAAGCACTGGGAGATAGGACAATGTCAAACATCAGGAGGAGGATCCGGGATGAGAAAGGGTTTAATTGCACGAACCATAAGATAGAGGGCTATTGAGGTCATTTTGTGAAAAGTGTTTGGTCAGGGAGTATCTTACGTTCAATCACTGAAGGCGCATTGGAATAACCAGGTTTTCAGATTCCTCCTGAAGATTGCCAGCATGGGAGCTTGCCTAATATCTCTGGGGAGTAAGTTCCAGAGCCGAGGGGCCACCACAGAGAAGGTCCGCTCTCTTGTCCCCGCAAGTCACACTTGTGATGCAAGAGCGAGAGAAAAGCCTCTCCAGAAGATCGAAGAGATCATATGGGTTCGTAAATGGAAATGTGGTCGCAAAGGTAGGTGGGTCCCAGACCATTCAGGGCTTTGTAGGTCAAAACCTGTATTTTGAATTGGGCCTGGAAAATAAAAGGCAGGCAGTGGAACTCCTTAAACAGGAGGGTTGACCGCTCTCTGTAATCTGCACCAGTTAATAATCTGGCTGCTGCCTGTTAGACCAATTGGAATTTCCGGGCTGTCTTCAAGGGCAGCCCCACGTAGAGCGCCTGTAAGAATGGCCAGGTGCTGCAGGCCATTCTTTCAGAGGAAGGAACTTGGGGGTGGGGAACCACCTCCGAGGATTCCTTGCCTAAGAAAACACAATGAGATGGTGTGGCTATACAGCAGCACATGACTTGAATCATAGAATCATAGAGTTGGAAGTTGTGTATAAAGCCCTGGCCCAATTTATCTGTCCGAATGCATCTCCCGCTATTTAGTTATTTATTTATTTATTTATTTATTTATTTATTTTCCTATATTTATACCCCGCCCTTCTCATCCCCAGGGGTGCCATAGATACACAACATATATAGACAGACACACAGAGGCTATTTAACTTTCCAGCTTCATGAGGGTATGCTTTTTGAATTTCGGCCACCAGGGGAGCTGTTGCTTCACCATCCATTTGTGACAATGATGGAGTACTTCCTCATTCTTTTGAACACTACTGGAGAGTTTTATGGCATCCTAAATTAGTTAAATTCGTGAAAAGAAGGGGCCAGGGGACAGTTCCATCTTGTCTCCTGTATATGTCATCATTTTGGAACCCCTCCTCCAGCACCAACTGCCACTCTGCGTCAGAGTGAAGAGAGAGGGGGGCAGAAGACAGTTCCATCTTGTCTCCTGTGCTATGTTAATAATATAATATAATATAATATAATATAATATAATATAATATAATATAATATAATATAATATAATATAATATAATATATCAGATCTGCATATCTGGAGGAGATTGGCATAAACCGTAGGGGTGATGCAGATATTTGGGATTGTTAAATAGCTGATCTATTTTAACCTTTGTTTTAACCTTCGTTTTTAAGTTTTGTGGTTTGAAAATTTACCTTGGCATTTTAATGATATTTTTAATTATCTTTTAACTTAATCAAGTTTGAATGTATGTTAGTTCACTATTATGGGAGTCTTAGGATAGTGATTATTGTCCATTTGTGTATGTTTCTGTTTCTGTTTTTAATGTTGATACGGTCAGTGGACTAATCAATAAACTTTGCTATGTAGTCTTATATCATATATACATATAATATTTATAATATTATAATGTAATGCAATATACTACTACTACTACTACTACTACTACTACTAATAATAATAATATATTACTATTATATGTGTTTTATTACTGTGTATATGTGTTTTGCGTGTGTATATATGTGTGTGTATATGTGTGTGTGTGTATTTGTGCATATGTGTATATATATGGTAACGGCGCTCCATGCAGTCATGCCGGCCACATGACCTTGGAGGTGTCTACGGACAACGCTGGCTCTTCGGCTTAGAAATGGAGATGAGCACCACACCCCAGAGTCAGACATGACTGGACTTAATGTCAGGGGACTACCTTTACCTTTTATGGTTATGTGCATGCATTGTAATGTATTTTTTTATTTTTTGGCTTTTTAAGTCTCTTTCGCTATGTTTTCCAGTGTTTTTATGACTTATGGTCACCTGTTGGCCTGATAGGTGTACTGTGTCCAAATTTGGTGTCAATTCACCCAGTGGTTTTTGAGTTATGTTAATCCCACAAACAAACATTACATTTTTATTTATATAGATAATTATATATTTATATTGCATGTAATATTACTAATAATATTACAATATAATGGTATAATACAATATAGTAATATTTAATACTGATATTGTACTATGCTAATAAAATATTGTACGTATATTTATATCTTGTCAGCCACTCTGAGTCCCCTTCGGGGTGAGAAGGGCGGCATATAAATGTCGTAAATAAATACATTAAATTAGCCTCCCCGCATAAGCGGTACCTAAATTTCCTACTTGACAGGTGCAACTGTCTTTTGGGCTGCAAAGGTCGACAGCAAGCTAGACAAATGGTCGGGAGCTTACTCCGAACCGGGCTGGCTTTGAACTCATGACCTTTTGGTCAGTAGTGATTTTAATGCAGCTGACTCCCAACCAGCTATACACAATTCTATGATCGTATGATTCTACACCCACATTTCTGCATCATGGCTCTTGAAGAGGCTGCAGTCCCTTCTCATTGACAGAAGATGGCAATGTGGCTTTACAGAGAAAGGCACTAGGCTCAACAAAAGGGTGAAATAAGGAAGGCATTCCCAAATATACATGGAGAACATAGATAGAATTTTGTTCCAGGATGTGGGCTGCAAAGCTTGCTCCCAGGTCCTCCTAAGGCAGTTCGTGAGCTGTTCTTACCTGGCAATCGTTGGCTACGACTTCAGGCATGAGCTGTCCACCAGCTTCGAAGATCTGCCCATTCCAGGCCTTGAAACGCACAGACGTCTCGGAAGGCCCTTCCTGCCACACAGGCATGTTCAAGCAGTGAATGGTGATGTTCTGGACCACCTCGGAGCTCAGGAGGTTGAGGAAATTCATTTGCACTCTTCCGATGTCGAAGTCCAGCTGGGTGGGATTTTGGAGAGAAGGAAACCCACAATGAAGATCAGAGTCAAGCATCCAACCTCTGCCATTCAGGTGGGGAGAATGGATTATCACACAACTAGTGGTGGCTAATCACTTCATAACATTTACTAAATTCCACTGAGTGCTACACTAAAAATCTGGGAGTCATAGTTTTCCAAGCTCCATACCCTTATCTTGGTGCATTTACAGTATGGAATGAATGGCCTTGCATCCCACTTTAAATGCCACGGCTCCATGCAATGAAGTCCTCCTAAGAGTTATAGTTTCCCAAGGTCCATGCCTTTCTCTTGGTGCATTTACATTATGGAATGAATGCTCTTAGACTCCACTTTAAATACCATAGCCCCATACTATGTGGTCCTGGGAGTTATAGTTTCCCAAGGCCCATACCCTTCTCTGGATGCATCTGCACTGGAGAATAAATGCAGTCAGGACCCATTTTAAATGCCATTATTATTATTATTATTATTATTATTATTATTATTATTATTATTATTATTATTATTATTATGTCATGTCACCATGCTATGCAGTTCTGGGAGTCATAGTTTCCCAAGGTCCATACCCTTTTCTTGGTGCAATGAATGGAATGAACGCCCTTGCACCCCACTTTAAATGACATGGCTCCATGCAATGGAGTCCTCCTGGGAGTCATAGCTTCCCAAGGTCCATAGCCTTTTCTTGATGCATTTACACTATGGAATGAATGCTCTTGTATCCCACTTTAAATACCATAGCTCCATACTATGTGGTCCTGGAAGTTATAGTTTTCCACGATCCATAGCCTTTTCTTGATGCATTTACACTATGGAATGAATGCTCTTGGATCCCACTTTAAATACCATAGCTCCATACTATGTGGTCCTGGAAGTTATAGTTTCCCAAGGTCCATACCCTTCTCTGTGGGGAAGTCATAGAAGGTAGGGAAAACATCCGTTTCATTAAAAAAACAGAGTAAGACTGAGCTCTCCTTTGCTCTCCACTGCACATACTTCCCTTCCTAAAGTAACATTCCCCAGCAGCTAATCCCCAGATTGGAGTAACACATGCAGCTAGGAAGCATGTTTCCCACATGAACAGAAGTAAAGCCAGTCTTAAACATGCTTCTATCTGTTTTGTAAAATATTCAGTGGATTGCCGGTTCACTGCCTTCAAGCCAGTAGTATTTTGTACTTCGGCCCTCAGGAGCCCAACCCAGTACAGCTGAAGCTCATGGATTCTGGTTGGGAACCATTGTCCTGCATTATCATCATCACCATCACAATCATCATCATGCATTAACCAATGTGGTTTGTGAATCTGGCCTGCAACTTCGCATACCTTTGAGGCCACGATGGGGTTGAGGCAGGTCTGTCCTCCTTGGGTGAAGTTACAAGTAACCTGAATGCTGTCTGAAGTGCATCCAAGGTTAGGGTCGATCCAGTAGGTACCTAAGGAAAGAAGGCATGCATAAGGCCACTTTGTTTGTGGTGCCTTTGCTTTGTGGGATTGGTAATTCTTCACATTTCTCTCTTGCTTTTTATCAAAAACTAGCTGCCAGGCGTTGCTGTGGCCCAGTCTGGTGATCTCAAAAATAAAATAATGAGAAAGTGTTGGCTTCTACTATATGTAATTTCTTGATGCTTGTGGATGAACAGTACTTCCTATTGTTTCTTTGTCAGTGTTGACGTAGAGATTGTCTGGTTTGCCTACTCTGGACCATGGAACATATTATTGTCCTTCTGTCACAAGAAATTCAATGTGCAGATTTGAGAATATGAATTTAATATGATGTGTGGGAATGAATGGAAGGATGCATGGATGAATTTTGGAAACATCAGTAAAAGGCCAAGGCCTGCAGTGACTAACTACCTGCTTGCTGGAACTTCTAATGAGAATTGATAAGAACTGTGACAATGGTTCTTTCAAGTTAAGGAAATGTTTGCAACATTTCTTATGTTAAGAAGGAAGTCAACATAAGATCAACACCAATCAAGAAGATCAACATCTGGCCAGAAAACTGAGATGGAGCTAGGATGGAAGACGTCTATCATTAATTTACAACTTTGGGACTACATCAACAGAATATTCCTATAAAAGACTCAGTCTAATAATGCTCACATTGTGGCAGACAGAGACGCTGTTCACCCGCTATGCTCTGCTCCATGGGAAGGAGAGAGATAATATACCTATGGATAGTGGCAGATTTGCACCGGAGCAGTCTGGTCACTTTGGGGCTTCTTTCTCAAGGGAAGAGGAAGAAGTGCGCTTTTGGAGTCTTAGGTTTTGTGCAGGGAGTCAGGTTCTGCTGTATGGAAAACAGAGATCTGCCCCTTGGCATTGTTCTTAGGGAAGAAGCTTTGGCATTTCAGCATTTTGAAGTTCTGGCATTATGGAAGTTATGGAACTATCCGTTGGCAGGCTGCAGGGAAGCAGGGTCTGGCATAACAGGTGCTTCTCCAAGGAGGGAGAAAAGGATATGGTAATATCTGGATGCATGTGGATGAATGTGTGTACACGTATGTGAATGTTGAGTGAAAATGTTATTCCCCTTTGTTTGTTAACCATTCAATTACAATTACAATTACAATTACAAATTACAATTGAATTGTAAATTCAATGTAGTTGCATAGAATCTGTATGTCTGTATGTCCAATGTCATTCTTTGTCTAAATGTTTTCTGTAATCTGATATACCTTCTCACACTGGAAATTGCAATAAAAAGAACCTATGCTTCAAAGTCATTGAAAAGTCATTCATGACACTTCTTTAGGTGTCCCTTTCAAATCTATTATATTATATCTGTGTGTGTGTGAATCATATCTATATCTATGGCTGGATGGCTCTTTGTCAGGAGGGCTTTGATTACATTTTCTTGCCCTGGTGAAGGGAGATGGACTGGATGGCCTTAAGTATTTTCTGTTGGTCATGGGGGTTCTGTGTGGGAAGTTTGCCCCGATTCTGTCATTCGTGGGGTTCAGAATGCCCTTTGATTTAAGGTGAACTATAAATCCCAGTAACTACAACTCCCAAATGCCAAGGTCTATTTCCCTCAAACTTCATCTGTCTTCATATTTGGGCATATGGAATATCCATACCAAGTTTGGTCCAGATCCATCATTGTTTGAGTCCACAATGCTCTCTGGATGTAGGTGAACTACAACTCCCAAACGGAAGGTCAATGCCCACCAAACCCTTCTAGTGTTTTCTGTTGGTCATAAGTGTCCCCTGTGCCACGTTTGGTTCAATTCCATAATTGGTGGGGTTCGGAATGCTCTTTGATTGTAGGTGAAATATAAATCCCAGCAACTACAACTCCCAAATGACAAAATCAAATTTTTGACTTATGGTCACTCCTTGGGTTAGTAGGTATCTTGTGACCAAATTTGGTGGCAATTCATCCAGTTGTTTTTGAGTTATGTTAATCCCACAAACGAACTTTACATTTGTATTGATAGATAGATAGATAGATAGATAGATAGATAGATAGATAGATAGATAGATAGATAGATGGATAGCACAGGAAGGCAACTTGGTCGAGGCATCAGTATGGAATGGGAATTCTAGTTAGGCCTGAAGAATAAATGAAGTGCAGATGCAGCATGGCTTAGCCCTGCAGTGTTATTTCTCTAGCATTATCTAGGCTCAGCATTGCATATAGCAAAATCTCTTCCATTCAGTGGCAATATTTGTTCCTGGTTCAAACCCGAACTCAGGTCAAACTTCTGCCAAGATCCTATTGAGTTTGGCACAGCACAGAGCATTGTGTGTTGTCGAAGGCTTTCATGGCCGGAATCACTTGGTCGCTGTGAGTTATTCTGGACTAAAAGGCTATGTTGCAGAAGCATTCTCTCCTGACATTTTACCCACATCTATGAAAGGCATCCTCAGAGGTTCGGAGGTCTGTTGGAAACTAGGAAAATTGGGTTTATATATTTGTTGAACAATGTCCAGGGTGGGAGAAAGAACTCTTGCCTGCTTGAGGCAACTGTGAATGTTGCATTTGGCCACCTTGATTAGCACTGAATGACCCTGCAGCTTCAAGATCTGGTTGCTTACTGCCTGGGGGATCCTTTGTTAGGAGGTGTTAGTTGGCCCTGATTGTTTCATGTCAGGAATTCCCCTGCTGTTAGGAAGGCATGGTTGACAATGACATGAGCAGAACGGCTGGTGACAGGCTGACTTGGAGGTCCCTCATTCAAAGTCTTGCCATAAGTTGAAGTCAATTTGACAACAGTTAACAATCACCATTGGAAAAGCCCAATTTTTCTGTCCCAGTGAATCTGTATGACACCTACCATCCTGCATCTTCTGTTCACAGTTCATGAGGTCTCTACAGATGCGAGCAGGGTTCTCCTTTGTCCCAAGGGGTCTCTTGATGCTCTGGATGAGGGTGCTGAGGTAGTGCAGAGTCTTGAAGATCTCTTCGCCCTGGTCCAGCATCGGAAGGTCTGGCTGCTGATAGTTCTGCGCAGAAGAAAGAGCAGAGAGCAAGGAAGAGGGAGCAAGCCAAGACTGAACGTTAGTCAATTGGTCTCATTTCCTGTACGTTGGGAGACTGGTATAGGAGGCTGCAGAAATCTGATAATGTTTTATGGGGTATCCACAATGTACCTCAGACTTGAAGACAGTGCTGGCATGCCTCACTGCTTGAAAAGATGCACCAAAGTCATCTTGCTGCTGGTAAAGAGGAAGCAAACAAACACAAGACACTTGTAAGTGAGCACTAGGAGCCAAGCGTTACTCTGTAATAAAAGGAACATTCGCAATGCACAAGCTTACAGACTTTTATTGAACAAATAGTGTGTGTAGAACAAATAGTGTGTGGTATTTGAACAAAAGCCTGACTCCATTTAACATTGTATATATATAAGCTATGGTTCTGGGGGGTCATATTTAGTTATGTATATAGGACCAGGCTTTAGCACAGCAGGCTAACCACCACACGTAGTAAATCTTGACAAGCAAAGGGTTGACAGTTCAAAGCTCGGGTCAGGGTGAGCTCCTGACATTTAGCCCAGCTTCTGCCTACATACCAGTTTTGAAAAAAGCAATGTGAGTAGGTAAATAGGTATCGCTAAAGCAGGGAGGTATTTAAGGCACCCATAAGGAAATGACAGAAAATGCTGGCAATTCGATCAAGGAGGAAGTTTACAAACAAAGCTCTTTGGCAGGGAAACTGGAGTGACAGCACCCTCCTATGGCCAGAACCAAGCACAGCCTCCAAGAGGCCGAAGTTGGGAAAGTCTCTATCTATCTATGACAGTTGTCTGTCTTGTCAGTGTGTGACAGCATTGAATGTTTGCGGTATATGTGTTCTGTGATCTGCTCTGAGTCCCCTTTGGGACAGAAGGGCAGAATATAAATACTGTAAATAAATAAATAAATGGCCTAAAAACCCTACAGGCATCAGATCCTGTCTGGTCTTGGAAGCAAACCAAGATCAGTCCTGGTTGTACTTGGATGGGAGGCGGTCAATGGATACCAGGTGCTGGAGGGTCTATTTTGGAGGAACGAAATGGCCAAACCTTTTTTACTAAAGAAATCTCCATGAGATTCATGGGGTCAAAATAAGTTGGAGTCGACCTGAAGGCTCATTACAACAATATACTTGCATCCTTGCTTAGGCTACTTGGCAGATCAGATTTTTCAACCATGGGACTTTCATGTACCAACATGAAATCCTTGTCACAATGAGATGATAAAATATCTGCCATTTGTCCCTGTTTCGTCTTCCTTACAAATCTGCTCTCATGTGGTGAAACACAACTGCAAGGAACTTGCAAAATTACAAACAGAATGAAATCCTGGAGAACTTACAAATATAGCTGGGATTCCTGGAGGGCCCTACAAAGTCAAGAGAGAAGGCAATGCATCAGATATGTCAATCAAACTCTTTAGGACATAGCTCTCAATCCTTTAAAAAAATTAATTCACTGTATGGGGTCTGACCAAAGATGCAGCTGGGGGAGGATTAATTAGGCATCTGCTACTCTTATTAATTATCCTTAAGTTCCCTAAATTTCTAGCACTGCATTAACTTAAAACTTCAGCTGAATATTTAGAAATTCATTTCAGATCTCCAAAGAAAGCAGGCTGTCAGTTTCCAAGGGAATGCAGACATATGTTGTAATTCAGCCACTGATTGTGCCTAATGTCAATAAGGAAGGGGAACATGGGTTTCTGGGCCTGCTGAGCCTGCGAGCCAGCATGAGATTTTAAGTCCTGAAACTGGGCATTCTGTGTCTCCTGCAGTTACTGAAAGCGAAGGTCACATTCCAGAGAGGGGCCCAGAGAAGTCTTTCTCTAGGGAAGCAAGTTCAGAGGATGAACTGCCAGGTGAAAGGGGGAATGAGCTGATAGATAAGGAGTCTCAGCTTTCGCAAATTCCAAGCTGATTCACAGACTCAGTGAAGGTCACAGTGTTTATTAGAGAAAAAGCCGTTATCAGTTTGCCAGGGAAAGCGGAATGATTTCATGGCTTTATTAAAGAGACCAAAGGGATTTTTCAGCAGTCTGGTCAACATTGGAGTTGAATCATTATCAAGTCCCAGTTAAGCCTGCTAAGCCTGCTTGTTTTATGTTTCCAGTTGTTCAGCTTCCATGCTTCTAAGTTTAAAGGATTGTTCTTGAATTGTTTGCATTGGATTTTATGCTGCCTTGTGTATCCCAATTCTTTTGCATTCCTGTTTTTTAATGCAACTCTTGTACCTTGAATCTTATGGACTATTTCATACATTTGGACTTAGATCTTTTTATTATTTTGCTGAATTGCTTTTTATATATTTTTCAATAAACTGTTTTGCTGATTTACACTGGATTGGAATGTGGTGGTTAAATACAGAGTGTTTCCTGTTCTGGAATACAACAACACAGCGAATGTAAGAGCTCTGGGTGTAAATGACTTTCAAACTCTTCCCCCTCTCTAGGACACTAAATATTTGGGGGCTCAAGAACATTTGGTGGGGAAAATTCCTTGTAGCTATTCCTTGAGTCTCACAAATCTGTCTTGCCCCCCACATTCTCAACCTTATGCTTATCAACAAATCCGCAACCCTGTATTCCAGAGTAGCATCTCTCCCATTCCACACTCACTCAATCACTAAAATATATATTTGTATCGAGAGTCTGAACACTTCTAAAGAATACCTACCGGTGGCCCTGTGGGCCCACGTGGCCCTGGGGGACCCTGGGAAGAAAAAGATCAGGGAGGTTAACAAAGAGGGATGCTCTGGCATAGCACTGGCTTAGGTTAAAAACAAGTCAAAAACAAGAAGGAGAGAGGAAGAGAATAAATCTTTTGGTAAAATCTATTGATTTCTCCTATTGATATAATCTTAGCAATTTCTCATTTTCTTAGATTTCATTTTGTTCTTTTGCTCTTTCTTGGGTGAGCCTTTTCCAGTTTGCTTAGGGCCCGTCCAGACATTACCTTTATCCCAGAAGCTCCCACAGAAAACTGGAGGGTAGCCAAATGCCGTTCTCTGTAAACGCGGAAGCAATCACTACAAACAGCAAAAAACGCGAGATTTTCAGGGCTGGGAGTATCTCGGTTCTGAGCCGATAATCAGCATCTTTGAATGTCTGTATGTCCCTGCACTCGTAAATAACGTGATTTTTAATATGGGTCTGTTCCTGGGTTTTAGATGTCTGTTCCTGATTGCTTGGTTCCTAAGAAGAAGGTGACAGTTGAATAGAAAGCAAAAACTTTGTGTGCCAGAAACTTTACGAAACATGTGGAGGGCACATTTTCTCTGGCCAGGACAAAGTTGTGGCGTCCTAGTCAACATTGTACATCTTTTCACAACAAGAGCATTCAGGAACAGACATATATAACCAAGGAAGTACACCCTGTTTGCACGATGGCCCTGCAGCTTATAGAATCATAGAATCATAGAGTTGGAAGAGACCTCATGGGCAATCCAGTCCAACCCCCTGCCGAGAAGCAAGAATATTGCATTCAAAGCATCCCTGACGGCCATTTAGCCTCTGTTTAAAAGCCTCCAAAGAAGGAGTCTCCACCACACTCCGGGGCAGAGAGTTCCACTGCTGAGCAGCTCTCACAGTCAGGAAGTTCTTCCTCGTGTTCAGATGGAATCTCCTTTCTTGTACTTTGAAGCCATTGTTCCATGTCCTAGTCTCCAGGGAAGCAGAAAACAAATTTGCTCCCTCATCCCTGTGACTTCCTCTCACATATTTATACATGGCTATCAAGTCTCCTCTCAGCCTTCTCTTCTTCAGGCTAAACATGCCCAGCTCTTTAAGCCGCTCTTCATAGGGCTTGTTCTCCAGACCTTTGATCATTTTAGTTGCCCTCCTCTGGACACATTCCAGTTTGTCAATATCTCTCTTCGATTGTGGTGCCCAGAGTTGGACACAATATTCCAGGTGTGGTCTAATCAAGGCAGAATAGAGGGGTAGCATTACTTCCCTAGATCTAGACACTGTAACCCAGGAATGGAACTTATACAATGATTTGCATGTTCACAACTTAACTGCTGAAATTTCTAATGGAAGTCCCATGGTGGCCATTCTTGGAGCTGCAAAATCCAATGACGAAACAGCAAATGTGGACAACGGAGGCAGAAAACCCAGGACCAACAGGTATGTATCTGGACATCTTCTCAGGTCCTGGATTTTTTTTTATCTTGACTAAAGCATGCGATTTCGTGCTGTCTGGAACTGCCCTATGTCTAAAAGGCTGGCTTCACCTGGCTTCTATTAGACATTCACCTACTATAGCATGATAGCTCTGAGATGTTAGTATCTAAATATACATCATATTTTGCTTCAGAGAGAATTGGTTGGAAGGAACCATTTTGTTGGCAATGCTGCAAGAGACTCACCTTTGGACCTTGTAATCCCTGTGATGATGAGAAAACAAGTGGATAAAAAAGTGAGAATTTTTAAATAGTTAGTGAATGAAAAAAAGTAGTCAACGTGATTAAATTTTGCATTGAAAGGCTATTGTTTACCAGTAAGCTATTAGACTTATTTTCAGAATTATCTGGTATTTTCGGGCTATATGGCCATGTTCTAGAAGCATTCTCTCCTGTGAGGTCTGAGGATGCTTGCCATAGATGCAGGCAAAACGTCTAAGGAGAGAATGCTTCTAGAACATGGACATATAGCCCCAAAAACCTACAACAACCCAGTGATTCCAGCCATGAAAGCCTTCGACAACACATATCTGGTATTTTCCTCAACCTTAAGAAGTATCGGTAAAGGTTCACATTCACTGAGCTTTCCAGTCAGACCCCGGGGGGGGGGGGGGGCAGACTTCTTTAGGTCCCAATAAGCCTCCTACCCCATGATATTACTGCTCTCATAATTATTTACTGAGAGAGGAGAGAAGCAGTGTGGATAATGGGCAGTCCATAGACCAAGAAGCCAAGGGATCAGAAGGAACAAGGGAATGCAAGATAGGTGGAGGGACGTGCAAAATAGTGTAACCCCAGCCCTCCACATTTGCTGGGGTTGGGGTGCAGGACCCCCAAGAAGATAGTAAAACTAAGAATAAAAATCTTCTCTTTCCTATCTGAGAGAACATCTCACTAGGAATCTTTAGGCCCTCCAATGCAACTCTATTTTCAAGCTTTGGTGGAAGCTGGCCATAGACGTGCCCTGGAGGATGTAGAGACCATATTAATCAAATCCATGAATAGCACTATGTAACAAAATTTGAAAAAAAAGTATGTTCCTGGTTTGAAAGTATTATTTCCTGTTTAATTGTGCAGCACTTACTTTGACAGTAGTTGTTATATTACAGAAACTATGTTGAATTGGTTGAGATTCGATGAGATATTCATTTAAAAACTATAGCAAAATGTGCTGCAGGATGTCCCTCCAGCACAAAGAAAGTTTTTGCAGTTTAATAAACTTTTCCATGTTTTTTATGACAGAACCAATTAGAAAATGACATTTATAACCCAGGAACAAAAACTGTGTTATATCGTGTAATCAAATCCAAAAAAAAGTAAAACCTGTAGATGTGGAGGGCTGATTGCAGTCAGGTTCTAGTTCCAACTTTCCTGAAAATAGAGCTGGCTTGGGTGTATTTCCCACTGTTGACATTGCTTCCAACACTCAACAATGTTTTCTGTCTGCCTTATCTGAGCAGAGGGATTGTTTGGTAAAGCCTGCCTGCACTGTTTTATTTTACTTGTATATTTTACTTATTTTATTGTGATATTATTTTTTGCTGTTCTGTATTTATTTTGCTGTAATGTATTACTGGGCTTGGCCTCATGTAAGCAGATGGTGGTGGGGCATAAATAAATAAATAAATAATTATCTGAGCTGCAGGTGGTCGGAGGTCCGGCCTGTGTTTAAGGGGCAGGGGAAGTGGGGAGCCCTTCCTGAGTCTCTTCAGACCCCACCCCCCCAGAAGACAGCTCAGACCAGCCTGGTGCACATGACCTCCAGCAGCTGGCAAGTGTTTGCCAAATGCATTCCTGATCCCCTGGTTCAAAATACAATCCGAAGAAGGGCACAAGACCACTCACCGTTTCTCCTCGGCTGCCTTTGTCACCTTTGGGGCCCTGTATGGAGAAAAAGAAATGTCAATTGATGTACTCCTGTATTTAATCTATACCCCGCCTTTGCCCTGACAAGGGATCAACAGCTCTGGAAATATCTAATGCAGAAAGAAAGAATGGTTGCTTACCTGTAACCGTGTTTCTTCGAGTGGTCATCTGTGAAATCCGCACATATGGTAGTCTGCTGCGCATGCGCATCACACTACCATATGTGCAATTTCACAGAGACCACGAAAGAGAAATATCTTTATGGTTGTTTCTGCAAAAATAACAACACAAGTATGTGTCTTTGGAGAATGAGCATTCATCCCGTTTCTGTCTGTTCCATCTACAGTATTGTCCTTATGATGCACTTTCCCCCGTCCTAAATTGAAGGCCTAACCCCACTGTTCACCCTTTTTGGACTCCTCTCAAATACACTTTTTCTACTTCTACCTCATCTAGGGTTTTATCATTTTATCTTGTGCATTTGGCTCACCCATTGTGTTTGATTTTTTGCTTTATTTATTTTATTTTGCCACTGTATGTATTTTATTCTGATGTAATTTTTGTTGTTTTGTATTTTGTATTTTATTTTGCTGTATTGTATCATTGGGCTTAGCCTCATGTTAGCCGTCCTGAGTCTCCTCCGGGGAGATGGCGGCGGGGTATAAATAAAGTTTATTATCATTATCTTTATAAGTAACAACAAAACGATTATTTGTTTATTTATTTATTTACAACGTTTATATGCCGCCCTTCACACCCTGAAGGGGACTCGGAGCGGCTTACAAGATATATATACATACAATACATTATATAATTAGCATAGTACAATATCAATATTATATATATTTATATATATAATACTGATATTGTATTATGCTAATAATATATGAAGCCCCCAGTGGCGCAGTGGGTTAAATCACTGAGGTGCTAAACTTGTTGACCGAAAGGTTGCAGGTTCAAATCTGGGGTGTGAGCTTCTGCTGTCAGCCCCAGCTTCTGCCAACCTAATAGTTTGAAAACATGCAAATGTGAGTAGATCAATAGGTACTGCTCCGGCAGGACGGTAATGGCGCTCCATGCAGTCATGCTGGCCACATGACCTTGGAGGTGTCTATGGACAATGCTGGTTCTTCGGCTTAGAAACGGAGATGAGCACCAACCCCCAGAGTCCGACACGACTGGACTTAATGTCAGGGGAAAACCTTTACCTATCTCATATATATGAATGAATGAGAGATTCCACTGGATCCATTATCATAAATAAATATACTACTATATTGAACTATACAATTATATTGTAATATTATTAGTAATATTACATATAATATAAAATATATAATTATAATGTCATATTACTGTTATTATATTGTATTACATTATAATATTATAAATATTATATGTATATACAATATATTATATTACATAATATAAGTAAACATGTGCAGGATAGATACTTACTGGGCTTCCTGTTGGACCTGGAATTCCAAGTGGGCCAATAACTCCTTCTTTTCCCTACAGAGAGAACAGAAAGTTAGTGGATTTTTTTAAAAGCCCCAACACTTCCCATTAACGAAGCTTGAAAACAGTTCCCTCTCCTTATGTTTCCAGACAATTAGCTGGTCAATGTATTGTCCAAGGCTTTCATGGCTGGAATTACTGGGTTGATGTAGATTTTTCAGACTGTATGGCCATATTCCAGAAGCATTCTCTCCTGACGTTTCGCAGGCATCCTCAGAGATTGTGAGGTCTGCCATTTTTTTTATTTCAATTTTTTACAGATGGGTGAAAGGGAGGCAAAATGTCAGGAATGCTGGGTAGTGGGCATGCAGTAAACCAACTAAGCTCCACATTCTCATTGTAGGATCTGTTACAAAGATCTGTCTGAATGAGTGCATAGGACAAAATGAAATGGACAAGGACATTGGGAGCATCCTCCTCTCCTAAAGGGCCTGGTCTAGGGGATGCTGGGAGCTGTAGTCTGGAAGAGAGTGTTGATATGCTATTGTGTGTTTTGTTTGCCAGGGGCATCATTTTTGCACATGCGCTGTAGCGTCTTTTTGCTTTTCAAGTTCCTTCTGGCGTGTTTTTATGAGTGATGGTCACTCATTGACCTGATAGGGGTATTGTGTCCAAATTTGGTGTCAGTTCGTCCCGTGGCTTTTGAGTTATATTAATCCCACAAACAAACATTACATTTTTATTTATATAGACTAGCCGTCCCCTGCCACGCGTTGCAGTGGCCAGTCTGTGTATATGTTTTGTGTGCATATATATATATTTATATGTGTTTATATATTTGTGTATTCATGTGTTTATGAATATGAATATGTGTATATGCATATTGTGTATATATGTGTGCATGTGTATATGCATATTTGTGTGTATATATGCATGTATGTATATGTACATGCCTGTGTATATGTATATATGTCTGTGTGCATGTGTATATGTATATGTGTATATATGTATATTTATGTGTGCATGTCAATATGTATATATGTACGTACATGTGTTTATTTGTGTGCTTGTGCATATATACGTGTGTGTATGAATGTATGTATGTGTATATGTATATGTGTGTGCATGTGTATATGTATATATGTGTGTACATGTGTATATTTGTGTGTGCTTGTGCATATATATACGTGTGTATGAATGTGTATATGTGTCTATACGTATATTTGTGTGTGCATGTATATATATGTATGTATATGTATGTGTGTACATGTGTATATTTGTGTGTGCTTGTGCATATATACGTGTGTGTATGAATGTATGTGTATTTGTATATGTGTTTGCATGCGTATATGTATATATGTATGTGTGCATGCATGTGTGCATGTGTATATATGCATATTTGTGTGTGCATGTGTATAGGTATATGAGTGTAGGTATATATGTATATATGGTGTATTTTTTGGGTTTTGAAGTCAGTTCCACTGGGGAGGGGGGGTTGTGTGTTTTTATTTATTTATTTATTTATTTATTTATTTACAGCATTTCTATTCCGCCCTTCTCACCCCACAGAGGACTCAGGGCGGATTACGATGTACACATATATGGCAAACATTCAATGCCAATTAGACATACAACGTATATAGACATACACAGAGGCTATTTAACTTTTTCTGGCCACCAGGGGAGCTGTCACTTTCATTGTCCATCTGCGACACTGATAAAGTACTTCTGCATTCCCCACATGCTTTGCTGGAGTGCTTTTTGCTGGAGTCTTTTTTATGGCCTCATAAATTTGTTAAATTAGCCTCCCCACACATAGGTGGTACCTAATTTTCCTACTTGACAGATGCAACTGTCTTTCGGGTTGCAAAGGTCGACAAGAAGCTACACAATTGGTCGGACACTCACTCCGACCCGGGCTGGCTTCGAACACATGACCTTTTGGTCAGAGTGTGCTTACTGCAGCTGACACTCAGGCAGCTGCGCCCCAATCCCGGTGCTAACAGTGTCAAAATGTCATGTCAATTCCACCAGTGGTTTCTGAGTTATGTTAATCCCAAAAACAAACATTACATTTTTATTTATACAGATTTCACCTTTCCCCCTTTTTCCAGCACATCTTTACTTCATCTCCTCTTGTGCCTGCCTCATCTCCTCCACGAGTTTCATTCCCTTTGAACTGAGGTCTTCTCTTTCTGTCTTCCTGGTTTCTTATCCTCTTTCGCCATCTCTAAGTCTTTGGATCATGCAGCCAAAGATATTTCCATAGCAGCCTCCCTCCTCTCTGCTTTGGCCTGGCTTTGTTGCATTTTTTGGCTGGTCTCATCTGTCAGCTATTTACAACTCTGTGCTCATGGCTCCGAGAGACACTTTGGCACAGAAGTTTCTGTTTCTCTCATCAGAGTAAGTCAATGCTCTGTTCTTGTTCTTCATTTCTTATGCTAAGCAGTTCTGCATCCCTTCTCTAACCCAAATACATCCCTCTTCAAAACACTTCTCCATGTTCCTCAAAGACTGAAACCTTTTTTGATGTCCAAGACTTCCTGCTTTACCATCCCATTTCACATCCAAATCTCTTCCATTGAAGTGTTTTATTTCCTGCTCTTGGGATACCCCAACTTGCAAAGTTTCCCTTTCTTATTTTCTCTTTGCAAACCACCCTTTACTTTTGCTCATTCAGTTCGGGTCTCACTTGTTGCCATTGTCTTATCTGCTCTGATTCATGCAAACTTTAATCTTTCCTCTTGCCTTGAATCAGCCCATCTCCAATTCTTCTCCTCGCTTCCTGTCTTTTCTTCTCTCGCTACCTTTTGTGTTATCTTTTTTGTCTCCTTTGTCATATTTGGTATGGTAATTGGTATAGGATTATGCTTTTTCCATGGGGTCTAAATACCATATCGGTGTTGGGGCTCAGCAGCAAGCTGGGGATGATGGGGATTCCTCCTTGGAGAATGAGGGGAATGATGGGTTTTTCACTGAGTCTGTGTGAGATCAGGCAGAAACACAGGCTGAATTGCAGGCCGTGGATCACCTGCAATTTAGGGTCGGCAGCTGCAGAAGAGATAAGGAATATTTGGGATTCCATTTTTCCTGGGAATTGGGTTGTGGCGCAGCTAGCTGATAGCCAGCTGCATTAAAAAACTACTGACCAAGAGGTCATGAGTTCAAAGCCAGCCCAGGTCGATGTGAGCTTCTGGCCATTAGTCTAGCTTGCTGTTGACCTTTGCAGCCCAAAAGACAGTTGCATCTGTCAAGTAAGAAATTTAGGTACCGCTTTATGAAGAGAGGCTACTTTAACTAATTTATGACACCATAAAATCTTCCAACAGCATGCAGAAGAATGAAGAAGTACTCCATCAAAGGATTTGGTGTCACAGATGGATGGTGAAGCAGAAACTCCCCCTGTAGTTGGAATCGAGCTGGAATTAAGCATACCCTCATGAAGCCAGAAAGCTGGAATGTTAAATTGTCTGTCTATATATGTTGTATGTCTAATTGGCATTGAATGTTTGCCAAGTATATGTGCATTGTAATGTGCCCTGAGTCCCCAGCATGGTGAGAAGGGTGGAATATAAATACTGTAAATAAATAAATACATTCATAAGATAGGGTGTTTTTCCTCAACAGCCTCCACAACAATACAGTAAAGATTAACTAGAAGGTCAAAAAGACTCAGTGAGAAGGAATCCTTGAAACCTAGGTGCTGAAGGGACAACCTCGTGGCTTCTTGGTCAAGTTTGAGTTTAAATTAAGTGATGTTTTTGTGGTGTATTCAGAGCAGACAACATTGCTGTAGAATCAAGTCCTTGTTTCAGCTCTCATTCAAGTCTATGTTCCTGTCAGAGTTTTTTCTTGGAAAAAATCCTGTTTTTCATGCTTATGGATTTATGCCAATGATCTTGATTTCCTAGATTCCATGTACCTTGCTATTTTGGACTACTGAACTTTGTATATTTGGACTACTGTTATTTTACAGCACTTCTTCCGCTACTTTTTGGGAAATGCCTTTTCCCCTTAGTAAATAAACTGCTGTAGTTAGATACTACTGGTCTGCATGTGGTGCTGGGTGAAAGGTGCTTTCAAGGCTAGAGTGCAACAATTGACACAATTGACTATCTGAGCTTGGAAGGTAAATAGTGTGAGCCCAGGTTAGTTCTTGCATGGGAGTCCCCCAATAATTTCTAGATTTCAGAGACAAAACCAACTCTGAGCACTCCTTGCTTAAGAAAACCCCATTGGACTTTAACTTCCATGTTAGAGAGGATGGACATCCAACAGTTTAAGAAAGCACCACGACCGCTTTTGGCTTCTTAAGGACAAAACACCTGCTTCATCATCACAGAACAATTACTGCCTTCCAAGGAGCAGAGCATCTTGGAAGAATTCAACAGCAAAGATGAGGCCAAGTAAGAGGGTTGAATGAAAAGTAATGCCTTCACCTTCGTTACTTGGGTTTGGATGGGAATATTTTAATAAATCAAATGCAGAAATAATCCTTAGAATGTGCTCTGTAACTACCACTATTCATTTTTTCACATAATCACCAAACAATTGGATACATTTCTACCAACAATGAACAAGGTTTCTGAAGCCATCATGGAAGAAGTATAATGATGTCCCCGCAGATCTTCTTTCATTATCAGGAACAGATGGAAGTAATTTAGTGTTAAATCTGGACTGTACGGAGGATGCTGTACGGTGGTGAGATCCAGTCTCTGAAGTTTCAAGTCTGTGTGCTTTCATTTCAGGCATCAGCATCCTGGGTATCCACTGTGCACAGATCTTCCGATAGCCAAGCAAAGCAATAATGTGACCCACACATTCTTATGAAATGCCGATTATGCTTGAAATTTCTCTCTGTGATACGACAATCGTCCTGAATCAATCTGTTAACCTATTGCTTGTGAAACTCAGTGGTTGCTGTCACAGGACATTCAACTCTTTGTTTGTCATGCAAGTCAGATGTTCTCACCTCAACATCTTTACGTTTACTCACCCAACGACGCACAGTACTCACATCAACACAATCACCATAAACAGCTTGCATTCCCTGATGAATCTCCTTGGGGTAACACCTTCTGAGGTCAAGAATTCAATGACTGCATGTTGCTTAAGTCGCATTGACCGACCATCTTTAACAACACAACCATTCAATGCTAAGGCTTCCTGCCAAAATTGAACTGTAGAGGAGAGTCTACTGAACAAGCCAGTACCTGCTGCATACCAGTACTGTTGCGGAGTTACGAAGGTGGAGGCATTACTTTTCATTCAACCCTCGCATATATTTGCCAATAGGAAATTTTCAAGTGGAAGCAGCTACTGAAACAAGGGGGTGGGGGAACCATGAAAGGGCTTCGCAAACTCACCATAAGACCTTGTGGCCCCTTCGGACCTTGGATGCCTTTGAACCCGAAGTCACCAGGCGGCCCCTAAAGAGATTGCAATCGAGTGTGAATTTGACAAAGCACTATTATACTTTTCAGCATTCAAGAAACAGCCTCATCATTGATTTTACAGATTAGGATAACCCTTGTGATATTCTTTTTAAAGAAAAATCCAAACCCAAAAGGATTTGTTCTTGTCCCTATAACAATGCAAATTCCACCACGTGAATGCATTTTATGATATCAGTCCAACGATTACTCTCAGCAGACCCACCAAATCGCCAAGACTTGCAATGGTGTTTACTTTTCAGGTTTCTATTGATTTAAAGCACTGACTTTTTCTTACAGTATAAATCAGTTTTCTTCACTATTATTATTGAAATTTTTTACATTGTTAAGAGTTAAAGCAATGACAACAGCATGAAAACCCAAAATATATAAAAAGGCCAAACAAGGAGAAGCTACAATCCTCAATATCAACTTAGCCCCCCACAAGGATGGTAACACATCAAAACATCCGGGCGTCCCCCGGGCAACGTCCTTGCAGATGGCCAATTCTCTCACACCAGAAGCGACTTGCAGTTTTCTCAAATCGCTCCTGACACAACCAAAAAAACCCCTAATTTATGCAATACTTTTGATACAAAATAAATAAAATCATAAAATAACAATTTTAAACAACAATAATATATAATAACATCAATTCTGAAAAGTCTTTATTGCAGATAATCCCTTCCAAAGATCTATCAAATCCCCAGCTAGGTTTCTTGTGTGACTAAAAATCTTACAGAACTTCTGGAAAATATATGTGGGATGAGTGGGACGGAATGGTTGAGGAGCCCCATGTGTTTACATTTTATTTGGATATCTAGTGACTGCTTTTTCCTCCCATCAGTCCTTCTCTATAAAACTATGAAGACGTGTGATGCGAAATCTAAATGGCAGCTGCAAACTAGACTGAAGAGTGCACTGGGGGAGTGACACGCACAGTGCAGCAGAGGCACCTCATCCCATTATATCACAAGCAACTTGGGCCTTTTCTGGAGCCTGTCAGTGTCCACAAGGTCAGAACATCTATGAAAAGGAAAGGATGCTCTTCTAAAAACATTGGAAGCTCCATGCCTTTAAGGTAAAAGGTAAAGGTTTTCCCCCTGACATTAAGCCCAGCTGTGTCAGACTTGGGGGTTGGTGCTCATCTCAATTTCTAAGCCGAAGAGCCGGCGTTGTCCGTAGACACCTCCAAGGTCATGTGGCCAGCATGACTGCATGGAGTGCCGTTAAGGGTTTTTTAAAGGGATCTTTTAAAAACCCATCTAAGGGGACTTTTAAATGTGTCCTAGCAAATGTTGGAAATGCTAAAAGGAACCAAAAATATGGGTTCACTCCCAAAGAATCAACATCTTTCCCACAAGGAAAGTCGGGTAATATATTGTTGCTGTTGTTATTGTTGTGTGGCAATCCTGTGTCAGGATCTGTGCCCATCTGGCTTGCAACCAGTTGGCTGTGTAGCATCTATGCAGCCAAAAACAGTCCTATTATTATTATTATTATTATTATTATTATTATTATTATTAGTCAATGTTGCAATCCCAGGTGACAGCAGGATTTATGAGAAGCAACTGGAAAAGCTGACACGATATGAGGCACAGGCCAGTAAAGGTGGTCCCAGTGGTGACTGGCACACTGGGTGCAGTGCCTCAAGACTTTGCCCTGCACTTAAACACAATCAGTGCTGACAGAATTACCACATGGCAGCTGCAAAAGGCCACCCTACTGGGATCTGCACACATTATTCACCAATATATCACAGACACTTGGGAAGTGTCTGACGTGTGATCCAATACAACAGCCAGCAGAGTGATCTTGTCTGCTGTGGACTCATCTTGTTGTGTTTCAAATAATAATTATAATTATAATTGTGATATGAAATCTAGCCTATAGATCTCATTTGCTGTGACATACTGTGCCGATGTGTAAATAATAATAATAATAATAATAATAATAATAATAATAACAACACTTTATTTATATCCTGCCACCATCTCCCCGAAGGGGACTCGGTGCGGCTAGCATGAGACCGAGCTCAAAACATACAGTGCAGCAAACTAAAATACAAAAGAACAGAAAAATCTCATCACAACAAAATATATAAAGTAGCAAAATAAAATAAACAGTGCAAAATAACATAATAAAAGTAAAAAAAAACACACACACACATAAAGGCAATGTTTAAAGAGCCCTTGGCGAAACCAAGAGGTGGCTTCGGCAATGACGGTTATGTACACACGCACTGTGATCTCACCTTTGGCCCAAACAGACCGGCGATCCCTGGAAATCCTGATTCACCAAAGTCTCCCTAGAAGTTTTCAATAAAATCAAAGAGGGGAAAAAAGAACATAGATGAAAGGAAATGTTCAGTTTAAAGAGCTCAGGGCTGCTAAACTCATTACGTACGGTTCACGAGTTGGAAAGGCCAAAGACGAGAACAAGCCAAGCCATGTCGAAGGGGGAGGAAATGATGTTGTAAAGAGAGTTGAAATCCATCTGTTCATTGGCTCCAAGATATCATTTGAGCAAGAAGTGACAAGAAGGCATTTAGGAAGGTAAATATTGCCAATTTGAAGGAAGGGGACAGCAAGAGGCATCATTTAGATTCAGCATACTGGCCCCGATTTTTTCCTATCTGGAATTCCCCTGTTTTTTGAGTGTTGCTCTTTATTTACTGTCCTGATTTTAGAATGTTTAGAAATACTGGTAGCCAGATTTTGTTCATTTTCATGGTTTCCTCCTTTCTGTTGAAGTTGTCCACATGCTTGTGGATTTCAATGGCTTCTCACCTAATCATTTCTCAACAAAGAATTCCTCCAGGCAGTAACAAGGTACACCTAAAAATGGTCAGGCCATCAAATGCTAATCAAGGTGGCCAATTGAAACATTCACACTTAACTACAACAGTTCTTTCTCCCACCCTGGACTTTCCACAGATATATAAACCCAAATTTCCTAGTTTCAAACAGACCTCACAACCTCTGAGGATGCCTTCCATAGATGCAGGAGAAACGTCAGGAGAGAATGCTTCTAGAACATGGCTATAGAGCCCGAAAAACCTAAAACAACCCAGTCCAAAAAATGTTATCAAATGCCTTCTCTGCATCCAAGAACATCAACGCTTCTTGCTGGTCTTATGCCCCTGTAGATATTCTATAGCACTCTATACCATATATTCCAGGCATGGACCAACTTCAGCCTTCCCTCCTGGTGTTTTGGACTTCAACTCCCACAAAATGAAACTCCCAAGAAATGTTATCAAACGCCTTCTCTGCATCCAAGAACAGCCCAAAAAAACTACAACAGTGATTCCAGCCATAGCAGCCTTCAACAACACAACTGTATTTCTGGCATTCTCCAATGCCAGAAATACAGCTTAATGGTGTAACATTAGAAAATGCTGATAATTTCTGCTCCCTTGGCAGCAACCTCTCCACAAAAGTCAACATTGACACTGAAATACAACACCGCCTGAGCTCTGCGAGTGCAGCTTTTTTCCGAATGAAGCAGAGAGAGTTTGAGGACTGGGAAATCCATAGGGAGACCAAGGGGCTTGTTTTTAAAACTATTGTTCTCCCAACCCTGCTATACACCTGCGAGATGTGGACTGTCTACAGATGTCACTTGCAACTCCTAGAACGATTCCATTAGCGCTGCCTCCGGAAAATCCTGCACATCTCTTGGTAAAACAAGTGGACAAATGTCAGTGTGGTGGAAGAAGCAAAAGCCACCAGCATTGAAGGGATGGTCCTCCACTATCAACTTCGCTGGACCGGCCACGTTGTCTGGATGCCCGACCACCGTCTCCCAAAGCAGTTGCTGTACTCCGAACTCAAGAATGGAAAACAGAATGTTGGTGGGCTGGAAAAGAGATTTAAAGATGGGCTCAAAGCCAATCTTAAAAACTCTGGCATAGACACTGAGAACTGGGAAGCCCTGGCCCTTGAGCGCTCCAGCTGGAGGTAAGCTGTAATCAGCAGTGCTGTAGAATTTGAACAAGCACGAATGGAGGGCGAAAGAGAGAAACGTGCCAAGAGGAAGGTGCATCAAGCCAACCCCGACCAGGACCGCCTTCCACCTAGAAACCAATGTCCTCACTGCGGGAGAACATGCAGATCAAGAATAGGGCTCACAGTCACCTACGGACCCACCACCAGGACACTGATCTAGGAAGACAATCCTATTCAGACAACGAGGGATCACCTAAGTAAGTAAGTAAGCAAGCTGTGGACAAGTCTACACAGCGACCATCAAACACAGTGCCCAAATCAAATCAAAGCAAGGAATATGAAAGGCACTGCAGACTAACCCAACCTGGACACAGCATATAACTCAAAAGGGAACAAGCAGCAAGAGGTGGCATTTAAAGTTGGACATAGTGAAAAAAGTTCTGAGGTGAACACACCCTGCATTCTATTAATCCATAGGACAAAGCGTTTGTATCTCTTCATCTTTACAGATGGAACGTTTTGAGGTGGGGGAGGAAGGGCCAAAAGGACCCTCAATGAGTCACAGAGATCTCATTAATGGGGGAAAAAGAGAGCCTTTTATGGCCTTCAGGCTCAGCTGCACTTTGGGGAGTATATGCCAAAGGGGCTTGCTCAGCTCAGTTGTAAATGACTCAAAAGGCCAGGGAGGTTTCCACCACTTCTGTTGCGAGGCCCCTTCCAGAGTCCTAACGTCCGTTGGCGCTTAGAAAAGTTTTCCTGCCCTGTTCATGAGACACACTTTGGCAAGAGTGAAGCCTGTTTGGAAGCTGAAGATGCTGCAAGAATGCCTTTCCAAAGGGCCATCCATGAGAAAAACTGAAGGGCGGGCTATGTTGTTGACATCTCTAGAATCATAGAGTTGGAAGAGACCTCATGAGCCATCCAGTCCAACCCGATTCTGTCAAGAAGCAGGACTATCATGTTCTAAGCACCCCCAATCTCAAGTTTTCATTTGAATTCATAGGATCACAGATGGAAAAAACCCCAAGCGCCATCCAGTCCACCCTATTCTGCTAGGCAAGAACACACAATCAAAGCTCTCCCAACAGATGGCCATCCAGTCTTTGTGTTTTTCATTCTATTAAGATGAAATGGGATCTTGTAGAACCTTTAGCAAAACTATTCATAAACTTAAGTCTATTTCATCAGACGCAGTTCAGTTCAGAAGAAACAGAGTAAGGGTGCATCCACACTATCGAATTAATGCAGTTCAAATGCACTTTAACTGTTGTGGCTCAATGCTATGGAATCCTGGGAGCTGTAGCTGTACAAGGTCTTTCACTTCTGCCAAAGAGTGCTGGTGCCTCACCAAGCTACAAATCCCAGGATTTCTATAGAATTGTGTCCTGGTAGTTTAAGTGTCAAAGCACCAGGCTTTAGCACAGCAGGTTAACCGCCAGCTACAGTAAATCTTTCCAAGCAAAAGGTTGACAGTTTGAAGCTTGGGTCAGAATGAGCTCCTGGCCTTTCAGCCCAGCTTCTGCCTACCTAGCAGTTCGAAAACAAATGTGAGTAGATAAATAGGTAAAGGTAAAGGTTTTCCCTTGGCAGTAAGTCCAGTTGTGTCCGACTCTGCGGGTTGGTGCTCATCTCCATTTCTAAGCCGAAGAGCCAGCATTGTCCGTAGACACCTCCAAGGTCATGTGGCCGGCATGACTGCATGGAGTGCCCTTACCTTCCCGCTGGAGCGGTACCTATTGATCTATTCACATTTGCATGTTTTTGAACTTCTAGGTTGGCAGAAGCTGGGGCTGACAGAGGAAGCTCACCCCGCTCCCAGGATTCGAACCTGCGACCTTTCGGTCAACAAGCTCAGCGGCTCAGCGGTTTAACCCACAGTGCCACCGGGAGTAGATAAAGAGGTACCGCTTTAAATGGGGAGGTATTTTAGGCACCCATAAGGAAATGCCAGAAAATGCCAGCAATTCAATCAAGGGGGAAGTTTACAAACAATATTCTTTGGCAGGAAAGATGGAGCGACAGGACCCCGCTGTGACCAGAACCAAGCACAGCCTCCAAGATGCCGAAGATGGGAAACTCTATCTATTTACAGTTGTCTGTCTTGTCAGTTTATAACGGCATTGTATGTTTGCCGTATATGTGTTCTGTGATCCGCTCTGAGGACAGAATATAAATACTGTAAACAAACAAACAAACAAACTGCATTAATTCTACAATGCAGATGCGCCCTTTGTCTATGGAGGCCTGTGCTCCCAAATTCTCCCGATTAGTTTCCATAGAGATACCAGATCTCTTTGTATACTGATATTCCAGAGCAACATGGTGGCATTAGAATAATTATAGTTGTAATTATTGTGTCAACTTTTCTTTAGCTATTTAAACCTTTTCAAGTGTTGCCATGAGCCCCAGACTGGCAAAAACAAACAAACCAACAAAATTCAGTATATAAACAAACAGCCATGTGAGCCATCTACTTACCGGCTGCCCTTTGGCTCCGAGGTCCCCACGAGTGCCAGGGGGCCCCATTTCACCTGGAGGACCTCTTTTCCCCGAAGGGCCAACCTGTCCAGACAATCCTGCTTCTCCCTACAAAGAATACAGGAGAAAGGTGAGTGAGCAGAATTCAAGGCTGACATGAAAGCCAGTGTCATGAGAATTTTCTAGCTCAAATCTTGACAAAGGTGCCTTTTGCTCATGGGGGACAGAGCCTGCAACTTTTGCCGTGGTTGTAAAGGCATTGCATCACAAAGAAAGCAGCTGACAAGGAACCCACCTTGAATCCTGGGGGGCCCTGAGCTCCTGGGAGACCAAGGACACCAGGGTTCCCTCTTTTCCCCGACAGTCCGGTTATGCCTTCTTCCCCGTCCTCACCTTGTTCTCCCTGATTGGGAAGAGAGGAGAAAGAATGGTCAGTTCTGCCTGTTCTAATCTTTTGTCAACACAAGTGAAAGGCAAGTCCCGAGAAATAACAAACAGGTGATCCTTATCCAAAATGTTTGGGACCAGAAGTGTTTCATATTTTGGCATATTTGCATAGATGGATGGATGGATGGATAGATGGATAGATAGATAGATAGACAGACAGATATCTTGTATACCCACACTTCCTGTCATTTCATATCCTCGCGTATCTCTCCAGCCTCATGTCCCGTTCCTTTGCTACTTGTGTTGTGTGAGATGTAAGACCAGAAGGAGGCTGAGGATCTGAGAAACTGAGGTCCTGATATTTGATATAGGGTTCATAGATGATAACCTGTACTTTGGATTGGACCAGGAAACTCATTGGCAGCCAGTGGAGCATGCTCCCTATAACCAGCTCCAGTTAGTAATCTGGCTGCCAACCTTTGCATTAACTGCAGTTTCTGGGGCATCTTCAAAAGCAGCCCATGAAATCATTCAATTTCCCGTGAATTTCCTTCACACCTTCCCATATAATTTCTCTAACGCAGCATTGCCTGAACTGACCTTAAGGTAAACAACTTTTTGTTTTATAAACACCCATGAAATTGTTCCGGTTCCCATGAATTTTCTCCACAACTTTCCCACATAATCTCTCTGAACGACACACTCTATTTTCTGCTTGTAAATGAAGACTTTTGTTATTTCTATAGCTCCAGGCATGTTTTTCTGGGAACCCTCCTTATCACTCAGCTCTTCACTTGATTTCTTATCCGCTGTTGCTACTTCTGACTCCCCTGAATATCCTGCACTTTCCGAGCCAGTTTTCTCAGAGAGAACTATCATTTCCCAGACTTGAGAGCTCATCACTTTGTGCCACAGGAAAGCTCACAATCTTCTCTAAATCATCAGTTAGTTCAAGTTCAAGTTTATTCGATGCTTGCCTTATATGTGGTCACTCACATATAAGGCAAATAGAGAAATACATGAAAACCAGATTGTTAAATACAATATAAAATACACCATTAAAACTCTATAAATCAATGTTTTAATGTGTTTTTAACTTAATGTTCTATTTACTGTTTTAAACTGTTGTTATATTTGTTTATATTTGTATTATCTTGTGGCATTGAATTGTTGCCGGTGTAAGCCGCCCTGAGTCTCCCCTCGGGGGTTGAGAAGGGCAGGTTAGAAATGTGGGAAATAAATAAATAATAATAAATCGTTAAAATGCTACATATATCTATGGCGAGATGCACTCTTAAAATACTACATACTGTATGGACTCGCACTGCATTATTAAAACTATATAAACAGCCACTATTAGTTAAAAGCATCCCCAGCACAGTCGACTGCAATATCAAAAATTAGTCTTGCAGATCTGGTTGATCTACAACACAAGGGATGCTATTATGATTATGTCTTCTTCCAGAGCACCTCCATATCTGAACCCTGTCCTTCTTAGCAGCTCCCCGAAAGCAAGAATGAAAGGCAATGTAACAACCATATCACTTTGTAGTTTCTCATGCTGATCTTAGATCAAGCTTCCACATAACTCTCTGGATGTTTAGTCCATGATTAAGGAAACAAAGGGAGGAACTGAAGTTCAAAGGTCAAACTGTATGGCAACAAAGAACACGGGGCAGCTGTGGCTCCGTGTCTCTTCCTCCTTTATCCGTATCACATGGGGCATAATGGGATGTGACAGCATTGTGTGTCACGTCCCACTGTCTCTGACCAGCAGTGATGTGGAACGGCAATGGAGAGGAAGTGGCAATACAGTGACAGCATAGCACCCCGGACGTGGCTGTTGCAACAAAAAAAGACAAGATATGGATACTTTTGTAGTAGCGGAATCCCCAATCCGTTTCCGCTCAGAACAAAGAGCCAATCTGGACTGTTCTGCTTAGATACGTGGGACATGACTGCAACCTGTGTGAATAAATGAAATCCCATCATGTTATGTATTGCAAGAAAAAAAGCTTTATTGATTCTGGCTGTTGGGATTCTGGAAGTTAAAACCAGGAAACATAACTTTTCCAGGCTCTGATTAGAGTTCTTTACAAGAGGAACAGGACCATCTGATAGAGAATCTCCACTGCTATAGCAGCAAGGGAATATGGATTATAATTATTATTATTTGAAATATAACAAGATTAGTACACAGCAAACAAGGTCACTCTGCTGGCTGTTCTATTGGATCACACGTCGGACACTTCCAAAGTGTCTAAGACTATGTGATGTATCGGCAAATTACGTGTGCAGATCCCAGTAAGGTGGCCTTTTGCAGCTGGCAGATGGTAATTTTGTCAGTGTTTAAGTGCAGGCCAAGGTTTTAGGTGCTGCACCCAGTGTGCCAATCACCACTGGGACCACCTTGACTGGCTTGTGCCACAGTCTTTGCAGTTTGATCTTTAAATCCTCATATCGTGTCAGCTTTTCCAGTTGTTTCTCTTCAATCCTGCTGTCACCTGGGATTGCAACATCCACGATCCATACTTTGTTTTTTAACACAATCGTGAGGTCAGGAGTATTGTGCTCCAAAACTCTGTGAATTCAGAAGTCCCAGAGTAGCATTTTCTGTAACTTTTTCTGGCTTGTGATCCCATCCGTTCTTTGACACAGGCAGATGGTATTTGTTGTACAGGTTCCAATGAATCATCTGAGCAACAGTGTTGTGCCTCTGCTTGTAGTCTGTCTGCGTGATCTTCTTGCAGCAGCTGAGGATGTGATCTATTGTTTCATCTGCTTCCTTGCAGAGTCTACACTTGGGATCTGTCATCGACTTTTCAATTCTGGCTTTCATGGCATTGGTTCTAATGGCTTGTTCTTGGGCTGCCAGAATCAGGCCTTCCGTCTCCTTTTTCAAAGTTCTATTTACGAGCCACAGCCATGTTTTTTCTTTGTCAATTTGGCTCTCAATTTTTCCCAGGAACTGTCCGTTGTTGTTGTTGTTGTTGTTGTTTGAAACACAACAAGAATAGTCCACAGCAAACAAGATCACTCTGCTGGCTATTGTATTGGATGATACATCGGACACTTCCCAAGTGTCTAAGACTGTGTGATGTATCAGCAAATAATGCGTGCAGATACCAGTGGGGTGGCCTTTTGCAGCTGACAGATGGTAATTTAGTCAGCCCCAATTGCATTGAAGTGCATTATTATTTATTATTATTATTTCAAACATTGGTACTCAGTCCTTCTCAATCCCCGAGGGAGGATGCAGGGCGACTTACAATCGGCAGCAATTCAATGCCAACACATACACCATAACAAAATAACACAGATTCAAAATTAATTAAAACATTAAATAATAAAATAGCCATTTAAAGCATTGTTATCATCACAATCACAATATAACTGCATCCAAGTTCAATTGAGAGACCCACTCCAAAGCCTCTGCATTATCAATTAAAGTATAACTTTGGACCTGCTGCCCAAATGCCTGGTCCCCAAACCATGTCTTAAGCTTATACCTGAAGGAAAGGAGAGCTGGAGCCGATCTGATTTCCCTAGGGAGTGTGTTCCACAGACACTGAGAAGGCCCTGTCTCTCGTCCCCGCCAATAATGTTTGTGAAGAGGGCGGGACTGAGAGCAGGGCCTCCTTAGATGAGCTTAAACTCCGAGGTGGATCATAGAGGGAGATACGTTCAGACAAGTAAGCTGGGCCAGAACCGTAAAGGGCTTTATAGGCCAAGACCAGCACTTTGAATTGTGATCGGAACTGGACCGGCAGCAAGTGGAGTTGACTTAACAGAGGGTGGTATGTTCCCTGTACGCTGCTCCGGTGAGTAATCTGGCAGGCCAAGGTTTTAAGGCACTGCACCCAGTGTGCCAATCACCACTGGGACTGTTATGTTTATTTATACCTCATTTTTCTCTTCATGAGGAGACTCAAAGCAGCGTACATTAAAAGCATTTCAGTACAATTTTTAAAACTACAAATATACAAACATTAAAACAGAATTAAGTATCATTAGTGTTAAAAAATACAGTTAAAATCCATAAAAATATTGAAAACTTAACACCACAGCAGCCCCTTCTTACATCTCTTCTGACTACAATCACAAGGATATCTAGAGAATCATATAAAATGCATTATATTTGTGATGCTACATTATTGTTTTTTAAATATTTATTTTTATTGTGTTGTTTTACCCCACTCCCACCCTCAATGATTTAAAGGCAAGTATATTTTAAGGGAGAGTATATGTTTTTTGGGCAACTGAAAGAACACTTTTGAAACTCTGCTATGTATGTGTGTTTTTGTGCATTGAAGAAGTGCCTTTTTACAGCCAGTAAACTGAGCTGAGAAAGATACAGAGTCTCAAGTTTTGCAGCCTTGAAGCAAACTCTCACGCTTACCTTTTGCCCAGCGCTGCCATCTTTCCCATGAATCCCATCAGGTCCAGGGGCACCCTCTTGGCCCTGCCTTCCAATAACTCCTCTAGGTCCCGGCAACCCGACAAGACCCTACAAAGAGATGTATCACAGCAATTATGACCATGGTCCCTGGACACCACATGAGTACCTTCGGGGAGAGAGTGCGGGTTATAAATAAAGTATTCTTAATTAATTATTATAATAATAATTATTATTATAATCTATATAAATAAAAATGTAATGTTCATTTGTGGGATTAAAATAACTCAAAAAACACTGGACAAATTGACACCAAATTTGTACGCTGTACACCTAACAGACCAATGAGTGACCATTACTCAAAAAATATTGATTTTGTCATTAAGGAGTTATAGTTGCTGGGATTAATATTTCACATACAATCAGGGAGCATTCTGAATTCCACCAACGATGGAATCGAACCAAACTTGGAACACAGAACTCCCATAACCAAGAGAAAATACTGGAAGGGTTTGGTGGGCATTGGCCTTGAGTTTTGGAGTTGTAGTTCACATATATCCAAAAAGCACTGTGGACTCAAACAATGATGGATCTGGTCCAACCAAGCAACACATCAAGAGGAATGTAAGGCGAGAGTGTAGCAAGTCAGGAGACGCGTGGGAGGGTGGGACTGGGGGAGAAATGGCCCCAGAGGAATGCTATATCACCTACCGGAAAGCCTCTATTGCCTGTGGTCCCCTTTCGCCCTTGCTTGCCTTTCTGACCCTTAAAAGGACAAAAAGAAAGAAAAAATAAGTCCAACATCACTTACGGTTCCATGAACTTCCCCCTATGACCCCACCACTATTTTTAAAGCCATTCAGTTAGGTACATCCTCATCTCTGGTCTCACATAACCTGAAGCTGGCGTCTCTTGGAGAACTAGACCTTTAGGTTATCAACATTCCCTGCTCTTCATTCAACTCTGTGGATCTGCAAGTCCTACCGCCATTCCCAAACTTACTATACTGCCTTTGGATCCTTTCAGCCCTGGTTGGCCTGGAGGTCCTGGGTGTCCCTAAGAGAAGGAACAAAGACAAAATTCTTTAGAATAGTGTTTCTCAACCTTCCTAATGTCACGATCCCTCATGTTGTGGTGACCCCCAACCATAACATAACTGTAATTTTGCTAATGTTATGAATTGTCATGTAAATATCTGATATGCTGGATGTATTTTTATTCTTTGGACCAAACTTGGCATGAATTCTCAATATGCCCAAATGTGAACATTGGTGCAGTTTGGGGATGGGGTGTGTGCTGATTTTGACATTTGGGAGTTGTAGTTGCTGGGATTTATAGTTCACCTACAACCAAAGAGCATTCTGAACTCCACCAACGATGGAATTTATTTATTTATTTACTTTGCTTATAGACCGCTGTTCTCAGCCCGGGGGCGACTCACAGCGGTGTACAACATAGAGAGAACAAGGTTCAAATTCAAGACACAGTCTAAAATATCAATCTAGCAATAACCAAAATTGAACCAAACTTGGCACACAGAACTCCCATGACCAACAGAAGATACTGGAAAGGTTTGTGAGCATTGACCTTGAGTTTTGGAGTTGTAGTTCACCTATATCCAGACAGTACTGTGGACTCAAACAATGATGGAACTGGACCAAACTTGACATGAATACTCAATATGCCCAAATGTGAACACAGATGGAGTTGGACTGAATCTACTAAAGATTAGTCCCAAAGTGCTCCTGCCTTCTTTTATGTTTTTGTCAGCTAAAACAGATTAATACAGCTATCTCTATCGCAACAGTAATGAAGGTTTCTTACAGGTAAGCCTTGCTGTCCAGGTTTTCCCCTTTCTCCATCAAGGCCTTCTTGGCCCTAAAAGGAAGCGAGAGGGAAGATCCAAGTTATTCTTTCACCTGAGATGCTCACTGACCAAAGGCAAAATGCTGCAGGTGGAAGAAACGTTAGCAGAAAGGTATGAATGAGAATCTTTGTCAAGAATCAAGCTTCCCAAAGCATTTAAGCCAGTCTATTACTATTTATTGGTATACTATATTTGTATACCGCTCTTCTCAGCCTTCAGGCGACTCAGAGCAGTTAGCAATAGCAAAATTCAATGCTCAAAAACATAATAAAACAGTTAAAAACAATTAAAACAGTAGCATAATAAACAGTCAATATAAATCAATAAAACATATCATTAGCGTCTCATAGTTAAAATCAAGATCCAGTCTCATTATCCAATTGCTCCATATTCCTTTGTTCGTTACACTGCCTATTCAAATGCCTGCTCAAACAACCAGGTCTTCACTTTCCTCCGAAATGTCAACAGGCAGGAGGCCAATCTGATATCTGTGGAAGGGCATTCCACAGCTGAGGGGCCACCACTGAGAAGGCCCCATCTCTCGTCCCCACCAAACGTTCTTGTGACGCAGGCGGGACCGAGAGCAGGGCCTCCCCAGATGATCTTAACACCCTGGTTGGTTAATAGGAGGAGATGTGTTTGGACAGGTAAGTTGGGCCAGAACCGTTTAGGGCTTTATAGGCACTTTGAATTGTACCCGGTAGCAAACTGGCAGCCAGTGGAGCTGGTGCAACAGAGGAGTTGTATGCTCCCTGAGTGCCACTCCCATTAGTAACCTGGCTGCCGACCATTGGACCATTTGAAGCTTCCAGACAGTCTTCAAAGGCAACCCCACATAGAGAGCGTTGCAGTAGTCTATACGGGATGTAACCAGAGCATGGGCCACCATGACCAAGTCAGACTTCCCAAGGTACGGGTGCAGCGATGAATCCAAGATCACACCGAAGCTGCAAACCTGTGCCTTCAGGGGGAGTGTAACCCCATCCAACACAGGCTGTAACCCTATGCCCTGTTCGGTCTTATGACTGACCAGGAGTACCTCTGTCTTGTCTGGATTCAATTTCAGTTTGTTCGCCCTCATCCAGAACGTCGCAGTGGCCAAGCACTGGTTCAGGACCTGAACAGCCTCCTTAGTAGCAGGTGGGAAGGAGTGACAGAGTTGGACATCATCTGTATACAGATGACACCGCACCCCGAAACTCCAGATGATCTTCCCCAGCGGCTTCATGTAGATGTTAAACAACATAGGAGACAGTATTGAACCCTGAGAAACCCCACAAGACAATGGTTGTGGAGACGAACAGGTGTCCCCCAATAACACCTTCTAGGTGCGTCCCTCCAGAAAGGACCAGAGCCACTGTAAAACTGTACCTCCAAGACGCATTCTCGAAAGGCGTCCCAGAAGGATACTGTGGTCAACGGTATTGAAGGCTTCTGAGAAGTCCAGCAGAACCAACAGGAACACACTCCCCCTGTCTAGCTCCCGGCTAGATCATCAACTAAGGCGACCAAGACTGTCTCGGTTCCATGCCCCGGTCTAAAGTTAGACTGCGACGAATCCAGATAATCTGTGTCTTCCAAGAATATCTGGAGTTGTGAAGTCACCACATGTTCCAGGACTTTGCCCCAAAAGAGGAGATTAGAAAATATTATCTGTGATCATAGAATAATAGAATAATAGAGTTGGAAGAGACCACATGGGTCATCTAGTCCAACCCCTTGCTGTGCAGAAAAAGAACAAAGTACCCCTGACAGATGGCCACCCAGCCTCTGCTTAAAAGCCTCCAAGGAAGGGGTTCCACCCCACTCTAAAGCAGAGAGTTCCACTGTTGAACAGCTCTTCTTACAGTCAGGAAGTTCTTTCTAATGTTCAGGTGGAATCTCCTTTCCTTTCATTTGAACCCATGGCTCCATTAACAATCACTCTAATTCAGGCACGGGCAAACTTGGGCCCTCCAGGTGTTTTGGACTTCAACTCCCACAATTCCTAACAGCGTCAGGCCCATTCCATTTCCTTTCCCCTTTCCTTTTCTCCTTAAGCGGCTTAGAGGAAAAGGAAAGTGCCTGAGGGTGTAAGGAATTGTGGGAATTGGAGTCTAAAACATCTGGAGGGCCAAAGTTTGCCCATGCCTGCTCCCATTACTTCAAGAGTCGCAGAACATTCCAGAGAACTTTTCCCAAGATGGTTAATTTCCTAACCAGGTATTTGGAGAAGGACTCACAGGATAACCAGGGTCTCCGGACTCTCCACGAGGGCCTCTGTCCCCAGCTGGACCCTAAAAAAAGAGCAACAGAGAAAGACAAGAGAGACGTGAAATGCAAACTCACCCTCTTTCAAATCCCTGGTTCAAGTTCCGCCCGTGGTTTAGAGCTGCCACAAAAAGCAGGGCCTTTCCAGTGCAGGCTTCTCATGGTAGAAACCCCATTCAGAGAAGGAAACTCCAATACAGGGTGGTTCCTCTCCCACTTCACACACAATGAATTGGAGTAAAGGTGGGAAATAGTGGAGAATGAACTGGCACTAACATTTCTTTCACATGTCCTGTTTGCACTTGGCTTGGAAACAGTCCACGAGAAAAGGATCTAGGAGTCTTCAGAGACCACTAACTGATCGTGAGACAACAGTGTGATGCGGCAGCTGAAAAAGCCAATGTGATTCCAGGTTTTATTTATGGGGAAATGTCAAAGATATGATGTTCTATGAGAATTCGAAGTGGTATGTTCATCTCAAGACACAAAAAGTTTAGCATGACTTGTGAGAGATTGCCTTTTTTCAATTATTTTCACTGTGAATTATTGTAGTGCTGTTTGTGTTTAATTCTGTTTTAATATTTTATATTTTAATAACTTTTTTATTGATAAATCAAACCATACAATTCACCGTTCTGAACACAAGGTGGCAGGAAAGGTGTAACAAATGCATAGACAAATTACTCCACTAAGGCTGAAAAATCCACAAATTTGAAGACCACTGCAAAGTTATTGCATGAATTACAATGGAGTTTTTACGGCGAACAATAGTTAAGACTATTTTTCTTCCTTTCTAATTATTACAAGGAAACTGACGCCTTTTATCATTAGGAAATGATAATACTAAGATTTGTTGATGTTTTAAAACACATTTTCTTGAAAAAATGAATTAATACATTTTATATTAATATTTTAATATATTATAATAATATTGTACATTAGGCTTTGCATTCATGTGTGCTTTCTGGAATAGCTTACAAGCATCACAACATTCAGAAACATGCAATCTGGAACATTTCAACCTACCCCCTGAAAATGAACGATCACTACCCAACAATCTGCATCGAGCCATGGTAATTAAATGAGAGATTGTGTCCCTCAAAAAGGAGATCCAAGGGCTCCTGAAGCAGTTTTCCTTTTGCCATTGGCACAGTACTAAGATTATCATATTACACAAATCTAATGTGGACTCTAACTTTGGAGGCGTCATTTAGTCAAAAACAGGTGAGCATCAGATTCGTGTAAATACAATAATGGATAAAATAGGTAGTTTACTCTGTCTCCAGGTGGTCCAGGAGGCCCCTCGATCTTCCCATCGTCACCTTGTTCACCCTGGAAAACAAACAACAGGGTTAAAGTTAGGTGGAATTAAAATAAAAATTGCAATAGTTAAGGCATAACTAAAAATCAAAACAAAAGATACATTTATCACAGCTATATGTAATTTACAGATGATGTAACACAGAGTTTCATCTATGCTGATGATCATGTCATCACCACCCAAGCAGGGAGCTTTCAAATGATTGAACAGAAGCTTTCCAAAGCTTTAGGTGCTCTTACTGCCTATTATAGGGAAAACCAAATGATTCCTAATCCATCTAAAATGCAGACGTGTGCTTTTAACCTTGAGAACAGACAAGCATTTCAAGCTCTGGGGATTACCTGGGAAGGAATCCCACTGGGCATTACAGCACACCCAAATATCTGGGAATAACTTGGACCATGCTCTGACTTACAAGAAGAACTGCTTAAATATCACGCAAAAAGTGGGCGCTAGAAATAATATCATACAAAACATGACGGGCACAACCTGGGAATCACAACCAGACACGGTGAAGACATCTGCCCTTGCGCTTTGCTACTCTGCTGCTAAATACACATGCCTAGTGTAGGACACTAGGCATGCGTATTAAAACAGTGGACATGGCTTTTAATGAGACATGCCACATTATCACAGGATGTCTACACCCCCACAGCACTGGAGAAATTATACTGTTTAGCCAGTATTGCATGACCTGACATCTGTTGGGAAGTAGCATCCAATAATGAAAGGGCCAAGGCAGTGACATCTCCGGCCCATCCTCTGTTTGGATATCAGCCAGCATGCCAATGACTTAAATCAAGAAATAGCTTTCTAAGATCTAAAGAGATACTCGCAGGAACACCTCAGCAAGCAAGAGTCCAAAAGTGGCAGGCTTAAACTCAGAACCTCAATTCATTGCTAATAACAAATAAGAGACTCCCTCCTGGGCACAGAGAAGACTGGTCAACTTGGAAGGTGCAGAACACCATGAGACACAGGGCCAGTCTTAAGAAATGGTGCTACACAGTGGAGTGCACGACATGGAAGTGCGGAAAAGACCAAACTACAGACCACCTATTACAATTTATTCCGAGCCCTGCCACATGCACAATGGAGGACCTTCTCACAGCAACACCAGAGGCACTCCAAGTGGCTAACTACTGGTCAAAGAACGTTTAATATAATGCCAAGTTTTTAAACGTTGTGTTTTTAAATACATCACAACTGTACCCTTGGTTTATCTACTACAATGCGGTCTGAGTCCTGCCACATGCACAATGGAGGACCTTCTTATAGCAACACCAAAGCTACTCCAAGTGGCCAGCTTCTGGTCAAAGGACATTTAGTATAATGCCAAGTTTTTAACTTTGTTCGTGTTTTTAAATGCATTACAACGGTACTCTCAATTTGCTTCTGACATGATAAATAAATCAATAGTTTGACTTGTAGATACACCGCAGTTGTAACTTAAGATGGATATCATCACTCCTTTTTCTTTGTAGTTACAGCCACTGTTACTTTTATAGATGAAGAAAGTAGCTTTGCTTTGGTTGTATCACAGGCCAGAGGCATATAGCATTCGAATGCCTTTCTTTTTAAGGATGTCAAAAAAGGTTATCATAAAAACAAATCACTGTTAAGAGAGAGCTTGGAATTGTGACAAATTATTTTCAAGGAACTTTCCAAACTTTTGTTACGTTTGTGCCATACAACTTTTCCTTTTCTGATTCATGGCGGGGTTTTGTTTTGGACGCTTAGAGCACAGAGTCCTTAGTTATCGGCACCCACACGCTCTCCCTGCCAATTCCACGTTAGCTCAGAGCCAACATTTAAAAATAAAAGCCTAACGAGTAATAAAAAAGGGCACAGAAAATAAACACGCTGCAGCTACAAATGGAAAAGGCCAGGCTGAGGGAAGGCCTCTCATTCTTGGCGACCATCCCGAGGAGGGAAAAGCATCAGTTTGTAATTTTCAAAAGCCTTCCAGCTGGACAGCCCTCGTCTGGGCAAGGCCACGATGGAAAGCGGGAAATGTACTAAACGGAGATGGTTAATTGACTGGGAAGCTCCAAGGAGTGAACTTGCCAAAGTCCTGGAGATTAAGCTGTAAGAAAAAGGCTGGTCACTCTGCACAGTTAAAGGGGCAGTTAATGCATCAAGACCAATTCAATTTAATTCAATGTTATTCAATTCAGCTCCCCCTTTTTGAAATTCCTCTCCAAGAGTATATTTAAGCATACCCCAGACCCTTCAACATCTCACATGTGTGCCAGGAATATCAGAGTCCGGTCGAAACGGCAATCATTATTAATGAGAAAGAATACAAAAGCTAGGAGAGGCTGCAACTGAGTTTGTGAGTGCCAACTACTTGGAATGCAGTTTGTGGCAATTTAGGTAGGCTGATGACAAAAGGAGAAAGTGGAAGGAGCAAAAAACTGGGGTGTTTTAGAAGCAAGTGACAAAGCAGGTGAAAATAGTGGGATGTTGTAGATCAGACTGAGGCTCCTGATGCTGTTGGGTTCACTGATGATTTCGAGAAGATTGTGGGATTTCCTGGGGCTTAAAGTGGTGAAGATTCAAACCTGGGGAATGACGCTTCTCTCTATGAGAAATCTGACTCGGAAAGTGCAGGGCTTCAAGGTCAGTCAGAGGAGCCAGAAACTGCAACATTAGATAAGGAGTCAGGCGAAGAGCTAAGGGATACAGAAGGCTCCCAGAGAAAAACACTTGGAGCTACAGAGATCAACAAATGTCTTTGTTTACAAAGCAGAGCAGAAAATAGGCATTGTCAGAAAGTTGGGGAGAAAATTCATGGGAAACAAAATGCTTTCATGGGTATCTATTAAATAGCAAGTTGTTTACCTAAAGGTTAGTTCAGGCAATGTAGCATTCAAGTGAGAATCTAGGCCTGAGTTCTCTGGATCTTGTTTCAAGTCAAGCCATGGTTTTGGATTCTAGTGTTCTGGAAGTTCCTGCTTTGGGGTTCCTGCTCAAGTTTTACTAAATATGCCTTTTGCTTGTGGACTTTGGGCTATTTGGGCCATTCCTGGGCTGAGTTACCTTTGAATCTGTATGAGACATTTTGATTCCTGTTGGATTGTCATGTATTGCTAAACCTTTTTGGATTATACATCTTCTTTCTTTATTCCTGTTTTTTTCCTATACTTTTTATGTGTTTTTATAATAAACTGTTTGCTTATATTCTGGACTCTGGTGTGGTGCTGTGGATGACCTATGAAGGTGCTTCCAGACCTGGGGTACAACAATGACAGAGGATTCATTGGTTCGCTCCAGTTGTTGGGGGTTATGATGGAAGTAGGAGAAAGGGAGTTTGTTTCCCTCTCATGGGTTCCAAAATGTCCACATACTTTTTCAAGAGTGTAAAGAAACTTCTGTAGGTACCTTTGCTCACATGAGCAGCAGCATCCAAAAGCATGAGTGCAAAGGAAAAGACAGCTGGGAATCACACCGTTCCACACCTCCTGGGGCTCTGAATGGCAAGCCCTTAACAAAACATGAGTCATTTTCTCTGGCTTGAACTGGTTTATAGTTGAGCTGACTAAGCACAAAACGTCTGGCCAGGAGAGGGGGAGATGGGAAACGCTGGGGAGGGAGAAAAGACAGAGCAGCAGCATGACAGCTGAGTCACAGAAGCCACAGGTGGGAAGATTTGCACATGCGGAGCGTCGCCAAAGAAAGGGCATGCCACTCTTGGGAAGGAAGGCAGGACACCAGCTAGAAACAGAATAGGCTGGCTGAAAGATTTATGTCACCCTTGATGACAAGCAAGGCCCTCAGACCTTGAAACTCAAGAAACTGTTGCTTTTAGAATTGGTGCAAGCCACCCAGAAAATCCCTCAAAGACATAGAAAGATGCCAAAATACCCACACAGCATACTCAACCAGCACCCTGAAGCCACACAGTCTCTCTGTAGTCACTCTCAAAGTGTCCAAAGGAAGAGATGGCAGGCCTTAAGTGCCTGTTGTCATTTTGAGAAAGTCTGCAGGGGGAACAGAAGTATTTGGGCTTGTGGAGGGGGCATTTTTTTAAAGTCTGGTGCATTTCCTAGCATAAAGGCCACATGGGCCGGGCTTCAGCACAGCAGGTTAACCGCTAGTTTAAGTAAATTGTGCTATTCAGAAAGTTGGCAGTTCAAAGCCAGGGTGTGCTCCTGGCATTCAGCCCAGCTTCTGCCAACCTAGCAGATCGAAAACAGCAATTGTGAGTAGGTAAATAGGACCGCTTTTTAAAAGTGGGGAAATTTAGGCATCCATAAGGAAATGCCAGGAAATGCCAGCGATTCAATCAAAAAGGAGGAAGTTTACGAACAAAAGCTCTTCAGCAAGGAAGATGGAGCGACACCTCCACCCCTCCCCCAGTGGCTGGAATCGAACACAGCCTCCAAGATGCTGAAGATCGGGGGGGGGGGGAAGCCTACATATACCTCTATCTATGTACAGTTGTCTGCCTTGTCATTGTCATAATGGCATTGAATGTTTGCCGTATATGTATTCTGTGATCTGCCCTGAGTCCCCTTGGGGGTGAGAAGCGTAGAATATAAATACTGTAAATTAGGATCTAGTACCATCTGTGGTTTGTATCTTTTGCTAGAGAGTAGCCCTTGTGTTGTAGTTCAGCCTGTGATTGTGTCTAATGTCAATGGGGATGAGGGTTCTTCTGGCCCTGTGTCTGTTGTCAATGAGAATGAGGGTTTTGCTGGGCCTGAGTTAAGCTCAGGACAGAGGCCTGAGCTGTCTGATGGATGGAGTGTTTATCGTGCAGATGCACAAGGTCAAATTCCTGGGAAGGGCCCACAGCAGTCTGTCTCTTGAGGATGATTTGTCAGGTGCAGAATTTAATCAGGATGAACTAGACTTTTGTAAACGAAGGCATTGTTCTCAGGCTTGAAGGAGGTCAATTCATCTCCAGGAGAAGAGAGATAAGAAAGCCTTATCTGGTTGCAAGAGCAAGTGAAATGCTTTCCTTTTGTTTCAGGGGCCAGGAAAGGCTTTATATTGATACTAGGAAAAGTTTCACTTTATTCTCATCAATGTTGATGCTTCATGATAGTTTGTTTCTCTAAGTGGATTTCTAGTTTCATGTTTCAAGTTTTTCCAAGTTCCTGTTCTGTTCCTGTTTTTAAACTTTGTGTTTTCTCAAATACATCACAACTGGACCCTTGATTCGCTCCTAATACGTTATCTTGTTACTTGGATGTTTATGGACTGACTTTTATCTTGGAACAACATTGCTTTGAACTACAGGGTGAGGCAGCATACCTTCCTTTTTTTAAATGCGCCATTCAGTCGGTTGAAGACGTGACGGAGCGCTAGTGGTCTCGTTTGAGGCGGGAGTATAAAGTTTTGTCCTGACACAGTTCAGTCGCCATCATGCGTTGGAACAGTGAGGAGTGTGCTTTTGCTATCGAGGTCTACTTTTCAAGCAGATTTGGAGTGGCCGGCCCGCTCTCCAGATTTGGCCCCTTGTGATTTTTTTCTATGGGGTTTTTTGAAATCCCGTGTTTATGTGAACCGTCCAAGGACCCTACAAAATTTGAAAACCAACATCCAGGAAGAAATTGCCAATGTAACGCCTGCTATGCTGGCAAGAGTCATGACAAACGCCAGAAATCGGTTTACTCAGTGTATGGAGAATGGAGAACGTCACCTACCTAATCTGATCTTCAAAACTAGGTAAAACAAAACTATAGGTATGTGCCTACATTATAATTTTTTTTTCTGATTCATACAATGGGTTTTATTAAGTTTTGAAAAAAGGAAGTTATGCTGCCTCACTCTGTATATTGTTTTTATCATTTTTATTGCTTTTCTCACTTATATCTTTCAATAAACTGCTTGCTGACTTACTACACTGATGTGGTGTTTAAAGACAGAGATGTTCCTATTCTGGCACCCAACACCTTGCAAGCCAGGAGATTCTGGGTGTTAGTCCTCAAACGACTCTTCTCGAGCTCTGAATAAGTTCTGCAGCTAACCTTTCCCCCCACATGATTGATGAGAAGTGCAAAGTGCACATGTACTTTGATGCCCAGAATCCATTTGGAAATGCAGGGAAACTATGGTTCATTCGCGTACAAGCCAATGTCAAAAGGCCTCCCCTGTTCTCGCTGCAAAATCCCTTGTGATGTCTCCCACTCACTTTTGGAGAGTATTATCTACCCACACACACACAGAGCCTCGTTGCCAAATTCACATTAAAACCTCTTCTCAAAAAACCGGCTAACTAAGCATTAAACTTTCAGACTGAACTAATAATCTATAAATTATACTCAGATGACAGTGCCTCTTAGGAAGAAATCGAGATCTTTAACAGATGGTCGAGGCCCGCGTTATATGAAGCCTGCTGAGTTGGATAATAAGACTGGATTACATTTCAAATCTTGCAAAGAACGTTCCAAGTTGCAAATTAATGAAGTGCAGGTCATAACCACATACGCTGGATGGAATATTAGACGTAATGAAAGCCTGATACAGTGCAGGTCTTGATCATATTAAGGGTACCCTTTGGATTTCAGGCAAAATAGGATGTGCTTGTACTCGTCTTTAGGCCAGAAAGAAGCAGTGTGATATTAGCCTTCTGACCCTAAGGTGAGCCTATTGTCAAGATTTGTTCAGCAGGAGTTTCACTGGAAATGATCCCCAACAGCTGCCCAGTCCAACCTCCTGCCATGCATGAAGACACAAACAAAGCACTCCTGACAGATGGCCATCCAGCTGTTGGGATTCTTTCCCAGCCCTACCTGGAAATTCTTGATGGCTCCCCATCTAAATACTAACCATCCTTACTTAGCTTCTGAAATCAGGCAAGTGTGAAACCACACATGAGATCTAACTGGCAGCTCTGCCCCATTTCTTCCAGCTGCTCTAATGTGGCAGGGAAAGGCCTGATTAATTCTCTATCATCAAACTTTTTCCAACATTCCATAATAATAATAATAATTTTATTTTTATACCCCGCCTCCATCTCCCCGAAGGGACTTAGGGCAGCTTACAATGGTTAAAACAGGTTAAAATAAGCATAGAAAACAAGCAATATCAAACATCAATAAACATAAAATCAGACAACATTATAAAAATGATTAAAAGCTATCACAGCTGAGCAAATAAAGTGCTGGGTTTAGTTCATAATTACTAAGTGCAATGAATCCTAAGAAGAGCCAGGGAAAGTGTGAAAGTGCGACATCCCTCAGTTTACTCTAGTTGGTGTTGTTGAAGATCAGCCAGAGGCTGATAGTTTAATTGATGATTTAGAGAGGATTGTGAGCTTTCCTTGGCACACAGTGATGGGCCCTCAAGTCTGGGAAATTCAAGTCTGGGAAATCATGGTACTCTCTCTGTGAGAAAACTGGCTTGTAAAGTACAGGGCCTCAAGGATATTCGGGGAGTCAGACGTAGCAACAGTAGATAAGGAATTGAGTAAAGAGCTGAGTGATAAGAAGGGTTCCCAGGAGAAACCGCCTGTAGCTACTTAGATCATCAAAAAACTTAAGTTTACAAATCAGAGCTGAAAATAGATTGTGTTGTTCAGAGAGGCTACATGAGAAAGTTGTGGAGAAAATTCATGGGAAACAGAATGATTTCATGGGTGTCTATTAAACAGCAAGTTGTTTACCTTAAGATCAGTTCAGGCAATACTGCATTAGAGCGGGAATCTAAGCCTGAGTTCTCTTGTTCCTGGTCCAAGTCAAGCTTTGGTATTGGATTTAATATATCCTGGAAGTTTTCTATGTTCCTGTTCATGTACTCAAGTTTAAGTTTTTACTACTTATACTTAAGCTGTACCTGTGATTTCTGACTGTTCCTGGACTTCATCACCTCTGGAACTTTATGAGACATTTGGATTATAGTTTGGTCCTCACCTGTTGCTAAACCTTTTTGGATTATTTGTCTTTGTTTCTTATTCCAGATTATTATATGTTTTTGTGTGTTTTTACTTATATTCCTGTACGTGTGTAGTACGGTGGTCATAGGTGTTTCCAGGCCCAGAGTGCAAAAGGTGCAAACTTAAGTTCAAAATGCAAAACTCAATTAACTTTATAAGCGGAGGAATTTTGTCCTTCCCTGTAGACTCAAGAGAAAGCAAACTGGAGCCTCTCCTTGGTTGCACATTAATATATTTTGCCATCTTGGCCACACTCTGTTGTTGCCTGGCTCCATTTTTTCCCAGTTTCATTGCTGAAATGTTGTAATCCCTCTGAATTTTCAAGTCAGTACCCTTTTCTTTCTTGAGCTTAATAAAGCTTCACTTACCTTTTCACCTTTGGGCCCAGGTGGTCCGATTGGCCCTGGTGGTCCTGTGTGCCCCTGAAAGAGAGAAAGACAATGCATTGGAATGGTGATACTTTGGCGGGAAGATAATAAAGGCGCCCAGGCAACCTTGCCGGCAACACGACTAGAGAGGTGTCTATGGACAACAGGCTCCTCAGCTTGGAAATGGAACAAGAACACTTCCCCATGGCCAAAGTGAGCACCATCTCCAGAAGCCGGAGATGAAAGGGGAAGCCTTTATCTTTGTTCTGTGTATTTGTATGTTGTTGTTATTGAGTGTTTGCCTATCTGTGTATGTTGTAATTCGCTCTGAGTACCCTCGGGGAGATAGAGAGGAATATAAATAAAGTGTTGTTGCTATTGTTATTATTATACAGTTAAATTACATTCGTATCTGCTAAAGCTTTGCAGATGAATCAGACAGAATCCCCATAGGGCCAACCATTTCTCCAGCTATGGACAAACCCAGCATGGTCATACAGAGAGCCAACCTGAAGCAAAACGAGCTATAGAAAGTAATGAACAAACAGCCAAATAGAAGGGCTTACCTGGTAGCCCTTCATGCCAGTTTCTCCTTGGACACCCATTCGACCTGGAGCACCCTGTAAAGAAAAAGCAAAGAGAAAAGAGGGTCATCTCTAGGTTTACGGAGCTCTACCTGATGGTGTTTACACTCAAATGAAACCTTGGAAATCTTCAGGCTGATAAAATATATCTTTTTAGCTGGCTAGGGGAGGGAAGAGGCAAGGTGAGTCTCTCGGGTGGGCACCTACCCACATAGCAAACAAGGCAAGCGTTAAAGGTAACATTTGGAGAATTCTGCCCTGGCCTCAAATGCAAGAAACTAGCACTCATTTCTCACCATCGCTCCCAGGGTTCCTCTGGATCCTTTTGGGCCTTGAGTCCCCTTGGAACCCGTTTTCCCAGGTGGGCCGGTCTCCCCAAGTTGACCCTGATGACCTTTGCTGCCCTGCAGATGCAAGTGTAGATGTCAGCAATAGTAAACCAATGAATCTGAATGCAGAAAGGCCTCACAGGACTATAGGCTTCTCCAAGAAATGAAGAACAAATACACATGTAAGCAGAGAGGTGTCACATTGTTTGAAAGAGATGTGCAATTCAGACAAAAGCCTGTAAATCGCCTAGAGCATCTTGGATGGAGGGCAATTAATAAGTAATTAAATGATGATGATGATGATGATGATGATGAAAATATACCGTTTCAGGTATATTGGAGACTTAATTCTATCCTCTCCAGGAGCCGATAAAATCCGGCTTCCTATTCCTATTCCAGTTCCCATTCTATTTTTTGGAGATTATATAAAACAGACCACTGAATATTACAAATAATTTTCATTCAAACTAATTTGGGCCCAAGCCTATTGTTTGAGCATACAGTGGACAATTACAATTCTATTATTTTATCAATTTGCCCCACCTCATCCCCATCTGTTTTTAAAGCATGGTGCGCCCCCCCCCCCCCCCCTTCCCGGTAAACATAAAATCTGCAGATATTCAAATTCCATTATATACAATGGCATAATACAATTGTGTTCCTTTATATTTGATACTAATGTGTTTGAATATATGGATTTCATTGTATGGATTTTATGGTGCTGTGTTTTGACTGTGTTGTGCCCTGCTTCGGAAGGAAAAGCATAAGACTCTCCAAGCAGTCATACCAGTCACACGACCGAAAGGTGACAACGCAGGTTCCTCAGCTTGGAAATGGAGAAAGCCTCCCCCAGAGCCAAAGATGAGCACCACCTCCAAAACCAGAAATGAAAGGAGAAACCTTTGCCTTTGTTTGTGTTTGTGTGTCTCATTATATTGTAACAAGGCATTGGATGTTTGCCGGGATCTGTTTACACTGTAATCCGGTCTGTGTCCCCACTGGGAGAAGGGCGGAATATAAATAAAGTATTATTATTATTATTATTATTATTATTATTATTATTATTATTATTTGAAACACAATAAGGTTAATACACAGTAAACAAGATTACTCTGCTGGCTATTGTATTGGATCACACGTCGGACACTTCCCAAATGTCTAGGACTGTGTGATGTATCGGAGAATAATGCATGCAGAACTGAGTAGGGTGGTCTTTTGCAGCTGGCAGATGGTAATTTTGTCAGTGTCAATTGTGTTTAAGTGCAGGCCAAGGTCTTTAGGTACTGCACCCAATGTGCCGATCACCACTGGGACCACCTTGACAGGCTTGTGCCAGAGTCTTTGCAATTATTATTATTTGAGACACAAAAAGATTAGTACACAGCAAACAAGATCACTCTGCTTGTTGTTGTATTGGATCACACATCGGACACTTCCCAAGTGTCTAGGAATGTGTGATGTATTGACAAATAATACATGCAGATCCAAGTATGGAGGCCTTTTGCAGTTGGCAGATGATAATTTTGTCAGTGCCGATTGTGTTTAAGTGCAGGCCAAGGTCTGGGACCACTTTTACTGGCTTGTGCCAGAATCTTTGCTATTATCATTATTATTAGTTTTCTAATTCAGAGACTGCTTCCATGCTAATATGGGAAGTTAGTGCTTCAATAGTACAGCGTTATTAAAGGGTTTGGATGCAAACCATATATATGCAGGTAAAGGTTATAGAATTGGAAGCTCTCAAAATTTTCAAAGACCTGTTTTCCCTTCTGGGTGAGTCCAGAGATATCTATATAAATAAAACTGTAATGTTTGTTTGTGGGATTAACATAACTCAAAAACCACTGGGAGAATTGACACCAAATTTGGACACAATACACCTATCAGGCCAACAAGTGACCATCACTCATAAAAACACTGAAAAACACAGAGGAAGAGACTTAAAAAGCCAAAAAATAAAAAATACATTACAACGCATTTGCAAAACCACATATATACTTTTAATATACATGTGTTATTGTGATAATTTTATGCTTTTGGTAATTCTCTTTCACCTCTCAAGGCAGATTTGGCCCTTCTTAAATTGAAAGTATGAAGGTATTCTAACCCAGATCCATAATAGTGTAACTATGCCTTGGATTTTGCAATGTAACCATCCATAGGAGTCAAAAGAACAGAGGGAAGTGTACCTTGGGTCCAGTCTTCCCCTTTTCCCCTTGGCGGCCGGGCTTTCCTTCCGGTCCCTGAAGAAAACAAGAGAGAGGATTTTACCCCATTGTGCAACAACATTCCCCAAAGGATACTGGAACACAGAGAACAAGGATGAGGAGGAGAGGTAGACAAGCAAGGCTAGGAGAGAGGCTATTAGGTATTTTCCCAGAGATGTAAGATGACTCATTTCTGTTTCATCACTTGGAACATGGAAGCCAAGGGACTCTGTATTGCGATGACTCCCGCAGCCCTCGGGCGGAAGGCCAAGGAATCGGTGGGACAGAATGGAACAGCTGCTGGAGAACACACAAAAGAATGAGCTTGGACAGCATTTTGGCAGGAAGGACAAAGGACTCCAGTTTTCAACAGGATTTTCTTTGCCACTTGGTTGCATTGTTTTAAAGTCTGCCTCTGCCTTTGAACACATTCACACCACAGAAGCCCATGTTCTGGTTCAGTGCATAGATACACATAACCTCATTTGGTTCTGAACTGACCATCACGGAGATTTAGCCTTCTGTATTTTGGAATTGAAGCCTCTCTGCCATTCCAAAAAGCTTCACATGCAGACAAGAAATGTTCCTAGAAAGAAGCTTCAGGAGTTGAACATATCATCACGCTGGTGAGCCTAGCAATGCCCAGAGGGAATGTACTGTTTTGCAGTGGCTCCTGGAGAACCATTCCCAGAAGGTGTTGTTGGAGGACAGCTGCTTGGCCCCACAGCCATTGTCCTGTGGGGTCCTGCTCAGTTCAGTACTGTCCCCATGTTGTTTAACATCTAGATCAGTGGTTCCCAGCCTTTCTAATGCCATGACCTCTTAATACAGTTGTGGTGACCCCCAACCATACATTTATTTTTGTTGCTACTTCAAAACAGTGATTTTGCTACTGTTATGAATCGTTATGTAATATCTGATATGCAGGATGTATTTTTATACACTGGACCAAATTTGGCACAAATACCCAACACTTCCACATTTGAATACTGGTGGGGTGGGGGGATTGATTTTATCATTTGGGAGTTGTAGTTGCTGGGATTGATAGTTCCCCTACAATCAGAGAGCATTCTGAATTCCACCAACGATGGAATCGAACCAAACTTGGAACACAAAACTCCCATAACCAACAGAAAATACTGGAAGGGTTTGGTGGGCATTGGCCTTGAGTTTTGGAGTTGTAGTTCACATATATCCAAAAAGCACCGTGGACTCAAACAATGATGGATCTGGACCAAACATGGCACAAATACTCTATATGCCCAAATTGTGAACAGTGGTGGAGTTTGGGGAAAATAGACCTTGACATTTGGGAGTTGTAGTTGTGGGGATTTGTAGTTTTCTGAACCCCACCAATGATAGAACTGGGCCAAACTTCTCACACAGAACCCCTATGACTAACAGAAAACACTGTGCTTTCTGATGGTCTTTGGCAACCCCTCTGACATCCCCTCACGACCCCCCCCCCCAGGTGTCCTGACCCCCAGGTTGAGAAACACTGATCTAGATAAAGCCGCTGGAAGAGATCATCCAGAGTTTTGGAGTTCAATACCATCTGTACTCAGAGGACATCCAACTCTATCACTCCTTTCCACCTGCTACTAAGACGGCTGTTCAGGTCCTGAACTGGTGCTTGGCAGTTGTGACAATCTGGATGAGGGCAAACCATAATTCCATAATTTAAATCATAATTCCTAATCCTGGCTTGCAAGCTTCCACAAAGCATGGGCCTTCCCAAGTGAGGACTCTCTTCAAACCATGGCGGAACTTCCTTAACAACAAGGTAACATCTGTTTTAGTACAGAAGACATTCATATGATGGTTGGCCTCAAATCCTCATGGCAAACGGTAGATTAAAAACCTTCAGAAGTAATCTCCAAAATGAAGAACTAAGCTCCCTGCTTTGCTGCAGAAATAGGGATTTTCTTGTTCTCCTAAACATGTTGGATTTCATTACCTACGGACTCAGCAATTACTTTCCTGGAACTGTAAAAACGTTGGCTACTTTCATATTCGCAGGATACAAAGGGCTGCGTATTTATGAAAAGCCGCAGCGCTCGGTAACAGCAAGCAAATGAAAACCCATCGGCTTGGCTCCTGCCAGTTGGCAAACTCTTCGTGTGGCTTCTGGCTCATCAAGCACACGACGAAGGAGGGAACTGAAACACTTGGTGCCTTACAGCAGAGGAGCGAGAAGAGAGATTTAATAAAGAATATGTGCTCAGGAGTCTTTACTGGATGGGATGGGTGATGCTCAGCTCGGGCCAGTTGCGTCCAGCTGCTGAGGAGCTGCTGATGGTTATATAATGAAAGCTTTGGTTCACCTTGACCACAGGAGCATGACTGAATGAGCAGTAGTGTGCTCAGTGAGGCATGGAGGGCTTAAGGCATTCCTGAGAGCAGGACCCACTGAGATCGTGTAGGACGCACACACATTAATGCCCACATTTGTCCCTGCCGATGCACAGGCAATATCTAACCTAGATGCTCAGAAGCCGTTCTCCTCTTCTTGCAATACTTTATCTCCTAGCCATACCTCAAACAAATACTTTCCCTCCCCTCCTCTTCTTTTTTTTTAATTAAAAACTGGAACTCTTAACTTGATCAAACATTTATTCAGCACCAATTCATTCAGGTCAAGACCATCCCCGCCAGCATTTTTCAGTTGCATAGGAGTTTTAGGGCTTTTTGTACTCTGCCACTGAGCTACATTCCTGTTGTAGATCAGCCAGAGACTGATGGTTTAACTGATGATTTAGAGAGGATTATGAGCCTTCCTGTGGCACAAAGTGATGGGCTCTCAAGCCTGGGAAATTCAAGTCAGGGAAATTATGGTTCTGTCTGTGAGAAAACTGGCTCACAGGGCCTCAAGGGTAATCAAAGGAGCCAGAAGTAGCAACAGTAAATAAGGAATTGAGTGAAGAGCTAGTGATAAGAAGGGATCCGAGGAGAAATCACCTGAGCAGAAAATAGATTGCATTGTTCAGAGATTACATGGGAAAGTTGTGGAGAAAATTCATGGGAAATGGCAAGGTTTCATGGGTGTCTATTAAACAGAAAGTTGTTTACCTTAAGGTCAGTTCAGTCGATGCCGCATTAAAGTGAGAAGTTAAGCCTCAGCTCTCTTGTTCCTGGTTCAAGTCAAGCTTTGATTTTGGATTATCTATCTATCTATCTATCTATCTATCTATCTATCTATCTATCTATCTATCTATATCTCCTGTAAGTTTTCTATGATCCTGTTCTTGTACTCTTGTTCAAGTATTTACTAGTTTTACCTACTTGCTTGTGGACATGCTATACCTGTGATTTCTAGCTGTTCCTGGACTTTGTCACCTTTGGAACTTCAGGAGGCATTTGGATTACTATTAGGTTATCACCTGTTGCTAAATCTTTTTGGATTATATATCCTGATTTTTATATGTTTTTGCAATAAATTGTTTACTTATATTCCTAGACATTTGTGTGGTGTGGTGGTCATAGGTGTTTCCAGGCCTGGAGTGCAACAAAGCAAACAAAAAACTCTGCTCTACATTTTGTTGGGTGCCTTGAAGTCATTTCTGATTTATGGAGACCCTAAGGTGGACCTCCCATGGGTTTTTTTTAGGGAGGGGTTTGCCTTTGCTTCCTCTGAGGCTGAGAGAATGGGCTTGCCCAAGGTCCTTAATGGATGTCCATGGCTAAGCAGGGATTCAAATCCAGAGTCATAGGCCAATGCTGAAAGCACTACACCACGTTGGCTCTCCGCTAGCTATCCTAAATCACAGCAGCACATTATAAAAATAGTCAGTGAGGCCTAACAAAGGAAGTGGTGAGAAGAGAAGATCATGGAGGAGGCGAGGGGCTGGCTGGGATGGATCACAAATCAGGCAGACATGTTTCCAAATATGATTTGTAAGAAGCAGCATTTATGTGCCTTTAAAAATATTATTTATATAAAATGTGCACTAAAAATACAAAATGGGGCCATAACACTACAATAAAGAATAACAAGGGAAAGTGATTACAAGCAGGCAGAACTGTATTGGCTCCTCGTGCTACTTTTTCAAAAGGTCATGTTTAGTTTTGGCACAAGGAGGCTGCAGCCTCCGATCTTGCCTACTGACTGGAGCGCTACAACCTCACGGGGAAGGGATGGTTTGTTTTGCTTTACAAAGCAATACTTCTCCTAGTTCTCGCGAAATGGCTGCGGGTTTTGTTTTCTCCTTTGAGGCCAGACTTTACTTTTCCACAAGGAAGACAGGCGGTCATGCGCCTGGACTCAGCACTTTCCATTCCCCAAATGAGACCCTGGGAAGTGACAATCAGGATTATATACAATCGGCCCTCTGCTTTGGCAGGCTTCAGGATGTGCGGATTTGATGAAAATGTTCTCTCTAGGAATCTTTAGACCCTTCAGTGCGATTCTACAGTCAGCTTCTGCCTGGGGGAATCCTTTGTTGAGAGGTAATTAGCTGTCCCTGATGGTTTTGTCCTTATGTTTCCCTTCCCTCCTTTTTATCTAGAGCAAGCATGGGCAAACTTGGGCCCTCCAGGTGTTTTGGACTTCAACTCCCAGAATTCCTAACAGCCAGTAGGCTGTTAGGAATTGTGGGAGTTGAAGTCCAAAACACCTGGAGAGCCCAGGTTTGCCCATGCCTGATCTAGAGATTCCTAGAAATATGAATAAAATCTCCTCCTAACGCCAGCAAATGTAGCGGGATGACTGCATATTGATTTATTTATTATTGACAGCACTTATATTCCACCCTTCTCACCCCGAAAGGGTGTATGTCCCCAACTCAATGCCGGCAGGACTGAAGACCAGTGACCTGCAGGTTCAAATCCGGGAAGAACGCGTATGAGCTCTCTCTGTCAGCTCCAGCTCCCCATGTGGAGACATGAGAAAAGCCTCCCAAAAGCATCCAGGCACCCCCTGGGCAAAGTTCTTGCAGACAGCCATTTCTCTCACAACAGAAGCGACTTGCAGTTTCTCAAGTCGCTCCTGACAGGAGAGAGAAAAAAAACACGAGCCTAAGTCTGCAACAACTATTCTTAATTAATTTATTGAGCGCAATGTCCTTAAATATTATTTTATATTTATTTAAATGCATATGAAATGTATTTTGTTGACATAAAAGTATAGAAACTCTAGTGCATATACCTGGCATTGCCCAGATATATATTTTCTTCATGGCTCTTTCTTTCCACCATTTCTTTCATATTCCTTCTTGCTCTCTTCCTTCCTTCCTTCCTTCCTTCCTTCCTTCCTTCCTTCCTTCCTTCCTTCCTTCCTTCCTTCCCTCCCTCCCTCCCTCCCTCCCTCCCTCCCTCCCTCCCTCGCTTTGCCTCATACACCTCCACCTCCCTGTTTCTTTCTTCCCTTTTTCTTCCCTTCTTTTTCTTTCTTCCCTCCCTTCCTTTATCTCTTCTTTCTTCTCTTCCTTACTCTTCCCCTTTTCCCTTTCTTCCTTTCCCCTCAAATTTTTTGTCCTGTCTGCGTTGTTGTAAGTTTTCCGGGCTGCCTGGCCATGTTCCAGAAGCATTTTCTCCTGACGTTTTTGCCTGCATCTATGGCAGGCATCCCCAAAGGTTGAGAGGTCTGTTGGAAACTAGGAAAATGGGGTTTATATAACTGTGAAATGTCCAGGGTGAGAGAAAGAATTCTTGTCTGTTGGCGGTAGGAGAGAATGTTTCAATTGGCCACCTTGATTAGCATTTAATGGCCTAGCAGTTATCAAAGTGGTCTAGATCCATCAATCCATGCAGGAGCCTTTGTGTTACAAACCAGCCAACCAACAAACATAAACATGTTGACGCATGCACACATGTATATATATATATGTACATTGACTAACTTAACCACTCTACAAGATGCCAGTAAGGTCAAGCAACAGAGTAAAGCCAAGCAGAGAAAAAGCAAGGGATCGTGGAAACTCACGCGGACGCCTGTCATGCCAAGGTATCCGGGAGGGCCTTCTTTTCCTTTGATGCCTTCCTGTCCCTTGTCGCCTCTTTCTCCTTCAGGACCAGGCTCTCCTTTATCACCCTGGAAGAGGAACACAGGATGAACAATGCTTTCATACTCAGAGACATAGGAGAAGTATTTGGAGGAGAAGTATGAGGAGAGGAAGCAGGGGCTTCCCAAAGAAGAAATATATGACTCCGACAGCAAATTTGCATTAACACATCTTTACTGATCTGATGAACTTTTTTACACAGTGGATCTAGAATACTGCTTATTGGTGTCTGATCCATTTTGGTTCATTGTTGTCAGGTCGGCTTCGACTTATGGTTCCCTTTGAATGAGGAAGACATCCAAAGCATTCTGTTCTCAACAGCTCTGATCAGGTCTTGTATATACAAGTCTCCTTGACAGAAATTACCACCTGCAATGCCATCTCTCTTTTTTCTTCCTGCCTTGTGTTTTTCCTAGTATGTTTGGACTCATTCTGATCTTTGCGTGTGTCAACTGGTGACTCATGGCAACCCCATGAATTTCTTAGGGTTTTCTTAGGCCAGGAGCAGTCAGAGGTGATTCAGCCAGTTCCTTCCTTCAAAACAGAGCCTACATAATAATAATTATTACAGACCCTACTGTTATTATTACAAGGGTTGAATGAAAAGTAATGCCTCCACCTTCGTTACTTGGGTTTGGATGGGAATATTTTAATAACTCAAACACAGAAATAATCCTTAGCATGTGCTCTTTAACTACCACTATTCACTTTTCCACATAATCACCAGAGCATTGGATACATTTCTGCCAACGATGAACTAGTTTTCTGAAGCCGTCACGGAAGAAATCGACACTCTGTTTCCGCAACCAGCGTCTCACAGTTCTTTCAACATCTTCATCAGAAGCATAATGATGTCCCCGCAGATCTTCTTTCATTATCGGGAACAGATGGAAATCAGGCGGTGCTAAATCTAGACTGTATGGAGGATGTCATACAGTGGTGAAATCCAGTCTCTGAAGTTTCAAGTCTGTGTGCTTTCATTTCAGGCATCAGCATCCTGGGTATCCATTGTGTACAGATCTTCTGATAGCCAAGCAAAGCAATAATGTGACTCACATGTTCTTGTGAAATGCCGATTATGCTTGAAATTTCTCAATGATCATCCTGAATCAATCTGTCAACCTTTTCCTTGTGAAACTCGGTGGTTGTTGTCACAGGACGTCCAACTTTGTTTGTCATGCAAGTCAGATGTTCCCATCTCAACATCTTTAAACTTACTTGCCCAATGATGCACAGTATTCACATCAACACAATCACCATAAACAGCTTCCATTCTTTGATTAATCTCCTTTGGGGTGACACCTTCTGCTGTCAAGAATTCAATGACTGCACGTTACTACGACCGTCTGTGCATACCTCGCACTTTAACAACACAACTGTTCAGTGCTAAGGCTTCCCATCAAAATGGAACTGTAGAGGAGAGTCTACTGAACAAGCCAGTATCTGCCGCATACCAGTACTGCCATCTGTTGAGGAGTTACGAAGGTGGAGGCATTACTTTTCTTTCAACCATCGTAGTAGTATTATCACTACTACTACTACAGACTTGGTAGTCATTGGCAGTCCACCTGGGCATTGATAAGGAAGTTGAGGAGGAAGTTTACAAACAAAACTCTATGACAGGGAAAGTGACGCAACAGCACCCCCTTGTGGCAGAAACCAAGCACAAGCCTCCAAGTTGCCAAAGATAGGAAAGCGTGTGTGTGTGTGTGTGTATGTATGTATGTGTATATATATATACACACACACACACACACATACACAGTTGACTGTCTTGTCTGTGTATAACAGCATGGAATGTTTGTTGTATATATGTTTTGTGATCTGCTCTGAGTTCCCTTTGGGGTGAGAAGAGAGGAATATTAATACTGTAAATAAATAAAAATAAATATCACTTCCCTTGAGATGTTTACTTTTAACTCAAATTAAGAAGGAGGCTGGTTTCTTGCCTTACTCCTGCCTTACTATCGGAACTAATACTGCTTCCTTTACCTCCTCTGGCTTGTTACATGCACAAACTATGTTAAAGATCTGAGAGGAGAAAGCATTTGTTACGGAGCAATTCAGTAATGTCTTTGGGCGCGGGGCTCAGGTGGAATCAAGGTAATTTTTTAAAAAACTGGATTATCTCATAAAGAGAGACTTGCTCAGCTGTGACATTTGATGATAGATTGCCACAGAGAAGAGCAGCAAATTATATCCCTGGACTGACATAACAAGGGTTTTTTTTGTTCATTTGGCAGGAGTTTCAAGGAGAGATTGACGTTTTCCTGGAATGGAAGAACTTGGCTGACATGGCCATGGAGTCTAGCTGGGAAAGAAATGGTACAAAGTAAGGGAAATGCATTCTTGCTGGCTGCACTGATGAGATGGGCACATTTCCAGGCTCCTTCTAGAGAAAGAGGATTTGCGGGGAAGTGAGATTCCTCTAAGTGGGACATTTTTGTGGCCAAATGTGAAGAGAAAGAGCTGCGATTTTTACCTTCAGTCCATCTTGTCCTGCTGGCCCATTGTCACCTTCAAGACCCGGCTCACCCTACAAAAAAAAGGGTGAAGAAAAGGAAGAAAGGGAGGGAGGGAGGGAAGGAGGAAGGAAGAGAGAAAGGAAGGGAGGGAGGAAGAGAGGAAGAGAGGAAGGAAGGAAGGAAGGAAGGAAGGAAGGAAGGAAGGAAGGGAGGGAGGAGGGGAGGGAGGGAGAAAAAGAGGAAGGGGGGGAGGGGAAGGAGGGAAGGAGGAAGGAAGAGAGAATGGAAGGGAGGGAGGGAGGAAAAAGGGAGGGAGGGAGGAAAAGAGGAAGGAGGGAGGAAAAAAGGAAGGAAGGAAGGAAGGAGGAAAATGAGGGAGGGAAGAAGGGGAATATTAAGTTTTTGTTTGGATACTTAAGAATTTGTTATGAATATGGTTAATGTAGGAGGTATGAGTAGTATGTATGTACACATAGCTGCTGAGAGGAAGACAGGAAGTCACATTTTTCTTTGTTTTCTTCCTTTCATATATATACATATACATACACACACACACACACACACACACACACATATATATTCCTGTACTGTTATATTTAAGACCTGGATCACCCTACAAGAAACCAAAGGAAGACTGTTGACATACACTGTCATAGCAAGACGACTTGAACTCGAGTCCTGGACTTTCCTAGAAGATGTCAAAACTAAGCATTGGCTCAGGAAATATGTGAGGCAGAGAGAGGATTTAACATATGTCTTTAAGACATTTCCCAACTTATGGTGATCCTGAGGCAAGCCTATTGTAGGGTTTCTTTGGCAAGATTTCTTCAGAATAGGTTTATCATTGCTTTATCCTGAGGCTGAGAGAGTGTGACTTAGGTCTCCCAAAGTAATGGTTGATTAAGGATTCGAACCCTGGTCTCCAGAATCATAGTCCAATGCTTAAACCGCTCCACTCCACCGATTCCTCTGGTTTAACATAGTTCTTAAAATGCAATGGCAAGAAAACATCCAGCCCCTTTCAAGGCCTGTTAATGTGATTGCAAAATAGGGGGTGAAGCATATTTTGGACTTCATTTTAGGACTGGTGACATTTTGGACTATATAGCATCTTTGGTATTACAAAGTCAGTGAGATGGCATTTCTACTCACGCGTTGACCAATAAGGCCTTGTTCTCCTGGAACCCCAAGTGGTCCAATATCACCCTATCAATGCACAGAGAGAGAGAGAAAGTGGCCTTTTAAAATGCAGTTTAATAAGGACAGGTTGGAAGTCATGCATTATAGCAACATCATGTGAAAAGCATGACTTTTTTTACATTGAGGACACAATAACTTCATCATTTTTACTCATTGTGTTAACACGTTGTGGGTTTGATACCAAAACTAATGCACACTTGTTTTTTCAAATATATTGATTGTTTTAATGTTATGGGTAGCTGGATTTAGACAATGTAATGAAAGTAAACCATGAAATGTTACAGCATCACTCAAACTACAAAAACTGAAGCCATCATCCACTTCATAGGAAATCTGCTACAAAACAGGAGCTTTTTTGTTGAGATCGAAGGTCAGAGAAGCAAATGGCGAAATCAGAAAAATGGACTGTTCAGGGGAGCGTGCTTGTTCCATCCATGTTCAAAATTTACACAAATGACCACCTACTGCCAGAAGGGACAGAGAGCTTCAGCTATGCTGATGATCGTGCCATCACCGCCCAAGCAGGAAGCTTTCAAATGGTGGAACAGAAGCTCTCTGAAACTTTAGGTGCTCTTACTGGCTATTACAGGGGAAACCAGCTGATTCCTGATCCATCTAACAGACATGTGCTCGTCACCTTAAGGACAGACAAGCATCTAAAGCTCTGAAGATGACCTGGGAAGGAATCCCACTGGAGCACTGCAGCACACCCAAATACTTGTGAGTTACTCTGAACTGTTGCTCTGACTTACAAGAAGCACTTCTTGGCTATCAAGCAAAAAGTGGTTACTAGAAATAATATCATACGAAGGCTAACTGGCACAACTGGGGGATGACAACCAAACAAAGTGAAGACATCTGCTCTTGCGCTTTGCCACTCTGGTGAATACATTCCCAGTGTGGAATACATCTTACCACGTTAAAACAGTGAATGTGGCTCTTATTTATACATGCCACATTATCTCATGATGCCTGCGCCCTACACCACTGGAGAAATTATACTGTTTAGCCGGTATCGCACCACCTGACACCTGTCAGAAAGTAGCAGCCTGTAATGCAAGGGCCAAAGCGTTGACATCTCTGGCCCATTCTCTATTCGGATATCAGCCAGCATGTCAATGCCTTAAATCAAGAAACAGCTTTCTAAGATGTGCAGAGATACTTGCAGGAACACCTCAGCAAGCGAGAGTCCAAAAGTGGCAGGCTAAAACCCAGACCCTCAATCAGTGGCTGGGACCAGATGAGAAACTCCCTTCTGGGCACACAGAAGACTGGGCAACTTGGAAGGCGCTGAACAGACTAGAGCTCTGGCAGAGCCAACCTTAAGAAATGGGGCTATAAAGTGGAGTCCATCACATGCAAGTGTGGAAAAGAGCAAACCACAGACCACTTACTGCAATGCAGTCTAAGCCCTGCCATGTGCACAATGGAGGACCTTTTCACAATGACACCAGAGGCACCCCAAGTGGCCAGCTCCTGGCCAAAGGAAATTTAGTATAATGCCAAGTTTTTGACTTTGTTGGTAGTTTTTCTATACATTATATCTGTATTCTTAATGAGCTCCTGAGACGATAAATAAATAAACCCGACTTCCTGTCTTGTACCCAGCATTTCCAGTCAATGGGATGGGCAGGCAGGCGAAGCAAATAAATGGGGATTTTGTTCCAGGGGTAAGTTAAGAAGGTGGCCAAATGCCAATGAGGGGAGGTGAAATCTTAGATGGACCCCAAGAGTCCAAAGGCCCATAGCTTCGGAGAAGTGTTGGAAGACTTGCCAAGGCAAACTGAGCCATGGGAAACGGATGAAGGACTCAAAAGGGAAACTGGATTTAATCCCCAAATAAATTATCCAACTGATGTGCTATTGGCCCTTTACCAAGAGGAAAAGAGAGATGAGAGATTGGGAGGAAGCATTAGAGTTGCCACCTTGATTTCTGAGATGATCCTTTTCCTTAACATCCATATGAGACAAAGGTGGGCACAACACAAGTTTTCTTCATGCTGAAAAGAACTGAACCTGCTGGATCCAGCTGGAGCAGAGAGTGGGTAATGTTGACTCTGACTGTTTTGAAAGGAAGTTAACTGTATTTTCTGACTGCATATCTGGGACACAAGGAACTTGAGACTACAAAAGTTAAAATTCAGGAGAAAACTATTATAAAATTCTCACCCAATGGACAAAAATAATATTTTAGGGGGACTGTTATTGCCTTTTGTGGCTCTACATCTGTGAACTGACTCTTCCCTTGCAGCTGAGTCAGGTTTAAATTGGAATTGTCCATCAGATCTTGGGCAGCATTTTGGGGGTAAGATCTTGGGTAGTATTGGAAGATGTGCAGCCTTTGGGGATAAGGAATCATACAAAGATGGTACTTGGCCTCAGAAACAAAAAAACATGAATTACTGTGAGTTTTCCAGGCTGTCTGGACATGTTCCAAAAGCATTCTCTCCTGATGTTTTGCCTACAACTATGGCAGGCATCCTCAGGGGTTGGGAGGTCTGTGGAATATCCAGGTCAGGATAAAGAGGCAAGTATGAATGTTGCAATTGATTACCTTGATTAGCATTGAATAGCCTTGCAGCTTCAAAGCCTGGCTGCAAAGACAACTCTCAGAAAACAGGGGAATTCCAGACAGGAAACAATCAGGGCCAGCTGACACCTCCCAACAAAGGATTTCCCCAAGTAGGAAGCAGCCAGGCGTTGAAGCTGCAAGGCTATTCAATGCTAATTAAGCTGGCCAATGGCAACATTCACACCTGCCTTTAACAGACAAGAGTTCTTTCTCCAACTCAGGACATTATTCCACTTGCCTAGTTTCCAACAGACCTCACAACCTCTAAAGACGCCTGCCATAGATGTGAGTGAAATGTCAGGAGAGAATGCTTCTGGAATACAGCCATGCAGCCTGGAAAACTCACAGCAATTCCGGCCATGAAAGTCTTTGACAACAAAAAGCAACATCGTTATCTCAAATCTGAAGCCAACATTGTGTAATGAGTGGGTACATGGATCCCCCCAACCCTTTTTACCTTCATGCCTGGTTCACCTGGAAGGCCACGCCGTCCCACAGAACCGGGTGGTCCCTTGGAGAAAAGGAAAGAAGACAAAGTAAAACCCACTGTTACTAAAACCAAGAAGATAAGATCACAGGTGGAGTTTTTACAGCTGAATAGTTGAGGAAGAGAAGAGTAATGGCATATTATTACCCCTAACTTGGCTTTAGGAAAGAGAGAGAAAGAGCAGATCTATTGCCCACTTCCTTTCCTCTTTCTATTCACTTCCCTTTGAATTCTCTGCCCTCTTTCTCCCCAAAGAGTTGTTGCAGGACTTTTGCTCCAGGTTACGATTGTCAAAGCACTAGCACTGCTTCGTGTTGCCTACCTCTTTCTGAACTGAGCTGTGAAATGCACAGTAATGAAGTGCTGCAGATCAGCCTGAGGTTCCTGAGGCTGATGGGTTCATTGATAATTTAGAGAGGATTGTGGGATTGTCTGTGAGATTTCTCGGGGCTCAGAGTGATGATGATTTAAGTCAGGGGATGATGATTCTTTCTGTGAGAAATCTGACTCAGAAAGTGCAGGTCTTCAAGGTCAGTCAGAGGAGCCAGAAATGGCAATATTAGATAAGGAGTCAGGTGAAGAACTAAGTAATACAGAAGGCCCCCAGGAAAAAACACCTGGAACTATGGAGATCAACAAAAGTTTTTGTTTACAGATTAGAGCAGAAAATAGGCAATTATGTGGGGAAAAGCGCAATTATGTGGGAAAGTTGGGGAGAAAATTCATGGGAAAAGCCATGATTTCATGGGTGCCTATTAATTAGCAAGTTGTGAGATAACACAAGGCAAAGTACTGGCAAAGAAAGGGACATGACAATTAAGATCTTTAAAGAACATCCACTCCTTTTATGGGAATTCTCTCTTTTGTGCTCCATCTTGGGTTCCAGAAAAAAGGGCCAAAAGGAAGCATAGACAGAGCAATGCATGCATCCATGGAAATGCTACTCACCTTATGTCCAATTTCTCCCAAAGGCCCTGGTGGACCTTGTGCTCCCTGAGGTCCCTAAAAGAGAAGCCCACAACGTTAAGCAAGCATCTGCTAGGCCAGACAGAAGTCCAGCCTAATGTAACCCTATATTCCGCACTAGTAATTGTGTGGTAATTCAATAGTAATTGTGTGGTAAAGGAATACTGTGTTCCTTTAAGATGTTTACTGACTTTCTGCAATTTCATTGGGTTTTCTTAGGCCAGGAATACTCAGAGGTAGTTTCCCCAGTTCCCTTCTCTGCAACAGAGCTGGTGTGGCTTGACCATTCTTCTGGGCTTAGGGAATGTTCTCCTTGGACTGCCATTCCCAGAATATCCTGGCACAAACAGTTGGCTAGGATATTCAGGGAATGCCAGCTCAAAAAGGTACCTTTTCCCATGCTCTGGAAGTTCTGTCTCTGCATTACTTGGGGAGTGTGCTTGCCCCATCAATGTTTAACATTTGCACCAATGAGTAGCCACTGCCAGAAGGGATAGAGAGTTTCATCTATGCTGACGATCGAGCCATCATCATTCAAGCAGGGAGATTTGAGGTGGTGAACAGAAGCTCTCCGAAGCTTTAGGTGCTCCTACTGCCTATTACATGGAAAACTAGCTGATTTCTAATTCAGTATTGTACCACCTGAAATCCACCGGGAAGTATCAGCCAATAATGAAAGGACCAAGGTAGTAACATCTCTGGCTCACCCTTTGTTCGGATATCAGCTAGTACACCATTGCCTTAAATCAAGAAATAGTTCTCTAAGATCTACAGAGATACTCAAAAGAACATATCAGCAAGCAAAAGCCCAAAAGTAGCAGACAAAAACCGGAACCTAGATCCTTGGCTGATACCAAATGAGAGACTCCCTCCTGAGAACACAAATGGCTGGACAACTTGGAAGTCACTGAACAGACTACGCTCTGGCACCACGAGATGCAAAGCCAATCTTAAGAAATGGGACTGCAAAATGGAGTCTACGACATGCGAGTGTGAGAGGAGCAAACCACAGACCACCTATTACAATTTAGCCTGAGCCCTACCACATGCATAATGGAGGACATCCTTATAGCAACACCAGAGGCACTCCAAGTGGCCAGCTACTGGTCAAAGGACATTTAATATAATGCCAAGGTTTTAAACATCGTGTTTTTAAATACATCACTATCCTTGGTTTGCTCCTGATATGGTAAATAAATCATCTGGGGATAAAGGACCAACGTCCAATCTTGTGTCTACCTTCAAGTCAACACCCACTTATGACGACCCCATGACTTTCAAAAGGGCTTTCTTTGGCAAGGAAAACCCGGAGGCAATTTTGTCAGTTCCTTCCTCTGAAATACATCACACAGAGGCAAAGCCTAGGTAAATAAGAAGAGAAGGAGCTATATGGAGTACTTGCCGGGTCTCCCAGAGGCCCCTTTGCTCCCTGTGGTCCAGAAGGTCCTTGGATACCCTGCAAGAAGACAATGGAGAGTCAGAGCGCCTGGCCAGAAGGCCGACTTCTCACCTATTTTAGGAGGCATCATCAATACCCTGCACATCTCTCTATAAAAGTCAAAGTATGTGTTGGAAATAGCAACCTTCTTCCAGCCTCCACTAGGTATTCGTTATGTATATAATTCAGACTGCTTACTGTATTGTATGTGTGTGCATATGTTGATATTCAGTTTTTCCTTAACTCTAAATTGTGGGAGGGACTACAAAGCAGATAATCTCAATTTTATATGGCAGTGTAGAAGGGGCCTAGGAAACTCTTTTGTCTGGATCTACACTGCCATATAATCCAGATTACCAAAGCAGATTATCCAGATTATTTGCTTTGGACTGGATTATTTGAGTCTATGCTGCCAAATAATCTGGGATAAACAGATAATCTGGGATAAGATCCTGGGATATAGGGCAGTGTAGATCCAGCCTTAGGTCCCTTCAACACTGCCATATAATCTGGATTATCAAAGCAGATAACCCACATTATCTGTTTTGAACTGGATTATATGAATCTACACTGCCATATAACCCAGTTCAAAGCAGATAATCTGGATTTTATATGGCAGTGTAGAAGGGGCCTAGAAAACTCTTTGCCTGGCTCTACACTGCCATATAATCCAAATTACCAAAACAGATAATCCCAGTTATTTTCTTTGAACTGGATTATTTGAGTCTACGCTGCCAGATAATCTGGGATCAGATTCTGGGATACAAGGGCAGTGTATATCCAGCCTTTGGTTCCTTAAGACACTGCCATACAATCCGGATTATCAAAGCAGATAACCCACATTATCTGCTTTGAACTGGATTATGTGAGTCTACACTGTCATATAACCCAGTTCAAAGCAAATAACTTGGATTTTATATGGCAGTGTAGAAGGGACCTTAGTGAAGTACTTTTATTTTGTCCTAGCTTATTTCCTGGCATTTTCCAACACTATATTCAATGTTATTTCTACTATCATGTGAGTTTCTTTTTAATTCCAGAACATATCAGAGCAACATCATTAGCACATCAGGAAACATATACTGCAACTCTATGATTGCAAAAATATTGTGGTTTAATTTATCAACATCTGACAAAATTCATAATTCCAAGGCATTTTCAAAGGCCTCCATTGCAATAGGGTTCAATATTAGCTGTGATTTTTCACATCCACATTATGTCCAGTAACATATTCCACAGGGATGCGGGGTTTGGGCTGTACTTTACAATAAAACAAGATGTGGGTTGAACTTACAGGGAAGCCACGGGGTCCCATCTCTCCGATTTCTCCAATCTTGCCCTGCAAAGACACAGTTAGGAGTCATGAATTCAATTCCAAATGGAAGCATATCCCATAAATTGGTGAAAAAGCCAAAAGAGGATCTCTTATGCTAGGGGCCAGAAATGTTTTATATTTTGGATTATTATTTTTTCAGATTCAGAACACTATGTATTTGTATATACACCTGAAATGAGAAATCTTGGAGAAGAGACCCAAATTGGGCCGGGCTTTAGCACAGCGGGTTAAACTGCCAGCTGCAGAAAATCTTGCCGATTGAAAGGTTGACAGTTCCAGCCCGGCTTGGGGTGAGCTCCCACCATCAGCCCAGTTTCTGCTCATTTTGCAGTTAGAAAACAACAATATGAGTAGATAAATAGATACCGCTTAAAGCAGGGAGGTAATAAAAGGCGCCCATAAGAACATGCCAGCAATTTGATCAGGGGGACATCTAAGGACAACAAAGCTCCTCAGCATGTAAGACAGAACGACAGCACCTCCCTGTGGCCGGAGTCAAGCACAGCCTCTAGTTGCCGGAGGTGGAAAAATATAGGAAAGCCTATACTTTTCTTTATGTATTGTCTGTCCTTATTAATTGTATGATGGCATTGAATGTTTGCTGTATATGTGTTCTGTAATCTGCCCAGAGTCTCCTCAGGGAGATAGAGCGGAATATAAAGAAAGTATATTGTTATTAGGGAGCCCCCAGGGGCGCAGTGGGTTAAAGCGCTGAGCTGCTGAGCTTGTTGATCGAAAGGTCGCAGGTTCAATTCCGGGGAGCGGTGTGAGCTTCCGCTGTCAGCCCTAGCTTCTGCCAATCTAGCAGAATTCGAAAACATGCAAATGTGAGTAGATCAATAGGTACCACTCCAGCAGGAAGGTAACAGCGCTCCATGTAGTCATGCCGGCCACATGACCTTGGAGGTGTCTATGGACAACGCTGGCTCTTCGGCTTCGAAATGGAGATGAGCACCACACCCCAGAGTCAGACATGACTGGACTTAATGTCAGGAGACTACCTTTACCTATATTGTTATTATTTCGGAGTACTTGAAAGATATCTGACATACCTGTTGCCCATGAAGTCCATCTTTGCCTGGATTCCCTAGAAGGCCCTGTGAGATATTAAAACAGAGAGAGAGATGTATATATCTATATATATGGGATAAATCTAACTTGTTTATGTCCTGCCTCTCAGGTCACGAATTGAGAACTTGTCATTCTGCAGGTGCCGTTGGGCCACAACTCCCATTATGTTGGGTAAAGAATTCTAGGAGTGATGTTCCAAACTGAACTAACACTGCATTGTCGAAGGCTTTCATGGCTGGAATCACTGGGTTGTTGTAGGTTTTTCGGGATACATGGCCATGTTTTGGAAGCATTCTCTCCTGACGTTTTGCCTACATCTATGGCAAGCATCCTCAGAGGATGCTTCTAGAACATGGCCATATAGACCAAAAAACCTACAACAATCCACTGAACTAATACTTCCAAGCTGTGCCCAAACACAGGGTTTCTTTTCCACCGCTCTCCTTTATTTGTGGCAATAAGGCCAACATTGAGATCTTCTGGAGAGGCCCTGCTCTCGGTCCCACCACCTTCACAAGTGCGTTTGGTGGGAATGAGAGACAGGGCCTTCTCTGTGATGGCCCCTCAGCTATGGAACTCTCTCCCGTGCGAGATTAGATCTGGCCCCTCCCTCTTGTTCTTCAGGAGGCTAGTGAAATCCTGGTTATGGAACGAAGAATTCGCAGAATAATGGCTGAGACTAATTACAGACCACATATGCGGACTTGAGTTGAACATGATTTTACCTTGGCGATTTGGTATATATGTATTTTATCTATATGTATTTTAACCTTGTATTGTTGTATGATGTTTTAACTTGCATTAATAGCATTGAATCCTTGCTGTAATCTGGTCTGAGTCCCTCTATGGAGGTGAGAAGATCGGGATATAAAAGTTTTAAATAAATAAATAAATAATAAACTAAATCGCACTCTTCCTCCAGCCTCTCGTTTCTTTCCTGTCACAGAAGTGGCCTTCAACTCAGCTATTAAGTTCGGAGCTTGTGTTCATCTGGAGTGAATTTATAACTGCCCAATCCCTGAAGTGCACAGAAGCTTGTCCTCAAATCTTCCTAAATACTGCCAAGCATTTTTGAGAGGGAAGGAAGGAGAGAGAAAGATCTGGGAGAGGAGAAAGCTTGGAAAAGAGAAGAAACCCAATGGAAACACCATCCTCGTCCTTTCCACTCGCTCAGGTTCAATGCAGCTATTTATTCTTTCTGACACTGGTGGGATGGGTTCAGACAGAGCAATCTGTTCAAAACAGAATGTTTGTCTGAACTTCCTCACTGAGAGAGCTGTTCAGTGGTAGAACTCTCTCTCTCTGCCCCAGAGTGTGATGGAGGGTCCTTCTTTGGAGGCTTTGAAGCAGAGGTTGGATGGCCATCTGTCAGGGGTGCTTTGAATGCAATTTTCCTGCTTCTTGGCAGAATGGGGTTGGATTGGATGGCCCACCAGGTCTCTTCCAACTCTAGGATTCTATGATTCTATCTCACCTCGCTTTCTGTCGTGGCGATAATTGGATTTTGAAAATTTTGGCTTGTTGTGGAAATAAGGATTAGGGATAAAGTTTCAGTGGAGACTCCTTTTCCCCATGATAATAACTCTTCCAGGAGTGGAATTCTCTCCTTCCTGTTGTCTTAGACCCATTCTTTTTTACAAAATATAATCTTTATTGAAGTTTTTTTTTTTTTAAAAAAAAAAAGAAGAAAACAATACAGAAAAATCAAACAATGCAAACAAAACAAAAAGAGAAAAAAAGTCATAAAGGAAGAGAGAGAAAAGGAAGAAAAAGGAAAGAAGAGATTAAAAAATATATGAGAGAAAAAAAAATAAAAAAAATCTGGAGCAGGGTGGTATGTATCTCCTTAGTTGACTTCCTGAGTATATTCCAAGTGTTTTTTCCTCTTCTTTCTTTTGCTTTGGCTTTTCTTCCTTCTTGTTTTCTCTTCCTTTTATATTATTATATTTCCATATTTCTGTTTCAAATAATTTGTTACTTTTGTCCAGTCAGTTTCTTTTATTGGGGTCCCTTTGTTTTTTGATATAAGGTATGTTAACCTATCCATATTTTTAATATCTACCATTTTTTCTATCCAATCACTAATTTCTGGGATCTCTTCTTTTTTCCATAGTTTCGGGTAGCAAATTCTTTCTGCCGTATTCAATAAAAAAGGAGTTTATCTGTATTTTTTTCTAATTTTTGGTCTGTTATCCCTAGTAGGAATATCTTGGGTTTGAGTGAGATTCTTATTTTTAACATTTTTAACACTATTTTGTGAATTTTTCCCCAATATATTTTAGATTTTGTACATGACCACCACATGTGGAAATATGATCCCTCTATATTTCCACATTTTCTCTGTTGTCTTAGACCCATTCTTAACCGTAAGTCATGGTTAAGGCTTTCATAGACAGAACCACTGGGTTGCTGTAAGTTTCCCAGGCTCTATGTCCATGTTCCAGAAACATTCTCTCCTGACGTTTTGCCCACATTTATGGCAGGCATCCTCAGAGGTTGTGAGTTCTGTTAGAAACTAGGTAAGAGGGGTTTATATACCTGTGGAATGATATCCAGTGTGGGAGAAATAACTCTTGTCTGTTTGAGGTGATTAGCATTGATTAGCATTGAATAGCCTTGCAGCTCCAAAGCCTGGCTGCTTCCTGCCTGGGGGAAATCCTTTGTTGGGAGGTGTCAGCTGGCCCTGAGTTTTTCATGTCTGGAATTCCCCTGTTTCCTGAGAGTTGTCTTTGCAGTCAGGCTTTGAAGCTGCAAGGCTATTCAATGCTAATCAAGGTTGTTAATTGCAACATTCATACTTGTCTCTTTATCCTGACCTGGCTATTCCACAGACCTCCCAACCTCCCAACCAGGAGAAAATGCTTTAGGCAAGTGTGAATGTTGCAATTGGCCAGCTTGATTAGCACTGAATAGCCTTGCAGCTTCAACGCCTGGCTGCTCCTGCCTGGGAGAAATCCTTTGTTGGGAGGTGTTAACTGGCCCTGATTGATTGACAAGAATGTGGACAATTTCGACAGAAAGGCAGAAACCATGAAAATGAACAACATCTGGCTACTAGTATTTAAACACTCTAAAATCCGGGCAGTAAATTTAAAAAAAACGACACTAAAAAAACAGGGGAATTCCAGACAAAAATCAATCAGTCTTGAGTCTAACAATATTAGACCAGGCTCTCATTTCCCCACAACAACGACTGTCCAGAAGTGGGTGGCAGTCTTACCTTGGTGCCTTGTGGTCCTGGTTCACCCACTAGTCCATCAGGACCTCGGGCACCCTGCGGAGGGGGAAACACATAGGTATGAATGCATATCAGTCGTTCCCACCAAACAACATTGCAAAAATTTAAAAAGGAGAAAGGAAAAAAAGTCAAGTTGCACAAGTGGAATGAACAGCAGGTGTCTCCCTCACGCTGCAGAATAATCAATATCCTCTAATCCTGCGAGAGCTTCAGAGCATTCAACGTATGCCAGAATCTTTGAAAAGAGGTAGCCAATGACAGCCCTCAACAAAGTGACTGAACTTCAAATCCCATCCTGAGCATTTTGGAGTTTGGTGCCATGAGTATACGGCTGATATTCAACCTTATTACACAACAGAAAGTGCTGGTTATGAACTTTAAAGCCCCACACAGCTCAGGACCAGGTTTTCTGAAGGAATCTATTCTTCCTTATGAAGAATTCAACCCTTATGACACTTAACGGACAGGCCCTTCTCTCTGTGCCTCCTGGTTAAATTTAGTGGGAACACAGGAGATAGGGGCTTCTTGGTGGCAGCTCCCAGGTTCTGAATTCCCTTTCCAGAGAAGTGAGACCAGCCCCATTCCCTACTTTCTTTTTGCAGACAAGAAAACAGGTGTTGTGAGTTTTCCGTGCTGTATGGCCATGTTCCAGAAGCATTCACTCCTGGCATTTCACCCACATTTCTGGCAGGCATGCTCAGACACTGTGAGGTCTGTTGATAATGAGGCAAGTGAGGTATAGATATCTGTGGAATGGCTGTGCATATGCTGTACTGGTTTGCTGTGAGTTTTCCAGGCTGTCTGGCCATGTTTCAAAAGCATTCTCTCCTGACGTTTCACCCACATCTATGGAAGGCATCCTCAGAGGTTGTGAGGTCTGTTAGAAACTAGGCAAGTGGGGTTTATATCGCTGTGGAATGATGTCCAGGGTGGGAGAAAGAACTCTTGTCTGTTTGAGTCAAGAGTGAAGGTTGCAATTGGCCACCTTGATTAGCATTGAAAAGCCTTGCAGCTTCAAAGCCTAGCTGATTCCTGCCTGAATTGAAATCCATGAGAAGCATATGGAGAATTTCAACAGAAAGGAGGAAACCATGAAAATGAACAAAATCTGGCAACCAGTATTTTTTAAAAAAAATAAAATCAGGACAGTAAATAAAGAGCAACACTCAGAAAATAGGGGAATTCCAGACAAGAAACACCTCCCAACAAATGATTCCCCCAGGCAGGAAGCAGCCAGGCTTTGAAGCTTCAATGCTATTCAATGCTAATCAAGCTGGCCAATTGCAACATTCACAGTTGCCTCAAAAACAAGAGTTATTTCTCCCACCCTGGACATTATTTCACAGATATATAAACCCCACTTGCTTTGTTTTCAACAGAACTCACAACCTCTGAGGATGCCAGTCATAGGTGTGAACGCAATGTCAGGAGAGAATGCTTCTGGAACATACAGCCCAGAAAACTCACAGCAACCAAGTGATCTGGCCATGAAAGCCTTTGACAACACAAATAACTACGAGAGGTGTTTGATGAATGACAGTATCACAGGGAAAGAGGCATGGCCAACTGGGGAAGATCAAATGGACAGAGTGGAAAAAGGGGGCCCAATTTGGCCCCAGGACCTAAGATTCCCCACAGCTGCTGTGAATGGTGGGCTCAGAGCTCTAGATAAATTTTAGCTTCCCTGGAATGTGTGGCCCCAGTTTCCTCCTCCTCCTCCATCACACTCTCAAGCAAGCAGACCACTTACACCAGCTCTTAATCAGGCAGATCAGGGCGTGGTTTTATTATATTATTATTATTATTATTATTATTATTATTATTATTATTATTATTTTACTGACACAAAAACACAGTATGTCACAGCAAACGAGATCTCTATGCTGGATTTCATATCACAAAATCACAAGTTGAAGACTTCCCAACCATCTAGGATATGTGATGTATTTTTGAATGATTCACGCAGATCCAAGTAAGTGACCTTTTGCAGTTGACTGTGATTTTGTCAATGTTTATTGTTTCCAAATGCCGTCTGAGATATTTTGGCACGGCACCCAGTGTGCCAATTACCACTGGGACCACCTGTACTCATTTATGCCAGAGCTTTTGCAGTTCGATTTTGAGGTCAAGATAACGGCTGAGTTTTTCCTGTTGTTTTCCCTCAATGTGGCTGTCACCTGGTATGGCGACATCAATAATCCAAACTTTTTTCTTTTCCAAAATCGTGATGTCTGGTGTATTGTGTTCCAAAACTTTGTCAGTCTGGATTCGAAAGTCCCACATCATTATTATTATTATTATTATTATTATTATTATTATTATTATTATTATTATTATTTTGCCCCTGGTGGTGCAATGGGTTAAACCCTTGTGCCGGCAGGACTGAAGACCATCAGGTCACAGGTTCAAATCCGGGGAGAGCCGGATGAGCTCCCTTTGTCAGCTCTGGCTCCCCATGCAGGGACATGAGAGAAGCCTCCCACAAGGATGGTCAAACATCAAAACATCCAGGGGTCCCCTGGGCAATGTCCTTGCAGACGGCCAAATCTCTCACACCAGAAGCGACTTGCAGTTTCTCAAGTTGCTCCTGACACAAAAAAAACTTGCCTGGTAAGGAATAGAGGAAGCAAAGGAGAAAGCCAGTCTAATAAGGGAAAGGGGCGGGAGGAGAGAAAGGAAGTTGCAGCCAAAGCTGATAATCAAGATGCAGACCTGAAGCCAAAGGGGCAAAGAGCCAATATTTGGCCAAAGCAACTAGTATGAGAGTGGGAGAGGGGGATTACACAGGCCACAGTGTAATTGTAGGAGATGTGTATGTGTAAGAGGGAAGGGGGCAATCTCTAAAGTAAGCAAAGTTAAAAACACACAGCAGGAAATGCTGCCGATCTTGGCCAAAGCAGCGGTGGCAGATCGCAGCAGGGGTCTGAAGGGAGGAGGGCTTGCAGGCCCCGTGCAGAAGGGCAGGAGGCCGTCCGTTGCAAAAGCAAAATCTCCGAATCTATTCGTCCGCTGGCAGTTGGGCCCAATGAATCATCCACAGCTGCTCCAGAGCAAGAAGAGGGATGCGGATCTGCATTCGATTCATTCTCTGAAGCCAGAGCCAGCAAGTTAATCTATTTGCTCTCTCTGTTGTAGAAAAAAAGTCCACCAAAGCTGTCGTTCCTGATTTTCTGCACAAGAATCAGGTTTCCTGCATAGAAAGCAGGATGGGAAAATATATTCCTTGGGTTGCTGTGAGTTTTCCGGGCTGTATATAAATAAAAATGTAATGTTCGTTTGTGGGATTAACATAACTCAAAAACCACTGGGCAAATTGACACCAAATTGACACCTATCATGCCAATGAGTGATCATCACTCATTAGAACACCAAAAAACAAAGTGGAAGACTTTAAAAGCCAAAAAATAAAAATACATTACAACGCACTAAACCACATATATGCAAACAAAACACATATATACAGACTGGGCCACAGCAACGTGTGGCAGGGAATGGCTAGGTATAAATAAAAATATAGTGTTCATTTGTGGGATTAACATAACTCAAAAATCACTGGACGAATTGACACCAAATTTGGACAGAATACATGTACTGGTCAACAAATGACCCTCATTCGTAAAAATACTGGAAAACACACCAGAAGAGATTTTAAAAAGTTACACAAAACCACACACACACACACATATGCAATCACACATATATACACATATATACAAAAATATGCACACACATACACACACAAAACACATATACACAGACTGGGCCACAGCAATGTGTGGCAGGGGATGGCTAGTAATATAATAATAATATAACTTTATTTATATTCCACTCTATCTCCCCAAAGGGACTCAGGGCGGATTCCAAACATAAAATGCAAACATTCAATGCCCAAATACAACAACAATACATCCATACTAACAACATTTATACAACCTAACATATAAATACAAATTATAATTTAACACACTAAAATTAAATAAAAAGCACAGCCTATTATAAAAGACATAAGACAAAACATCAAACAGAAACAATAATTTATTTGGCCATGTTCCAGAAGCATTCCCTCCTGACGTTTCGCCTGCATCTATAGCAGGCATCCTCAGAGGTTGTGAGGGGTTTATATATCCAGGGTAGGAGAAAGAACTCTTGTCTGATTGAGACAAGGGTGAATGTTTCAATTGGCCACCTTGATTAGCATTGAATGGCCTAGTAGTTTCAATGTCTGGCTTCTTACTGCCTGGGGGAATCATTTGTTGGGAGGTGATACATTCCTTTTTTAAGTCCCATGTCTTCCTAGGTACACTTTAAGTGACAGGAGACATAGACTTCTCAGTGGCTACCCCAGACTCTGGAAAGTCTTTCTTAAGGATGTGGAATTGACCCTCTCCTTGCTGTCCTTCTATCAACAGCAACAATTCTAACAGTTTCATCAAGTGCCATAGCAGAGCACCTTATGGACCAACCTGGACACAGCATATTATTATTGGAGAACATAGAAATGCTGGACCACTCTAATAACCACCATATCAGACGACACAGAGAAGCCACTGAAATCCACAAGAAGCATGTGGACAATTTCAACAGAAAAGAGGAAACCACAAAAATTCACCAGTATTAAAAACTCTAAAATCAGGATAGTAAATAAAGGGAACACCCAAAAACAGGGGAATCCCAGAAAGGAAACAACCAGGGCCAGCTAACACCTCCCAACAAAGGATTCCCCCAGGCAGGAAGCAGCCAAGCCTTGAAGCTGCAAGGCTATTCATTGCTAATCAAGGTAGCCAATTGCAACATTCACACTTGCCTCAAAAATAATAGTTCTTTCTCCCACCCTGGACATTATTTCACAGATATATAAACCCCACTTGCCTAATTTCCAACAGACCTCACAACCTCTGAGGATGCCTGCTATAGATGTGGGTGAAATGTCATAAGAGAATGCTTCTGGAACATGGCCAGACAGCCCAGAAAACTCACAGTAACCCACTGATTCCAGCCATGAAAGCCTTCGACAACTCCCTTGCCTAGTTTTCAACAGACCTCACAACCTCTGAGGATGCCTGCCATAGATGTGGGCAAAATGTCAGGAGAGAATGCTTCTGGAACATGGCCAAATAGCCCAGAAAACTCACAACAACCCATTAATTCCGGTCATGAAAGCCTTCGACAATTCCCTTGTCTACTTTCCAACAGACCTCAAAACCTCTGAGGATGCCTGCCATAGATGTGGGCAAAACGTTATAAGAAAATGCTTCTGGAACACAGCCAGACAGCCCGGAAAACTCACAGCAACGATGGGGCATTTGCATCTCCTGCAGCATCACCTAGATCCTAAATGGATCCAGATTTTGATCCATTTGGAGAATCCGATCTTGCCAACCCATGCTGCCTCCAGCAGGGTTGGTGACATTTCTCAGCCACATGGACTTAATTCCGCTGAGGCTTTGGCGCATGAGTAAAAGGCCATGTTGAACACACGCGGTTTGGGGCATGTGTTTAAAATTAATCCTTGGGATTAAATTGTTTTGCTAAAAAAAAAATTGAAGACTCCTTGGAAAAAGAAATGCCTCTGTGGAGAATGGTACAGAATGGGCTTCCTAAAAGCTACGGGGGGAGAGATACTCTGTGTGTGCGGAGAGGAAAGACTCTTCTAAATGGGAACCATTCTTGTCTCAGAAGGAATATTCCTCATCAAAGGTCTGTTGGGGTTTTTGCCTAAGTCGACATGGGGTCTTCGGGGGGCTGCAATCTGTCAAACTGAGAGTCCTACACACATACATACATATCAGTTATTGTTCTTCCCAATCAAAACCAGACTAGCTATTTCTTGGGCTTCAAAAACCAAACTGACTAATGAAGCATCTACATGGAGATCAGCAGAATCCGCAAGCGTCTGGCAATCAGGCAGCCGCCATGTCTTTCCGTTCTGATTTGAAATATATTCTTGGATGTGGGATCAGAAACAAGCTGGATGGAGAAGGGCAGAAATTGGAAGGATGGTGAGGGGCTCAGCAGCAGAACAAAACCAAGGGCTTGTTCACAAGAGATCATGAAGAGGGAAGGCGGGGAAGACAAAGCTGCTTGGGTGTTCACAGCGCATGTGGCTGACATCATAGGGATGTCTCAGCTGATGTGACAGCAGTGTTCGATTAGGGCCAGGACGGCCCCCAAGCAATGTCATACCACCCAGCATTTGACAGATGAAAACCGGGACAAGCAGAAATGCCAGAGTGTTGTATTGATCCTCCTTCACCTCACCTTTCAGCTGCTTTTAAAATGTTCACATGATTATAATACTAATACTAATTAGCCCTGGCCCTTGAGTGCTCTAACTGGAAGTCAGCTGTGACCAGAAGTGCTGCAGAATTCAAAGAGGCATTAATGGAAGGCAAAAGGGAGAAACATGCCAAGAGGAAGGCATGTCAAGCCAACCCTGACCGGGACCGCCTTCCATCTGAAAACCGATGTCCTCACTGCAGGAGAACAAGCAGATCAAAAATAGGGCCCCATAGCCACCTACTGACCTACCACCAAGACACTACATCTGGAAGACAATAATCCTTGAGCTACGAGGGATCACCTAATGAATGAAATGAATAATGATAATAATAATACAATCAAGAAATATGATCAAAGCTATCAACACTTGGGCCATTTTTGTCATCGGATATACTGCTGGAATTGTGAACTGGACGCAAGCAGGGCTGGATGATCTGGACAGAAAAACAAGAAAATGGATGACAATCCACTCCTCATGACACCCATGTAGTGATGTCAACAGGCTTGCCCTGCCTAGAAAATCAGGAGGCAGAAAGAGAGCTTCTGCAAGTGAAACCAACAGTAGAAGAAGAGAAACATGCGCTGGCAGATTACATGAAAGGCAGCCAAGAACCAACATTGATGGAAGTCAAGAGTAGAAAACTGCTTCAAGTGCAAAAGACAAGGAGGGAATACCATGAAAATACAATGCAGAGCAGAAACTGGCAAAAGAATGTTCTCCATGGACAGCGCCTGGGGAAAATTGAAAGCCAAATGGACAATGAAAAAATATGGATGTGGCTCACAAATGGAACTTGAGAAAAGGAGACAAAGGAGGGCCTGATTGTGGCAGCCCAAGAACAAGCCATTAGAACCAAGGCCATCAAAGCCAGAATTGAAAAGTCAATGACAGATTCCAAGTGTAGACTCTGCAAGGAAGCAGGTGAAACAATAGATCACATCCTCAGCTGCTGCAAGATCATGCAGACGGACTATAAACAGAGGCATAACACCGCTGCTCAGATGATCAATTGAAACTTGTGCCACAAATACAATCTGCCTGTGACAAGAAACTGATGGGATCACAAACCTGAAAAAGTTATGGAAAATGAACACATCAAACTACTTTGAGACTTCCGAATTCAGACTGACAGAGGTTTGGAGCACAAGACTCCTGACCTCACAATCATGGAAAAAACAAAGTATAGATCACCAATGTTGCAATCCCAGGCGACAGCAGGATTGAAGAGAAACAACTGGAAAAGCTGACATGATATGAGGATTTAAAGATAGAACTGCAAAGACTCTGACACAAGCCAATCAAGGAGGTCCCAGTGATGATCAGCACACTGGGTGCAGTGCCTAAAGACCTTGGCCTGCACTTAAACACAATCGGCGCTGACAAAATTACCATCTGTCAGCTGCAAAAGGCCACCCTACTGGGATCTGCACACATTATTCACTGATACATTATAAAGACATGTCGAACGTGTGAGCAAATTCAAAAGCCACCGTAGTGATCTGGTTATGAAATAATAACTTTATTTCTGAAGGGACTCGGGGAGATGGTGGCGTTTCTTTCTCCTTCTCCCACTTTCTCCTCTGTGCTCAGCGTACTTCAGATCGCTGTAAATTGAGGTTAAACTGCAAAGACTGTGGATTAATTCAGTAAGGAGGACAAGGAAAAGAAGGCAGAGCCTTCCCTTTCCCAGGAGGCTCAGCGCTGCAGCCTCTCCTCACTTGTGTGCTTGTCCTCATCATTTTTTCTGTCTTGACCACGGGCTGATGTCACTTGGCCACACAGGTGCCGATCATCTCCTGTGAAACGTTGTCAGGAGCGAGAATTGGGCCTCAAATAGCTATTTCAACACTTGAATTGTGAGATCTGTAGGGAGGCTTTGCTTGGACTTGATTTTCTTATGCAGAATGGTCTGCAATCACCCAAATTCAACTTGCCCAAATTCAACTTGCCAACCTCAAGGAATACTCTGGTCCTGGCCACCCAGGCTACGAAAGAGCCGGATTCGTTCTAAGATTAGGCTTTTTGCTACGTTAAAGTGAAAACTCCCGCTGGCCTTTCTAACGCTTTAACTGCCTTATTTCCACCTCATTAAAATAGTATTTTTGGAGAGCGGCTTTCCAAAATTAAGTGACTCTGACAGCTCCCGGGTGAAGGTGGCCAGAAGGTTTCACCACCGGCGCCATACTTTTCTGGTTGCCTGCTTTGCCCAGGGATTGACAGGAACGGAGATGAAGGAGGGAAATCTGGGCCAGCGAGAGCCTTTGGCAAAGCCCTTGCCAAATATCACACTTACAGGGAACGGGCTTAACTAAAAAAACACTGCCAGCTGCAGAAAATCTTGCCAATCGAAAGCCTGAGTTGGGGTGAGCTCCCAACCAACAGCCCAGCTTCTGCTCACCTAGCAGTTAGAAAACAGCCATGTGAGTAGATAAATAGGTATCACTTTGAGTGGGGAGGTAATAAAAGGCACCCAAGTGATTGGGAGGACATCTACATCGACAAAGCTCCTTGGCATGGAAGATGGAGTGACAGCACCCCCTGCCCACATGGTCAGAGTCAAGCACAGCCTCCAGATGCAGGAGATGGAAAAAGATGGGGAAAACCTTTACCTCTGTTTATGTATTATCTGTCCTTGTTAATTGTATAACACCATTTAATATTTGCCATATATGTGTTCTGTAATCCACACTGAATCCCCTCAGGGAGATAGAGCAGAATATAAATAAAGTATATTATTATTAAATCAAGTCTGGGGAATGCGTCTTGGTCCCAATGCCCTTCATTTCACCGATCTGAGGTACTCCGAGCTGTGGCCCCCAAAGACCTAAAGCCAACTAAGATTAGATCTAATAAATAGTCAATACTTGTGTATGTTTATGCACCTCCTGCTGACTCCGTGGCTATGGTATTTATTTATTTATTTATTTACAGTATTTATATACCACTTTTCTCACCCCTAGGGGGACTCAAAGCAGTTTTTAGTACTTTAAGTGAGGCCAAATTTCCCAGGTCTGAATGGTCGCTCTCACTCAAATGGCCCTGCTCACCCCTTGCCTTTGTCATAAGACCCTCATCCACAACCCACTTCTGCCAGGATTAACTCCTGTGAGGGACATGGTCTTCTTGGTTACAGCCTCCCGAAGTCTGTAGCTCTCTCACAAAAGACGTCTGTTCATCCCATAGCGATGAGTTTCAAGTAGGGGAAATTAAAAACTTCTTGGACCCCACAGGTTTTCCTGTTGTCACCTGGAAGGTTAATGGGACACACTGTCCATGGCAATTCCTCAAATTTTGAACACTTGAGGAATATTGACTTACCCGACGACCTTTCGGGCCTCTGACTCCTGGGGAGCCACGGATTCCAGTTGGGCCCTAGAAGGCAATGCAAAAACACTCCTGAATAAGGTTTCACAAAAATGCATTGGACACTTTCTGTCTTACAGAAAATTATCCTTTTGGGTATCCTTTTAACACTCTCCCTCTTGCTAAATGATAAAGTTGAAACCCACAGGACAGGGCTCATATCATCAACCTGGAATGTCAATTCAAATACCACTTCATTTCCCTTGAAATAAATGTTGTTAGTGATATAACTGCCACAGGAGAACCCAGAGGTCAGTTGCAAGGAAAAGACCATGACTTACCGGTGGTCCCGGGGCCCCCGGTTCACCTATTCCACCTGGTATTCCTGGATGACCCTATGGAACAAAAAAAGATTGTATGAAAATCCTGGCATTTTTCTTGTTGTTGTTCATTCGTCCAGTCATCTCCGACTCTTCGTGACCTCATGGACCAGCCCACGCCAGAGCTCCATGCCAGGCATTTTTCTTATCCATCTGCAATTCAGCCATCACAGGGAAGGAAGGAAGGAAGGAAGGAAGGAAGGAAGGAAGGAAGGAAGGAAGGAAGGAAGGAAGGAAGGAAGGAAGGAAGGAAGGAGAAAGAGGGGGAGGAAGGGAGGGAAGAGGGAAGGAACGAAAGACAAGGGCAGGGAGGGAGGAGAAAGAGAGAAAGGGAAGGAGGGAGGAAAGATGGAAGGAAAGAGAAAAGGTTAAGTAAGTAAGTAAGGAAGGAAGGAAGGAAGGAAGGAAAAGGAAGGAAGGAAGGAAGGAGGAAGGGGAAAGAGAGGGAAGAAGGGAGGAAAGAGGGAAGGAAAGATGAAAGGGTGAAAGGGAAGGAGGGAGAAAGGAAGAAAGAGGGAGGGAAAGAAGCGAGAATAGGATGATTAGAGAGAGGAGGACCTGAGAAAAGAGCTCAAGGGGCCGCATCCAGGCCCATGGGCCTGGGTTTACCCATACCTGAACTACTGCAGTAGATATACAACAAACAAACAAACAAACAAACAAAAAGGATTTTCAAGTGAGCCTTTTGGCCACTCTAATTGCACAGGCCTTGAAATGATTAATGACTTGAAAGTCCCCAGCAATGTCATCAAAGGCTTCCTCGATAAACCAAAAAGAGAACCATTGCTTTCTTTTTCTCAGACTTGTAAAAACACAGTTGATTTCAGGAGGTGGATATGGAGGAGGAAGGTGCTGGGTGGTCGGCACACTTAATCCCATGCTCGGGCACATGAGTGCTAAGATACTATAACTCGGCTGAGGTCAAGCACCCTCCTTGACCTCAAAGCGTGGGGGCGGGACACAGCAAGTCACTGCGGGAATGCAAAGCAAATGGCAGTGAGAAAGAGGAGGAGAGAGACTGCAGGAGAGGAGAGCTATTGTTTTCCCAGGGAGAGAAGGAGAGCCAGAGAATGCAGACTTACTCCTTACCATCGACCCCTTGGCGCCTGGTGGTCCTGGAGGTCCTACCATGCCCCGGTCCCCCTAAAGGAGATAATGCAACAAAGAAGCCCGAGTGAGAAGGTTCTGTTAACAAAACACAGCAAGTAACGCAGAAGCGCTAAGTCTCACTGTCCCCAAGGCCTAGGAAATCCCAGCGTGCTTGGCCTGGCTCTAAGATTGCATTGGGCTGGACTCTTTTCTCCAGTGTTAGGACAAGGGGGAGCAATCCCAGGGTGAGTGTGGTGCTTTAAAATGTGTGCGTGTGTGTGTATACAAACTCACACACATACACACACATGGGTGGGTCAAAAAGCAATGCCTCCATCACTCTTATTTCTTTCACAGCTACTGGACAATCTATGCATGATATGATAGAGAACACCTTACTCTACTGTTCCGATTGACTTATTAGAGCCATGAATCTGAAGCTAAAAGAAAGAGTCATCACTGAATTTATGGCAAAAGAAAGTTGTGCACCTAAGAAAATCTGTCATCGCTGGAAGGAGGTTTATTGGGATGTTGCAATGGATATCAGCAATGTGCGATGTTGGGCAAAGAAGTCTGAAAGTTTCAGATTCCGTGACTTGAATGATGTTAAAACAGCTTTGAAATCATGGGTCACGGAGCAAAACCCTGAATTTTTCCAAATGGTTTTGATGCCTGGGTTAACCAATGGTGCAAATGCGTCCAAATTGATGCTGACTATGTTGAATGGTAGTTTTGTCTAGAGGACAGTTCAGGCTATGATCTGGAGCAACTTCTGTGGTTATAGGTTCACAGGAGGCAAAACCTTTTGATTCACCCTCGACCTTCGCTTATCCGACCTTCTGTCTTATCCGACAGCTCCCATTTCCTCCAGCATTTCCCCTTCAATTAAAGGAGTGCTCCCAACTCTCTCTCCATTCCCAATAAGTGAAAAAGGCAAGAGGAGGAGAAGGAGGAGGGAGGAAAGCGGGAAAAGAGGAGGACTGGAAGTGGAAGCGTCCTCCCTCCTTCCCTGTGATTTCCACGCTTCTCTTCCGCATCCGGGCACTTCCTGCTGACCCCGAGGCATTACCTTGCCTTAACCATTTGAGTCCCTCTTGTTAATATTCTAGGTGTCTAGCACCACATCAGACAGGTAATAGTAGGAGACTCCATAGTATCAGACATTTATGTTTACCCGACGTTCTACTGGCCCGTTTATGTCAGATAAGTGAGACTTTACTGCAGTGGTTCTCAACCTGGGGTGACCAGATGTTTTTGGCCTACAACTCCCAGAAATCCCAGCCAGTTTACTAGCTGTTAGGATTTCTGGGAGTTGAAGGCCAAAAACATCTGGGGACCCCAGGTTGAGAACCACTGCTCTACTGTATATTTTAAGGGAGAGTAGAAATTTTTGGGCAACTAAAAATAACACTTCTGAAACTCTGCTGAATATATATGTTTGTGTATTGGCATATCTTTGTCCCTAACAGTTCAAAGACAAACCTGTACATTGGTTAAACAGCTGAGAAACCATGAATGCTGGTGAATGCCATTTTTACCAAGAGGTTATGACTTCTAACAAGGTTATGACTTTCCAAAGATCATAAAATCTCAAAAGGTTATGGAGATTTCCATTTTCCAAAACCTTCGCCTATCAAGCCTGGAGGTCGCATTTCAAAACTGCAGGCCCAATTTCCATTGCATTTTAGTGCTCAGATTTATTCAAGGCTATTATTTGGTGCTTTCTGAACCCACTCCTGATCTCCTGCAGAGCTGTGCAGATGATCCAATGAGCCAGGCTTTCTTACCTTCTCCCCGACTATTCCAGGTTCCCCTACTGGACCAACGAAGCCCATCAGACCCTGAAGAGAAAGAGGAACCGAGAGGGGAAACAACAGCAGAATTGATTTTCTGGTTTATTTACTTCAGAGCAGCAAACAAGAAAGGATTTCTCCTCGCTTGGCGAATGAACCCAGCGCCCTTTGCAAACTGTCCAGAACTTCTTGCTGGCTACCGGCAAGGACACAATTGCTCCCAGGCGGTGGGCCTTTGCGCGCCAGCCAGCTGGTCCTGCCTCTGAAACCACAGTTGGGCCTTTGAAGCTCAGGCGCCGGGAGAGGAGAGCCACAAGACACACACAGCAAGAAGGAACCAATTACAGGTCATGGCTGCGCTTTGTGGATTCCCTCGGCTTAACGTTCCTTTTTCTGCATCTCAGCTGAAGGTTCCTATGAAAAGATCCCAACGTGAAGGCATTTCCCTGACTCCCATCAGATGTTTCTTCTCTCCCCCTTGAATATTAGTTGCAAGATTGCATTTCTTCTTACTATATGTTTGGGTGTTTGCATTTCCTGACCAATGCCTTAATTGGTGCCTTTTGAGAATTGTGAAATATGTGTTTGCGCATGTTTCTCAAAAGTGCACATTTGTTTAACTGTGCACATTTACTTCCATGGAACCTAATAGAGAAAAGGGAAAGGAAGAACACTGTTTGCAGTTTCCTCCAGATGACGTAAGACTGGAAGATACATCTCTTGGTTTTGTGTATAGTCCTCAGTACAAACCAACGTATGTTTTTATTGTATACTTGAGGTCTTGGAGAAATTCTGGAGACAGGGTGTGGAGAAAACAGCCTTTTGTTGGTCTGGAACAGGCATAGGCAAACTTGGGCCCTCCAGGTGTTTTGGACTTCAACTCCCACAATTCCTAACAGCCTCGGGCCCTTTCCTTTTCAGCTTAAGTGGCCGAGGAGGAAACAAAAGGGCCTGAGGCTGTTATGAATTGTGGGAGTTGAAGTCCAAAACACCTGGACAGCCCACGTTTGCCTATGCCTGTTTCAGACTGACAAAAGGCTGTTTTCCCCACACCCTGTCTTCGGAGTTTCTACAAGACCTCAAGTATACAAAAAAAACACATAAGAAGTTGTTTTGTATTGAGCCAAGTTGTCAGTCTACCTAGCTCCATTTTGTCTTTGACTGGCAGTCCCTTGGCTTTCAGGCAAGTGGAATGCTGGGGCCACACTTGGGACAAATTGCACAAAAAGCATATGCTCTGCCACTTATATGTGATCCTTTCCTCTCAAAAGAAGAGACGTCGTCTCCAGTCCTTATTTATTTTAGCTCAGTGTTTCTCAATCTTCCTAATGCTGTGACACCTTCATACAGTTCCTCATGTTGTGGTGATCCCCAAACATTTTTTTTGTTGCTACATCATAACTGTAATTTTGCTAATGTTATGAATTGTAATGTAATATCCGATTTATTTTTTGCCATGTCATGAGCGACTTGAGAAACTGCAAGTCGCTTCTGGTGTGAGAGAATTGGCCATCTGCAAGGACGTTCCCAGGGGATGCCCAGATGTTTTGATGTGTTACCATCCTTGTGGGAGGCTTCTCTCATGTCCCCGCATGAGGAGCTGGAGCTGTTAGAGGGAGCTCATCTGCACTCTCCCTGAATTCGAACCTGTGATGTGTCAGTCTTCAGTCCTGCCGGCACAGGGGTTTAACCGACTGCGCCACCGGGGCTCCACAATATCCAATATGCAGGATGTATTTTCATTCACTTGACCAAATTTGGCACAAATACCTGATACGCCCAAATTTGAATACTGGTGGGGTTGGGGGTGTTGATTTTGTCATTTGGGAGTTGTAGCTGCTGGGATTTATAGTTCACCTACAATCAAAGAGCATTCTGAACTCCACCAACAATGGAATTGAACTAAACTTGGCACACAGAACTCCCATGACCAACAGGAAATACTGGAAGGGTTTGTGGGCATTGATCTTGGGTTTTGGAGCTGTAGTTCATCTATCTCCAGAGACCACTGTGGACTCAAACAATGATAGATCTGGACCAAACTTGGAAGGAATACTCAATATGCCCAAATGTGAACACTGGTGGAGTTTGGGTGGTGTTGATTTTGACATTTGGGAGTTGTAGTTGCTGGGATGTATAGTTCACCTACAATCAAAGAGCATTCTGAATCCCATCAACAATAGAATTTGGCCAAATTTCCCACACAGGATCCCCCATGTCTTGAAGGGACTCGCTGGGGCGAGCTTCCCTCCAATCTGATGTGCTCTCCCTTGCCTGCCACATGCACACCACACTGCCATGCGCCGAGCACACCTGCTCTCCCCTCCTTGCGTGGAGTCTCAGAAACAGCTCTGCCTTGGCTGAGAGGCTGGCCAATCACAGCAGAGAAGGCCTTTTGGTGGAGAGATTCACTCTCTCGTTTCCAAAAAGAAGACAGGCGGAGAGATCTTCAGCCTTCTTTGCCAAAGGGGTTCCTAAAACCATCAGAAACATATGGCAACCCCTCTTAAACCCCCTTGCGACCTCCCAGGTTGAGAAACGTTGCCCTAGATGCTGCTTTTGTGGCCTCTAGAGTTCCTAATCCCCCTAAAAAGAGGGTAAGTATGCTATTCCTTCTTTTTCCTCTGCAGTCTCTCTCCAAATGGCAATAGGATATGATGTAACACCACTTTCTGTCACCATTTTGAGAGGGACTGCAGAAGAAAAGAGAGATATTTGGGCAAGCAGGAGCGAGAGGTGGCCCAGAGGTGACTTTGGCAGGAAATCCACATAGTGACCAACCATTCATTAGAGGACTTCTCCTTCCCGGGGAGGAATTCTTGAAAGTGTTCCTCCTAATTTCTCTAACCACGATTATGGTGAAGGGTTTGAGGAGTCCATTTACACACAGCTCCAGATCAGGCCATCAGTAGGATTCTTTCAAACTGAACAAGCCCATAAAAACTAGGTCCTACCACTGGGAAAAGACTGCCAGGACAAGCCACAGGGCCTTCAGCCAATGGCCAGGGAGCCCACAAGAGAGTCTGGCCAAAGCCATGGCGGGGCTCTTCCATGCAGTCAAGCTGGGATTGAGAGGTGCGGTGAGGTTTACACAGCACTTGGTTAGTTGAATGGTTTCAGAAGTGTATGGAGAGACTGAGAGTTTACTCCCTTTTGTCTCTGTGATTCACCCTTCTAAGAAAAGAAGGCTTTCTTCCACCCCTTCATATCTCTGGATTAGAATACTGTATGGCATTCCCCACCAGCAGACAAGGATTCCCAATGGACCCTATGCGGACATTGCATCCATTCATTTGGGCATAGAAGAACAACACTGACATTCTCAGCACATTGCGCATCAATCCAACCTGAATGTGTCTAGGAAATACTCTGATCTACCTCTTTTATTTCCAATAGGTAAAGGAAACAGCTATTGGCCTTATTTAGTTCCTCTTTTGGCATTCTCTGTGATGGACAAAGCTTTGCAAGTGGGATGGTTGCAGGTTTTTGCCATGCTTTTTGTTCGAATGTTGCTTTTGGACAAGTTCAGTTTTAGAATGAGTCATGACTACACTTTACTTTATGTAAGTGGCATACAAATATACAAAATGAATTCATCGTATAGTGTAAGGAAGAGGCTAAGCAGGGGCATTTAAAAAGGTTTTGAACATGTGCAAATAAAAGGATGATGTACTGTTATTTGAGTCTCCGATTATTTTGCTAGATGGGATTTTGAAACAGTCACACTAGCAGCCTCATACATAATTTTATGCTGATGTTGTTTTGATAATTTTATGTTTATGTTGTTTATTCTGTATGTTTTTGGTGTTTGTTACTTGGAAACTGCCCTGAGTCCTCTTGGGGAGATAGAGCGGTAAATAAATAAATAAATAAATAAATAAATAAATATTATTCAAATAAAGGTAAAGGCTTCCCCTCGACATTAAGTCCAGTGAGTCCAGCTCTTGGAGTGGTGATCATCACCATTTCTAAGCCGAAGAGCTGACATCTGTAGACACCTCCAAGGTCATGTGACTGGCATGACTGCATGGAACACTGTTACCTACCCGCAGAAGCGATATCTATTGATCTACTCACATTTGCATGTTTTTGAACTGCTAGGGTAGCAGAAGCTGGGGCTAACAATGGGAGCTCACCCCATCCTACGGATTTGAACTGCCAATGTGCCAGTCAGCAAGTTCTGCAGCTTAGCAGCTTAACCCGCTGCACCACCGCGGCCCCTCGTGCAGGACAGCTCTATTATTTAAAGCTAAATATATTGAAACAATTTCTGGAGTGTACAGTCCTGGCAGAATGAAATCCAATTTTGACCCCATTTCTGCTTATTCAGATTTTATATGGTGCTACTACTCCAGTGGTTCTCAACCTGTGGGTCCCCAGATATTTTGGCCTTCAACTCCCAGTGATCCAAACAGCTGGTAAACTGTCTGGGATTTCTGGGAATTGTAGGGCAAAACACCTGGGGACCCACAGGTTGAGAACTACTGTACTACTCTTTCAATATTTTCCATTCTTCTTCAATGCCTCTAGGTAACTTTATGCATTTTTCATTAGCGCTTACTCTGCATTGTGTGTTTTGTAGTCGTCAAAGCAAGCTGACAATTTCAAATCCAAACAAGAGGGCAACATGAGACAGCTACAGTTAGACCTATCAAAACAATCTTCAGCACACAAGCCTTTTCCTCAAGAAATATGAGCCCAGAAGTATCATATATAAGGAATACTTACCAGCTCACCAACTTTTCCTGGTCGGCCTGAATTCCCTGGTTCACCCTGAATTAAGAGAGACGGAAGCAACATAATAGTCTTACAAACTGCCATATTTTTTGCACTTAAAAATCTATTTTCTGGGATACCTTATCAGAGATAATGTCTCTTTAAGTTAAGGAAATGTTTACAAGGTTCCTTACATTAAGAAAGAAGTCAACACAAGGCTCCTTACGTTTACCAATACCAATTAAAGAGAGTCAACATTTGCCAGGAAATGAGATAAAGCTAGGATGTTTCAGGATGGAAAAAAAACATCTATTATTCAGTTACAACTTTGGAACAACATCAGCAAGAAATATTGCTATATAATGGACCCCCTAATATTCCAAAAAATGTGGCAGACCGGAGAAGTTTGGCCCACCTGCCATGCTCTGTTCCACGGAAGGAGAGAGATGGTGTATCTTTGGGAGTGGCAGATCTGCAATGGAACGCAGTCTGGTCACTTGCTCCTTTTCTCAAGGGAAGAGAAAGGAGTGTGATTTTGGAGTCATGATACATTTGCAGGGAGTCAGTTTCTGCTGTAGGAAAAACAAGGATCTGAACCTTGGCATAGTTCTCAGGGAAAGAGGATGCAGTTTGGAAGTTTTGGAACTGTGCTTTGGCAGGCTGCAGGGAAAGCAGGGTCTGGCCTAAGCAGGTGCTTTTCCAAGGATGGCAAAAGGATAAGGTATTTATTTATTTATTTATCGTGTCATCAGCAACCATTGTATTACAATTCTAACAGAGCAAAACAAAACACTGAGATTAAAAAGAAAAAAGAAAAAAAAACCACACAGATTTTGCAAATTTGGTATTTGGTTAAATGTCCTTTGACCAGTATCTGGCCACTTGGAGTGCCTTTGGGGTTGCCGCAAGAAGGTCCTCCATTGTGCATGTGGCAGGGCTCAGGGTGCATTGCAGCAGGTGGTCAGTGGTTTGTTCTTCTCCGCACTCGCATGCCGAGGATTCCACCCTGTAGCCCCATTTCTTAAGATTGGCTCTGCATCTCGTGGTGCCAGAGCGCAGTCTGTTCAGCGCCTTCCAAGTCGCCCAGTCTTCTGAGTGCCCAGGGGGGAGTCTCTCATCTGGTATCACCCATGAATTGAGGTGCTGGGTTTGGGCCTGCCACTTTTGGACTCTCGCTTGCTGGGGTGTTCCAGCGAGTGTCTCTGTAGATCTTAGAAAACTATTTCTTGATTTAAGTCGTTGACGTGCTGGCTGATACCCAAACAGGGGATGAGCTGGAGATGTCTCTGCCTTGGTCCTTTCACTATTGGCTGCTACTTCCCGGCGGATGTCAGGTGGTGCAATACCGGCTAAGCAGTGTAATTTCTCCAGTGGTGTGGGGCTCAGACACCCTGTGATAATGCGGCATGTCTCATTAAGAGCCACATCTACTGTTTTAGTGTGGTGAGATGTGTTCCACACTGGGCATGCATACTCAGCAGCAGAGTAGCATAGCGCAAGGATAAGGATAAGGTAATATTTAGATGCATAAGGATGAGTAAATGTGTACGGGTAATGTGAATGCAGAGTAAAAATGTAACCTCGCTTTTTTTAGCCAATATAACTGTAGGTTGTTTGTGGATTCAATAAGGTTACATAGAATCTGTATGTCTGTATGTCTAACAGTTGCTCTGTAAAAGTTCTCTATATCTTTTCTCTTACTATTTACTTATTGTATCAGGAGCAAACCAAGGGTACAGTTGTGATGTATTTGAGGAAACACAAAGTTTAAAAACTTGGCATTATATGAAATGTCATTTGAACAGTAGCTGGCCACTTGGAGTGCCTCTGATGTACTGTGTATACTCAATATAAGCCGACCTGAATATAAGCCGAGACACCTAAATTTATCACAAAAAACTGGAAAAGTGTATTGACTCGAGTATAAGCCGAGGGTGAGAAATGTAGCTGCCACTGGTAATCATCAGTAGGATAAATGTTTTTTAGTATTTACATAAAACTGTAAGTTAAGATAAGACTGACCAACTCTGATTCAATCATTATTCCTTCAATATAAATGTGCTTACCTATTACCAATAATAATAGTCAAATAATAAATGTAATAACATGTAATAAAAATAATAATAGAGTAAATAATGGACATTTAATAATAGTAGTAATAAAGTAATAACAATGATATAGTAAAATGATAAATGTAATAATAATAAATAGAGTAAAATAATAAATGTAATAAAAATAATAATACAGTAAATGTAATAATAATAATAATAATAATAATAGAGTAAAATAATGAATATAATAAAAATAATTCTAATAACAGAGTAAAATAAAAAATAACCTTGACTCGAGTATAAGCCGAGGGGAACTTTTTCAGCCTAAAAAAGGGGCTGAAAAACTAGGCTTATACTCAAGTATATACAGTCGTTATAAGAAGGTCCTGTATTGTGCATGTGGCAGAGTTCAGGCTGCTTTGCAACAGGTAGTCTGTGGTTTGTTCTTCTCCACATTCACATGTCATGGACTCCTCTTTGTGGCCCCATTTCTTAAGGTTAGCTCTGCATCTCGTGGTCCCAGAGCATAGTCTGTTCAGCACCTTCCAAGTTGCCCAGTCTTCTGTGTGCCGAGGAGGGTGCCTCTCGTTTGGTATCAGCCATGGATTGAGGTTCCGGGTTTTAGCCTGCCACTTTTGGACTCTTGCTTGCTGAGGTGTTCCTGTGAGTATCTCTGTAGATCTTAGAAAGCTATTTCTTGATTTAAGGCGTCGGCATACTGGCTGATATCCGAACAGGGAATGGGCCAGGGATGTCACTGCTTTTGTCCTTTCATTATTGGCTGCTACTTCCCGGTGGATGTCAGGTGGTGCAATACCGGCTAAACAGTGCTATTTCTCCAGTGGTGTAGGGCGCAGACAGCCTGTGATAATGTGCTATATCTCATTAAGAGTCACATCTACTGTTTTAACATAGTGAGATGTGTTCCACACTGAGCATGCATACTCAGCAGTAGAGTAGCAAAGAACAAGGCCAGATGTCTTCATTGTGTCTGGTTGTGATCCCCAGGCTGTGCCAGTCAACTTTCGTATGATATTGTTTCTAGCGCCCAATTTTTGCTTGATATTCAAGCAGTCCTTATTTCTCTTACTGGAAAATTGCAATAAAAAGTATGCTTTCAAGTTATTGAAAGTTATTCATAACACTAAAACATTAAACACTACAAAACGATCTCCAATTTGTTCATGAAGAATTAACCACAGGCAATTCCCAAACAGAGTGCGGATAGCAGAACAATTGCTAATTGGAGCAACTAAATCATCTTCAGCTGCCCATGAGCTCTTCCCACGGTTGTTTTATTAAGGTCTCAGCTTTTCCAGACAGTGTTGACTGAAGCCACTTCACTCTTTGAGCCAGATGGGTTTCCTCCATCTTGACTGTCTCTGTCTGCCCAGGAGAATGAATGCTGCAAAGGACTCATGCCTTTGCAAAGCTTTGGTGGAGATGTGCCAAGAGAGCACAGTGCCTCCCATGCACTGCCATGGGGAAAGACATGCTCTCCTCTTCAAACATTGCATCCCACTGCATGGGATGGGCCAGTCTGTCAAGCTCAATTCTGCTTTTTCTGATCACCATGATCATTCCATCCCAGTTCCATTAGTTGACCTGGTGTGCCTTCCAATCATTCCCAACCTAGGGCAATGCTACAGCTATGCTAACACTGCAGTTTCTATAGTTATCTATAGTGACAGCCAGCATGGTTTGAGTATTGGGCTATGAGCATTGCCTCCGGACATTAGAGATGGAAAGGGGGAAGGCCTTTATCTTATCTTTCTATTATATGTCACTGTCTGTGTAAAATGGCATTGAATGTTTGCCTTATATGTGTACTGTAATCCACTCTGTCCATCTGGGGAGATAAGGGTAGGTAAAGATTTTCCTCTGACATTAAATCCAGTTGTGTCCGACTTTGGAGGTTGGTGCTCATTTCCATTTCTAAGCCAAAGAGCTGGCATTGTCCGTAGACACCTCCAAGGTCATGTGGCCGGCATGACTGCATGGAACGCCCTTACCTTCCCACCAGAGCGGTATCTATTCATCTACTCACATTTGCATGTTTTCGAACTGCTAGATTGGCAAAAGCTGGGGCTAACAGTGGGACCTCACCCTGATTCGAATCTGTGACCTTTCAGTAAGCAAGTTCAGCAGCTCAGCAGTTTAACATACTGCACCACCAGGGGCTCCCCAGGGAGATAAAGCGGAATATAAATAAAGTATATTATTATTATTATTATTATTATTATTATTATTATTATTATTATTATAAACACAACAAGATTAGTACAGAGAAAACAAGATCACTATGCTGGCCGTTGTATTGGATCACACGTCGGACCCTTCCCAAGTGTCTAGGATTGTGTGATGTATTGGCAAATAATGTGTGCAGATCCGAGTAGGGTGGCCTTTTGCAACTGACAGATGGTAATTTTGTCAGTGCCGGTGTTTAAGTGCAGGCCAAGGTCTTTAGGCACTGCACCCAGTGTGCCGATCACCACTGGGACCCCCTTGACTGGCTTGTGTCAGCGTCTTTGCGGTTTGATCTTTAAATCCTCATATCATGTCAGCTTTTTCAGTTGTTTCTCTTCAGTTCTGCTGTCGACTGGGATTGCAACATCGACGATTTATCATCACCATCATCATCATCATCATCATCATCATCATCATCACCACCACCACTACTACTACTACTTCAATTGCTACAAACTGGATTCAAAGTGTGAAAGTAGTTTGTCATTAACTCAAAGGGCGAACAGAAGAGATTAGGCTCAAGCAAAAGGAAAATGCTGCAGCCTCTCTTAGCTTCTCTCATCTTCCTCACTGGGAACTTTTGCCATTTCTTTCTCTTAAAAGTTCCTCTTAAATGTATACTAATCCAATTGAAACTAACAGGAGCCTTAAAGAAGGCAAACTGAAGCAAGTCACAAGCAAGAGACAGGGAAGCTTCAAGCATGGAAAAGTCTCAAATTAGGATAACATCCTACACAGGATGCCTGGCATGGAGCAGAGTAAGGGAAAAATCTTTTCTCAGATGTCTGTAATGCAATTACACAGACAGGCTGACATTTGTCAGATACATAAGTGACATTTTCATTCTAGGAAAAGAGGGGAAGGCAGAAGGAGAGAAGCCATGCCCTATGAGGCTTCTGTGGACAATTCAGAGAAAGGAAGACATGGGTGGCTAACCACTGACATTTTCGGACTGAAACACAGAGATGTTCATGGAAGGAAAGAAGGAAAGAGTGGAAAGAGTTCCAAAGATCACTGTGCTGTTGAAACACTGTGGTTTCCAAAAATATGCACCATCATTCTTGATGCTGCAGAAACCACAGTGAGTTGGAATTTCCAGGCCGAAAGCAAAAAGGAAGAGCAAAAATATTTATAGAAAAGAGGGGGAACCTCTCTGTGTTAGGAATGAATGGATGCAGCCATGGGATTCCCTCCTGCTTTTGCCCCTTTTCAGGTCGCAACAAACAAAGCATCTTCTTCTTTTACCTTTACGCCATCAGGGCCTGGTTTCCCTGGAAATCCTTTCCTGCCAAGTGGACCCTGAAACACAGAGATGCACACACATTCAGAAAGATTTGTCATAGGTATACAACCAGATGAACCAAAAGGGAACACAAAGAAATCAGTCAAAATGAAGTTTTTTTCTGCCAGAAGTTGAAAGTTTACAGCTGCCTCAGCTTGAAAGGGGGAATTCGAGATGGTGGCACCAGTGGGAAAGTTACAGAGAAATCTTTCTAAGGGGTCAGGAATGGCAGGGAATTTTTTTTTTGCAAAACTGGAATCTAGTTGAAATTTGACAATTCATCCAAAAAGTTATATGATGAGGAAACTAATGTACACTAGCTCTGGAACACTTTTTCACGCAACACCACTCAGAGTCCAATAGTAGCTAACTAAAGCAGTAGAAAAGGTGCTGTGATACAAAGATCAATAGTCCAAGATAGCAAGGTATGTGAATTCCATGAAGTCAAGAGCATAACATAAATCCATAAGCATGAAACAGGAACTTTTTCAAGGCAAAACTCATTCAGGAACAAAGTCAAACTTGAGAGCTGAACATGAACTTGATTTTAAGGCAATGTTGTCTACTCTGGAGAGGCCAGGGAAACATCACTTAATTTAAGCTCAAACCTGACCAAGAAGCCATGAGGTCATCGCTTCAAGACTTGGGTTTCAAGGACTGCTTCTCAAGGAGTCTTTCTGACCTTCTATTAACCTTTCCTTTGCTCTCTCTGAATGGAGGCCTAATCTCATATCGTGGGATAACTCCCCATCTTCTGAAGACTGAGAAGGCCAATTAGAAACAAATCCCAAACATCCTCTATCTCTTCTGCAGCTGTCAGCCCTCCTCTCTGATCTACGGTCTGCATTTCTGGCTGTATTTCAGCATGATCACACACAGACTCAGTGAAAAATCCATCACTTCCCTCATCCTCTGAGGCAGAATCCCCAGCATCCACAGCATCTTGCTGCTGAACCCCAACAACGAAGTTGGTCCCATCTTTCCATAAAATTTCTTTTAAAAATGTTTTAAAACATAAAAACAAAATTCAAAATATTTTAGATCACAATCTATACACATAATAAAAATGGAAAATGTGTGTGTGCGTGGCGGAGGTGTCCACTTACACAGACAGCCTTCGGCCTCCACAAGCAGGCTATAGTTCCAAGTGCTGAGAAGCCTCCAAAGGCACTTCTTCCACTGACATTGCAGGTTAGAGCAAGCACCATGAACATGGAGCCTAAATGCTGCCAATGTCCTCCCCAAACACTATGGCCCACTACCCAAGGAATGTTTTTATTTGGGAAGAATTTCATCCTAAACTTTATGTGTTTTCTCCACCACAGGCAGACATCCCAGGGTTCCTTGTGTGAAATTTGCATGACCTTGCTGGCTGCCTCTTCCTTAACTCTTTCCTACCCTTTCCTATGGCACATAGCAAACATAGAAGAATTGATCAGCCAGTGAACAAAGCGGAGAGGTTTGGGAGACTGACTCAACAGGAATCCAGAGCACACTGAACCCAGCCGACGACGGATCGGGACCAAAATTGGCACACAGAACCAACATGGCCAACTGTAAATACTGGCTGGGTTTAGGTTTGATTGCCCTGGGAATCTGGGATTTGTAGTTCACCCTTATCCAGAGAGCACTGAACACAGCTGATATTGGATCTGGACCAAATTTGGCACACAGACCCAACATAGCCAACTTTGAAGAATGTCAGGGTTTGGGAAGGACTGCCCCACGATTCTGGGAATTATAGTTCATCCACATCTTTATGCATTTTCTAATTGGAGCACTCATTAAAAAAAAGGAAAGACTGGTTTTTTTCTAATAAATAGCATTAGACATTATCAAACGAATATTATAAAACTTCAAAAAACAAACAATGCCTTTCTCAAATAACCCGAGCACTACCGAGTTCTCAAGCTAGTTACAAATAAAACACCAATGAGCAGAATAAGAAGAAAAATATATTGTTGGTTGCTGCTTAAGCTAATACTGAATATAAGAGTGTCTTGAGCTGGATTCCAAAGGCAATGAGATACTACAGATACTCAACATCACTGAAAAGGTCTTGTAGAATTTCTTTGTGGAGACTCTAATTCCAGGAACCACCCCAGCCACAATCAAAACAACTACAACTCCCATCCCTTTTCTTACCTCTGCCCCTGGAATGCCATGTGGTCCCACTGGCCCTTCATCACCCTAGAAGGGTACATAAAAGGAGCAAGTATTTACAAAATATTCAACCAATAAATAAAATAAGGGAGAATCTTTGTAGCATTGCTGTCACCCAATTGGGGGTACTTAGGTTAAATTACAACATGGGCTTTAATGAATCCAGACATAAGCTCCAGGAGAGGAAACCAATAGTGCAGAAGGAGGGGGGTATATTTTTGCTTTTTTAAGTCACTCCAAAATTTGTGCAAATAAGAAATGTGATAAAAAAGAGTTGCAACAACAATAACAAGAGTAGCAGCAAACAATGACAGCAGCAACAATAAATGCTGTGTACAGATCAAGTATTCTCTCTGCAGAGGAATTTCTATTTTTTAGACAAAGGAGAAGGAATGTGTCTTTTGAGACTCTGCCTGTCCCTTGCAGATTGTGCAAAGCTTTCTCTTTTCCGGAACAGCTCCTCTGTGTGTGAAAGCTCAACAATTCAGTGCACAATGCCTTTGAGGCAAGGAGAAGCGGCCATGTTGTGCACCTTTCAGGCGTTTCTGACTTACGGCAACCCTAAGGCAACCCCTGCCGTGATTTTCTCCTCCCAAGCTGCGTTACTCAGATTGCAGCAACTGAAGCAGACTAAAGACAAGGAGGCAGAGTAGGAGGAAGAGAGAGAAACCAGGACCTTTTACAAGGGAGACAAAAGAGGATTAATTGGGATTACCCTTGCCAAACTAGGGCAGTTGGAGGGTATGCAATGGCAATGAAAACATCTTGATGGGAGGCTGAGTGGAGGCAAGCAATAGTTCTGCACTTGTTATGCTAAGAGAGGTCCAATAATAGTTCCTCACAGTCTGAAACAGCATGACTAAACCCATTAAATGGTCCTATGAGACAGCTTCAGCCAAATGATTGAGAAGTTCTGTGACAGTATCTTTGAAAATAGAACAACATTTCTGAGGGAGCTAGTAGGCTCTCCTTTGCAAAACGTCTTTACGGAGAAGCGGACAGCCTTCTGCTCTTGCATCTGGATGCCCACAACAGGCCAAGAATTGCCACATCTCCCTGGTCCACTTGCGGTCCTTCAGATGTTGTTGGTAGACTTGTTTAATCCATGCTTTGTTTTAGTATCCTTGTTTTTGGTGGGGGTCCTGATCTGTTTCTTGGGAGGGAAGATATCTGTTTTCGTTCTGAGCTGTCGAAAGATCTGTTTTCTATTGGCCCATTATGGGGGGGGGGGGGAGGTTTCACAGGCACCCCTTCCCATCATTAAGCTGCTTCTACTGGAGAGGAGATGAAGGCAGGCACGCACATTTTCTCTTCCTGGAGGGCACGCCACATGCACTATTTTCAAGGCATTTAAAGGAGGCAAGTTCTTACAGCTGTGCCTTACCCTGGAGGAGAGACACTTGGCTGTAGGCTGGCATGCACACTTTAAGGAGGCTTCTTGTTCTTAAAGCTGTTTTTTCTACTTTATAGGAGAGGTGCTCGGCTGCATGTAGGCATGTGCACTTTAAGGAGGCTCCTTAAAGCTGTTTTTTCTACTCTATAGGAGAGGTGCTTGGCTGCAGGCAGGTGTGTGCACTTTAAGGAGGCTCCATAAAGCCGTTTTTTCTACTTTATAGGAGAGGTGCTCGGCTGCAGGCAGGTGTGTGCACTTTAAGGAGGTTCCTTAAAGCTGTTTTTTCTACTCTATAGGGGAGGTGCTCGGTTGCAGGTAGGCGTGCGCACTTTAAGGAGGCTCCTTAAACCTGTTTTTTCTACTCTATAGGAGAGGTGCTCAGCTGCAGGTAGGTGTGCGCACTTTAAGGAGGCTCCTTAAAGCTGTTTTTTCTACTCTACAAGAGAGGTGCTCGGCTGCAGGCAGGTGTGCACACTTTAAGGAGGCTCCTTAAAGCTGTTTTTTTTCTCTACTCTATAGGAGATGTGCTCAGCTGCAGGCAGGCGCGCACACTTTAAAGAGGCTTCTTGTTCTTAAAGCTCTTTTTTCTACTCAAGAGGAGAGGTGGTTGGCTGCAGGAACATGTGTGTATATTAAGGAGGCTTATTGTTTTTGAAGCTGTTTTTCTACACTACAGGAAAAGAGGTGCTGCAAGCAAGCGGACATGCGCTGTCTCTCCCAGGCCTGCACCATGCCAGCAGCCACACACTCTTTCCCAGGCATTTTAAGGAGGCTTCCCACTTCCAGGTAAGGAAGAATAATTTTCAGGGAATGAAGGTTTTCTTTTTGTTTGCTGGGGGGTTAATAAAAAAGATTAAACAGTGATACCGAAAACCAGAAGAGGAGGCAAAATCAGCTCCCGCTTGCTTTTGTGTCAGGTGGGTTTTCATATCAGGGGGCCCTTACTGTTACAGGCTCCTGAAGTACCAAAGGAAATGGAGAAAACAGAAGAAAAGAAATCCATGCACATATCTATTGGTTGGTTCCAGCAGCCCTTGCCACCAAGGCTGAGAGCTGATGGGAGTTAAGTACAGCAACAACAGGAGAGCTACTCCCAGCTCAATAATTCTGTCAAATTAAAGGGGCTTGCTTGAATCTAGACCTTATGGAAATAATGTAGCATCGTAGGCTGAGATCCTACCTCTTGGCCAGGCCGTCCTGGGGGGCCAGGTATCCCTCGAGCCCCTGGTTTTCCCTGCAAGAGATAGGAAGGAGAAAGGCTCAGAAAAGAAAGAAGCATAATAACTATTGAGGTCCCATTGAAACAGAATGGAAGTTGCTTGCCAGCGCGTGCTGCCACGGGAAGGCATCCAAAGTCAATTTTCTTGTAGAACCAATAGTGGGGAGGCAGGCGGAGGGGGGGCTGTTGGAGAGGAAAAGAAACTCTACGCCAGCTCTTGGAGCCATCTCAATACAAACAAGTCCTAAAAACCAGAGCTTTGGCTAGAACTATCCACCGGGATCTCCAGCATTTCTCCCCCCCCCCCCCCAGTTTCTTTGGTGTTTTTGTTTTCATTGGCTCTTGGCAACTCAGCCCAAAGTCTGGTTTTTCAGTGTCACTCACCTTAATGCCTTCGGGGCCGTTTTGTCCTGGTGGGCCAATGTCTCCTGGAAATCCCTAAAGAGTGCCAAGCAGAAAAGATGTGAAGTGACCAAGTTCCCAAGTCAAAGTTTCATCTGCCAGGTCTTTGGGGAGCTGCTTTGTTGCTGGACTGCATCAAAACATCTGAGGGTGATTTGGAGAGGGCTCATTTTTAAATGAAGTGACGACCAGGTTTTAATTTGGATCAAGCCTCCTCTCCAAGCCAATTCTAATTCCATATGAAGCAAAGGCCACTTTCAACCCAAACTGAACCTCAAGCTTAAACTCGATCAAGACTATACTGGACCCAAATTGAACAAACTGCAGCGTCTTCTCTGCTAACTCAAGATCTCAATTTCAGACGGAGCCAATACTACTTTTGTCTTAAAGCAAGAATGGAGTATAAGCCCAGCTGGGATGAATTTGGGAACCTTGGGTTTAAATTAAGCAAGGAATAATTAAGGTGCAGATTGAATCTTAGGCTCAAAATATGTCAAGAGGTGGCTGTGAGTTTTCCGTACTGTCTGGCCATGTTCCAGAAGTATTCTCTCCTGACGTTTCACCCACATTGATGGCAGGCATCCTCAGAGGTTGTGAGGTCTGTTGGAAAACAGGCAAGTGGGGTATATATATCTGTGGAATAGTGTCCAGGGTGGGGAAAAGAACTCTTGTCTGCTTGAGGCAAGTGTGAATGTTGGAACTGACCAGCTTGATTAGCATTGAATAGTCTTGCAGCTTCAAAGCCTGGCTGCTTCCTGCCGGGGGAAATCCTTCATTGGGAGGTGTTAGTTGTCTGGAATTCCCCTGTTTCTTGAGTGCTGCTCTTTTTTACTGTTTCCAGTAAATAAGGACAGGAAACAACCAGGGCCAGCTAACACTTCAGACTTTAAAGTGCAAAAATAAAGAGAGGGCAATTCTTCTGCAAGGCTGAGCAAGGTCCAGGAAATGCACTAGCTCCCAACAATAAAATTGGAACGGCCCAGAAGGGCAAGGAGACACAATCAGATCTACCCCAAAACCGTCCCTTCTGGAACCTTCCAGAAGCTGAAATAGATCCTTTATTCTCATTGGAGAAAGACCTGATGATTAAAGGGGGGGATGGAGGGTCTGGGAAGTTTCTGCCAACCTAGCAGTTTGAAAGCATGCAAATGGGAGTAGATCAATAGGTACCACTTTGGTGGGAAGGTAAAAAAGGTGCCCATGCAGCCATGCCAACAAGGCAACCAGGAGGCATCTATGGACAACAGGTTACTTGGGTTGGAAATGGAACAAGAGCACCTCCCCATGGCCAGAGTTAAGCATCACCTCCAGAAGCTGGAGATGGGAGGGAAGCCTTTAAATTTGCGTGTTTTTGCTACCCCTCTATTCTGCCTTGGTTAGACCACATCTGGAATAGTGTGTCCAATTCTGGGCACCACAATTAAAAGGGGATGTTGACAAGCTGGAATGTGTTCAGAGGAGGGCGACTAAAATGATCAAGGATCTGGAGAACAAGCCCTATGAGGAGTGGTTTAAAGAGCCAGGCATGTTTAGCCTGAAGAAGAGAAGGCTGAGAGGAAACATGATAGCCATGTATAATTATGTGAGAGGAAGTCATAAGGAGGAGGGAGCAAGCTTGTTTTCTGCTGCCCTGGAGACTAAATGCAATGGAGTAATGGCTTTAAACTATAAGGAAGTAGATTCCTCTTGATCATTAGGAAGAACTTCCTGACTGTGAGAGCTGTTCAGCAGTGGAACTCTCTGCCCCGGAGTGTAGTGGAGGCTCCTTCTTTGGAGGCTTTTAAACACAGGCTGGATGGCTATCTGTTGGGGGTGCTTTGAAGGCAATTTGAAGGCTGAATGGGGTTGGACTGGCTGGCCCACCAGGTCTCTTCCAACTTTATGATTCTATGATTGTCATGTCATTGTATTAAAGGCACTGAATGTTTTCCTATCTGTGTATGTTGTAATCTGATCTGAGTGCCCTTGGGGACATAGAGTAAAATACAAATAAAATGTATTGCATTATTATGAAGAGGACCCTGCGGGCTGTATGTAGCCTACTAGCTTCTAATCTAAAAGCTGCTCAGCAGAGGTGGTTTTGCAATAGGGCTTAATGTGGTACTCTGGAAACAGCCCAAGGTACAAGGATGCATGAAGGATGTCTTGAGCGTCCTGCCTGTCATTCCATCCAAGCCAGAAATCTCTTACGTCAGCAAATACTTCCCTGCCATTCTCAGCTCATAAGAAAGGCCCCTGTTCAATCCGTCTTGGATTTTGACTCAGCAGCATTAGTGGCATTCTCTCGAAGAAATAAATCAAGACCTTGCCGAGCTTGACAAAAGGGAAACGGGACTTGGCGGGACAGAGAGGAAAGGTGACGACATGCTCATTAGCCGGAGGCGGCCTGACGTGGAACGCCAACGCTTTTCCACCCACCATCCATTCAGAAACAAAGAAAGTCACAGTCCAGTCCAATGCTAACAAAGAAGACCGATTACTAAGAGATACAACTAAACTGAGAGCCGTTCCAGACTGTGCAAAATGCCAGAACACTGACAATGAAGGGAAAAGACGATGTCAGCCAATGCTGCAAGCCTTTCTCCAAGAATACATCTTTCATTTCTTTACTAGGATAACGTAAGTTGAGCATGAGGAGATTGGACCAAAGTTTCATCCAATCTAGTGGCTCTCAATGGCCAGACCTCTGGATTTTTGGGACTTTAGATTTTCAAGGCTGCATGGCCAATGGTCTGGAGAACAAGCCCTATGAGGAGCGGCTTAAAGAGCTGGGCATGTTTAGCCTGAAGAAGAGAAGGCTGAGAGAAGACATGATACCATGTATAAATATGTGAGAGGAAATCATAGGGAGGAGGGAGCAAGTTTGTTTTCTGCTGCCCTGGAGACTAGGACGCAGAGCAATGGCTTCAAACTACAGGAAAGGAGATTCCATCTGAACATTAGGAAGAACTTCCTGATTGTGAGAGCCATTCAACAGTGGAACTCTCTGCCCCAGAGTGTGGTAGAGGCTCCTTCTTTGGAAGCTTTTAAACAGAGGCTGGATGGCCATCTGTCGGGGGTGCTTTGAATGCAATTTTCCTGCTTCTTGGCAGGGGGTTGGATTGGATGGCCCATGAGGTCTCTTCCAACTCTATGAGTCTATAATTCTGGGAGGTGAAGTCCACACCATTTGTATCAAGCCCTGCAGCTATCCTGATTTGATACAGCCTCAATTACTTCTCTGCTGTCCCACTTTCTCAACGGCTTTTAAAATGTCCCAGTTCCTTGCCTTTCCTCTTTTTGTCTGCAAACAGAGTTCAAAGCACAGCAATAGTTCTTAATTAACTTAGCAGAAAGGAGGGGAGGAATCTCAACTTTCTTAAAAAAGGCTCAGGCAAAAGCAAATTTGTCTGTTTTTTCTCATTAAAAGCCTTTTCCATTTTGACTGCACTCTGATGTTGCTTGGCCACACATGTCCCAGTTTTGATTTGTGTTGGAGGCTATGCTATAGGACCAAGAGATGGGAACTGTAGCACGCCAGGTCTGGAAACACCTATGACCGTCGCACCACACAAGAATCCAGGAATATAAGCAAACAGTTTGTTATAAAACCAAATTAAAAAGCATATTAAAAGAAGGAAGAAGAAAGGGGATATATATTTCCCACATATATAATCCAAAAAGGTTTAGCAACAGATGGTAACCAAACAATAATCCAAATGTCTCATAAAGTTCCAGAGGTGACAATGCCCAGGAACAGCCAGAAAACACAGGTACAGCATAAGTCCACAAGCAAGAAGGTATTTCTAGTAAAAACTTGAACACAAGTACATGATCAGGAACATAGAAAACTTCCAGGATATATTAAATCTAAAACCAAGGCTTGACTTGAACCAGGAAACAGAGAACTTAGACTTAGCTTCTCACTCTAACGCAGCATTGCCTGAGCTGACCTTAAGGTAAACAACTTTCTGTTTAATAGACACCCATGAAATCATTCCATTTCCCATGAATTTTCTCCACAACTTTCTCACGTAATCTCTTTGAATGACGCACTCTATTTTCAGCTCTGATTGGTAAACAACAACTTTTGTTGATCTCCGTAGCTACAGGTGGTTTCTCATGGGAACCCTCCTTATCACTCAGCTCTTCACTCACATCCTTATCTGCTTTTGCTACTTCTGACTCCCCTGCTTGCTCTTGGGGTCCAGCACTTTCTGAACCAGTTTTCTCACCATCATTTCCCAGACTTGAATTTCCCAGACTTGAGGGCCCATTACTTTGTGTCACAGGAAAGCTCACAATCCTCACTAAATCATCAGTTAAACTACTGACTGATCTACAACAGGAACCACTAAAAGAGATGTCCGGGTTAGGATGACAAGCAGAATATAGACATAACTAGGCCATTTCACCTAACTCTTCATCAAAACTGCCATCCACATACACACTGCCTTTGAATCTGCTATTGGTACCAAAGCTCATAGCTGTTAACAGTTTGTAACATTGTAAAGATTTTTTTTCAAGTTTGAACACACCATGTGTATATATGTAAAATAAAGCTGTGGTTGCTGAGCTTGAGATAATGAGTGGAAAGGATTAGAACAAAAATAGCAGTAAGTTATAGTAGGAGCTATTCTTGCTAGTCCTACTCAATCAATCATGCCTGCTGTTGAAGGACAAGGTTTTCATTAGCCGTTGACCAGACCTTGGAAGTAATCAGCTAAAATTAGTCATGTATCGATGAACACTAAAGTCTCATTTTCTATATATACTTGTGAAAGACAAATAGTGAAAAATATGGATGGCAAGACAATAAACCCATTTGAGATTTGGTGCTGAAGAAGAGTTCTACAGATATCATGGACTGCTAAAAAGACAAATCAATCATGAACTCTCCCAAAATCTAGGATGATCTAACTGAGTTTGTTTTACTTGGACCATATCATAAAATCATAAAGTTGGAAGAGACCTTGTGGACCATCCAGTTCAACTCCCCGTCAAGAAGCAGGAAAATTGCATTCAAAACACCCCAAACAGATGGCCATCTGTTTAAAACTCTCCAAAGAAGAAACCTCCACCACACTCTGGGGCAGAGAGTTCCATTGCTGAACAGCTCTCACAGTTAGGAAGTTCTTCCTAATGTTCAGGTGGAATCTCCTTTCCTGTAGTTTGAAGTCATTATTCTGCATCCTAGTTTCCAGGACAGTAGAACACAAACTTGCTCTCTCCTCCCTAGGACTTTCCCTCACATATTTAAACACAACCATCATGTCTTCTATTCATTAGAGGGGTGCAATTCACCCAAAAGGCATGCCATTTTGGGACCCATTGTCAGCTGGCCCCTCATTGTATTTACTGGGAAGTTACTCGAATTGGGAAGGCTGAGGGAGAAAAGGAATTGTGGGAGTTGAAATCCAAAATACCTGGAGGGCCGAAGTTTGCCCATGCCTGGTCTAGAAGGTGGCACTCCTATCTCTTAAGCAGGTCATTTCCAATGTTTGATTAATTAAACTTACATTTTAATTTGTTTTTTAAAAGATAGTTTGTAAAGAACATGATAGAATTTTATACATCAATGATTTTCCCAAGCTTGTTTTTACTCTGGAGGTAAAGCAGAAAGACCTGATTTGGGCAGAAGAGGACTTCAAAGCAAACCAAGCCATATCACATCCAGAACGTACCTCAGGGCCAGGTGGTCCTGGAATTCCAACTGCACCTTTGTCACCGGCACTTCCCTGCAGAAAACCAAAGAATAGGAAGCATGAGATGGCCCTATAAACCTCTGTGTGTGAACTGCGTAACATAAGAAAACTGAAACCAGTTTTATAGAAATATAGAATAGATCCCTGAATCAAGAAATCAAAAACACCACAGACAGCATCAACCTGATTTGTCACATGTATACATTGTTTTCACAAGCATATTTATTATATCAGCTGAAATCTGCCATCTGAAGATGAATGCCTTAGGCAGAACTTAGCTAAACAATGATGCACGGGCTATCAAGACGTGATGGGTGCATCAGTCTCTCTCCAATTAAAGGCAACCCTCAAAATCCACAGGACAGCATTGGCGTCACATTAGTATTTCTGAAATTTGGTCTATTGCAGGGGTCCCCAAACTAAGGCCCGGGGGCCGGATCCGGCCCCCCGAGGGCATTTATCCGGCCCGCAGGGTGTGGAGAAGGTGGGGGAGGCGGCGGGTGAAGCAGCTTCGGAGCCGCTTCGTCCTCCGCCTCCCTGGGCCAAGCCAGCTTTTTTGCCTTTGGGAAGGGGCCACGAGCTGCGTGCATCCGCAGAGCAAAGCCAGGCGGAGCAGCAGCCGTGTCCCGGGCATGGTGCGCCTCCCGAGCCTCTGCCTGTCAGGACGGGGACTCCATGGGCTTCCCTGCAAGGCAAGGAGCAGAGGGAGGGGGTCAGTGCGGAGGGAGAGAGCGAGGGAGGGAGGGGTCTCCTTCCACCAGGGAAGCACCCGCCAAGACCCTCCTCCTCTTCCTCCTCCTCTGCTGGGCAAGAACCCCCTCCCTTCACACACACACACACACACACACAGACATCATCTTTGATTTTGGGCTGTATGGCTGTGTTCCAGAAGCATTCTCTCCTGATGTTCTCTCTTTGGTTCCATCCTTCCTTGTCTCTTTCTTTCCTTCCTTCCCTCCCTCTTTCTCTTTTTCGTTCCTTCTCTCCTTCCTTCTCTACCTTTCTTTCTTTCCTTTTCTCCTTCCCTCCTTCTTTCCCTCTCTCTCCCTCCTTCTCTCCTTCCTTCTTTCTTTCTTTCTTTCTTTCTTTCTTTCTTTCTTTCCTTCTTTCTCTCCTTCCCTCCTTTTTCCCCTTCTTCTTTCCCTTTTCTCTCTCTTTCTCTCCCTCCTTCTCTCCTTCCTTCATTCTCTACCCTTCTTTCTTTCTTTCCTTCCCTCCTTCTTTCCCTCTTTCCTTCTCTCCTTCCCTCCTTCTCTACCCTTCTTTCTTTCTTTCTTTCTTTCTTTCTTTCTTTCTTTCTTTCCTCCCTTCTTTTCCCCCTTTCCCTTTCTTTCTCTCCCTCCTTCTCCCCTTCCTTCATTCTCTACCCTTCTTTGTTTCCTTCCCTCCTTCTTCCCTTCTTCTTTCCCTCTTTCCTTCTCTCCTTCCTTTTCCCTCTTTCTTTCTCTCTTTCTCTCCCTCCTTCTCCCCTTCCTTCATTCTCTACCCTTCTTTCTTTCCTTCCCTCCTTCTTCCCTTCTTCTTTCCCTCTTTATTTCTCTCCTTTCTTCTCTACCCTTCTTTCTCTCCTTCCCCCCTTCTTTCCCTCTTTCTTTCTCTTTCTCTCCCTCCTTCTCGCCTTCCTTCTCTACCCTTCTTTCTTTCCTTCTTTCTCTCCTTCCCTCCTTCTTTGCCTCCTTCTCTCCCTCCTTCTTTCTTTCCTTCCTTCTTTCCCCCTTTCTGTGTATGCGTTTTGTGTGTGTATATGCATAGATGTGTGTGTTTGTGTATACATATATATGGTTTTGCGCATGTATTGTAATGTATTTTTGGGGGGATGTTGCTTTTTAAGTCTCTTCCGCTGTGTTTTTCAGTGTTTTTATGAGTGATAGTCACTTGTTGGCCTGATAGATGTATTTTGTCCAAATTTGGTGTCAATTCGTCCAGTGGTTTTTGAGTTCTGTTAATCCCACAAATGAACATTACATTTTTATTTATATAGATTTTTCAAATTATAATCCGGCCCTCCAACAGTTTGAGGGACCGTGACCTGGCCCTCTGTTTAAAAAGTTTGAGGACCCTGGTCTATTGGATTGAAAATAATAATAATAATAATAATAATAATAATAATTATTATTATTATTATTATTATTATTATTATTTCCAGTATTTCTACCCCGTTCCTTCTCAACCCACTCAGGACAGCTTACATTTGGCAACAATTAGATGCCACTACATATAACAAAGCAATATGACAACAATTGAAACAAAAAATAAAACATGAATCAAAACAGTAAAAATTATACTGTTTGTCTGAAAAAGTACTGAAAAAGTTTGTCTTTGACACCAACACAGATTCTGTGGGCTGTGGTCCCAAAAGGTGTTTTTGAAGCTATGGCTTCAACAATCAAGAGCTTCCTGAGAACATCTGAGCAATGCAAAAGTCTAGACAGCTAGCTTCCCATGACCATGGTGGTTCATGGAGTACGGATCAGGTCAGTCCATATCAAGAACATTGCAAACACAGAATTCCTCAAACAGCCTTGCAGTGAGAGACGACACGTGGAAGGCCTCCATGTTGACAATTATATGTACATGAAGTTTCATGTTGCACTATGGCCTGGATTCACCTTTGCACCACACAAGAGTCCAGAATTACTAACTAAACAGTTTATTGAAGAAAACAAATATAAAAAGGCAAAAACCAATACAGAGAGCAATGTCCCAAAAAGCAATAGGAAAAACACCTGGAGACAAGTTCCATCTTGTCTCCTGAATATGCCATCAGTTGGGGACCCCTCCCCCAGCACCAACTGCTGCTCTGGGCCAAAGTGAAGAGAGAGGGGGCCAGGGGACAGTTCCACCTTGTCTCCTGTGCTATGCTAATAATGTAATATAATACAATATAATATAATTTATAATATTATAATGTAATACAAAATAATAATAATATGATATTATAATTATATATTTTATAATTGCATGTAATATTACTAATCATATTACAATATAATGGTATAGTACAGTATAGTAATATATAATACTGATATTGTACTATGCTAAGAATATAATGTATTGTATGTGTATATCTTGTAAGCCGCTCTGAGTCCCCTTCGGGGTGAGAAGGGCTGTATATAAATGTCGTAGATAAATAATAAATAAAAAACACTACTAAAGGGTTCATCAGAGTTCATCAGAGTTCTGTTCAAAAGTAACAAGGTACATAGAAAATCAGGAATCAAGACATAAGCATAAACCCATAACCAGAACATGGGAACTTCTTTCAAAACATGAATCCGTTTCCCAAGGAACTTAAACATAGTCTTGAACGTGGAGCAACACCAAGGTGTACTTGGTAATGCAGCGTTGCCTGATTTAACCCTTTTAATAAATTACCTTTTGAATTAAGGACCACAAAGCCATGAAGTCATATCTTCGACATCTGCTCTGTTGTTTCAAGGATTTCTCGTGGAGTTTCTGTGACCTCCATAATCTGGCTCCCACCTCCGGGAAATCGAGCCTCAAACTCCTACTGACCTCATGTGTTTTCCCAGGGGAAGATCTCTCCCTTCTAGCTTCTTATCTTGTTGTCAAGGAACAACTAGGAGAAAAGTTCTCCCTATCTTCTGATGCCACATTTCAGGTTTGCAAGAACCCTGTGAGGGAGGTGGCTCTGGAATTTAACCCTAACTATTACGCACTCTTGGTCATGCTTGATATGGGTGATAGGAGTCAAAGCCCATCATCATTCAGAGGGCCACAGGCTGCTTTTTGCTGCAATGGCCACCATGCTACACTGGATCTTGATAGGGTAGTCCTTTGGTAGATGTCTTTACAAGGTAGAAAGAGGAAGGATGTTACTTACAGGCAGGCCTGGTTTTCCCCGGGCACCCGGCATCCCTGGCAAACCTTGGCTACCCTGAAAGACAAGGCAGAAGGGGTCAGAGGAGAGACTGAGATGGAAAATTTGATTGGACAGCTTCTTAAACTTTTTCCACTTGCAATCCCTTTCGGCCTGAGAATTTTTTTACGTGACCTCAGTTATATAAGTTTATAAAATATTTACTGATAACCAATCAGCATTTGTAAGTTTTGCTAAATAGGCTGATTTTCCTTTTTCTGAAGGGCAACTGGAGCATCTTCTGCAGAGTCCACTGTAAACGCTGCACAACAGATTTGTGTAAACGTTGAAAACAGCCACTAGGTGGCATCCAGAAATCTTTTACTATTGCCAAATCTTTCGGGATACCAATATTGAGCTACAGAAGGCATGGGCAAATGTTCTAACTTGGGGCTGCATGGCAGGCCGAAATGGGGTGGGCGGGCCAGGAGGGAGGGGCGTCTCCTGAAGTCCCCTCCCTGCCCTTTCATCCTCTTCTCTTTCGGAGGCAAAAAGTGAAGGAAAGTGACGAAATGTTTGGATCTCAAAAGGGTTAGCCTTCATCAGGATGAGATGGTAGACAGGAGAGAAAAAGTGTATCCATTAGACCCCATATTGCATACTCTTGATATATGATCCTTAAATCCTAGATCTGGAAGAGACCTCCAAGGGCCATTCAGTCCAACCCCCTGCCATGCAGGAAGGCACAATCAAATCACTCCCGATAGACAGCCTCTGCAGAAAAGCTTCCAGAGAAGGAGACTCGATCACATTTCCAGGCAGCCTATGCCACTTTCCAACAACTCTTAATCTCAGGAAGTTCTTCCTAATCTTTTTGGTTGAATCGCTTTCCCTGCAATTTGAACCCATTGCTCCCTTGTGCCCTGGTCTCTAAAGCAGCAGAACATTTCTCGTGTTCCCGCTCTACCTTCTCTTCTCCCAGGTAAATATCCCCCAGAAAGAAAGAAGGAAGGAAAAAGAGAAGGGAGGGGGAGATGGATGGATGGATGGATGGAAGGGTGGAATGGAATGGAGGGAGGGAGGAAAGAGAGAAGGAAAGAAAGACAAAAAGGAAGAGAGGAAGGAAGGGAGGGAGCGAAGGAGGAGAAAGAGAGGGAAGGAGGAAAGAAAGAGGGAAGGAAGGACATCAGAGTGGAAGGGATGGAAGAAGTGAGGGAGAAAGAGGGAGATAAGGGAGGGAAGAGAGAAGGAAGGAAAGACAAAAGGGAAGGAAGGACAAAGAGAGAGAGGGAAAGAGGGAAGGAAGGAAAAAAGGTGGAGGGAAGGAGTGAGAGAGAAAGAGGGGGTAAGGAAGGGTGAGAAAAGAGAGAAAGAAGGAAAGACAAAAGGGAAAGATGGAGAAAGAGAGAGGGGGAGAGAGGGGGAGAGAGGGAGGAAAGAGGGAAGGAAGGATGAAAGGGTGGAAGGAAGGAAGAAGGAAGGGAGAAAGAGGGAGGAGAGGGAGGGATGGAGAAAAGACAAAAGGGAAGGAAGGAAAGAGAAAGAGAGCGGGAAAGTGAAAGGAAAGAGGGAAGGAAGGACAAAAGAGTGGAAGGGAAGGAAGGAGGGAGAAAGGGTCTTAAGGGAGGGAGGGAAGGAAAGAGAGAGGAAGGAATAACAGAGAAGAGGGTAGAAAAAGTGAGAGATGAGGGTCTGACAAAAAGCCCAAGGGGCCGCATCTGACCCCCGGGCCCAGATTTGCCCATACCTGAGCTACAGGGATCCCATTTGGGGTCGAGATCCCCAGTTTAAGGAGAAGTGGACTAGAAGACACTTTATGATGCCTTGCAATTCAAAGAGTCTGGGAGTAATTGAGAGAAAGCACCAGAATGAAGTGGGGTTTTCCTTTTCTCCAGGAAAAGAAAAAACAAACCTAGCTAGCACCGAACTATGGACTAATCTTTATACAACATAGGAAGAATAAATTCAATTCGATTCAGATGGATACATTCCATCAAGGAAACCATGGATCTGGAAATGCAAGGCTGTGGGTGATAGGGTGACATGGAAGTCCCCCATTCATAGGGTCAACACAAATCAGAGCCAACTTGACTGGTAGTAAACAACAAAGAGGGATCAAAACATCATTTACCTTGTCTCCTTGGAATCCAGCATCTCCTGGAATCCCCGGCATTCCCTGCTCACCCTGAATACACATCAGCAAAGTAAGTTACAACAGGCATCAGACAATGGGCAAAACCTATGCCCTAGTTAATGGACGTTATTCAATTGGGCAGAACAGGGGAAATATCATTCTTAAAGCTGTTTTTGAGACAGAACTGGTGGCAAAAGATCTGAACACGGTTTCTGAGTGAGCCAAGGCAGTTGTTTTTTACCGGAAGCAAACCAAAAATTCAGTGAAGTGGGTCTGAAAGGAAACTGCTTTGCTTCAAAATGCTTGGCACACAGTTTCAAACTATTTCAAGCTGTTAGATCATCTTTGAGCTGTTAATGTGTTTACAGAGTTGTCTGGTCTATATAAATTATTAGGATGGTTGAAATTGTTGAAATTCTTTTCACTGATTTGTATTATACACTGCCCTGAGATCTTCTGGTACAGAACTGGGAGAAAAACACAATAAACAAACCACTAAAACAAACATTCAATTAATATTTGTATTTCTTTTATATTTCAAGACTTTCAGGAAAACCTATTTGCACGAAATTTAGTGCAGGATATTGTGTACTCTTCTGAGGGGGAGGGGGAGGAGGTAGAACAGGAAGCTGAGGTTGTAGGAGTTGGGGATTTGGGGCCAAGTGTTGAAGAGTAAGAAGAGGGTGAGAAAAATATACAGCTGGTTCCTATGTTTCAGGAATGCCAAAGGGCAAAAGAAGAAAGGAGAAGGTCTGCTAGAATTGCTGCAAGCACGCTGATCAATCAGGTCTTGCCCTGGGAACGCCTGTGTTGGGAACTGGGGGCTATAAATCATCAGTAAAGCAAGTGGTCAATGCTGGCAGCAACCATTCTACATAGTGCTTCTGTGCTCTAGTTTCCTTGCTTGCAGCTCCAGCATCTGTGAAGCACCTCGCAAAGACGTTTTGCCCAAGACCCTTGTTTCATGTCTGATGCAAGACATTTTGCGTTGTTTCTGGGATGCAGAAATGCATATATTTTGCCCTGAGTCCATTATTATTATTATTATTATTATTATTATTATTATTATTATTATTATTTGAAGGAACATTTGTTTTGGTCCTGACAATGAAGATGATGATGATGATTATGATGATATACTTTATTTATATTCCACTCTATCTCTCCAAGGGGACTCAGGGTGAATTACGGGACACATATATGGCAAACATTCAATGCCATTATACAATTAACAAGAACAGACAATACATAAACAGAGGTATTAGATTTTCCCATCTTTTTCCATCTCCAGCATCTGAAGCCTGGTGCTCAACTCTGGCCACGGGGAGGTGCTATCATACCATCTTCCATGCCGAGGAGCTTTGTTGTCCATAGACGACCTCCCGATCAAATTTTCGGCGTATCTTTATAGGTGCCTTTTATTACCTTCCCGCTTAAAGCAGTACCTATTTATCTACTCTTTATTATCGATCTGCTAGGTGAGCAGAAGCTGGACTGCCGGCTGGGAGCTCACCCTGACCCAAGCTTGAACTGTCAACCTTTTAATTGGCAAGATTTTCTGCAGCTGGCGGTTAACCCGCTATGCTAAAGCCTGGCACTTTTTGTCCATTTTTTGTTTGTCTTGGCAATTTTTCTCCATCAAAATAAAAAAAAACATCAAGAAGAAAAAAATAGAAACGGAAGGAAACGGAGAGAACCTTGAGGAAGACATCTGGAGGTCAAAACACATTGTTTTGTTTTGTTTTGTTTTGAGTGGTTTTGTTTTGTTTTGTTCTTTACTGCACACATTTTTTCCTTTTTCTTTTCATTCTCTTCTATTTCCTACTTTCTTCTTTTCTTCTCTATCAGTGGTCTTTATTATTATTATTATTAATTGTTTTTATGAAAAATTTAAATAAAGATCATTTATTAAAAAAGAATTTAAAAACATCAAAAATTCACAGAGCTTTTGGTTGTGTGAAGGTACATTGGAGAATAAATCAGGCAAAAATCAGTAACCCTACTTTAAGCATATGAGTGGGAGTTAAACACTCATAAAGTGCCTGAAGGAGAATTTCCGAGCCAGTGACCAAATTCTAACATTTTAAATGTAAAAGGGAACAGCAGGAAAAAATAGATTTGATCAGGGCTCTGCAGATGGAATATATTGGGTATGTCTGGAGCAGAGGTTAGAAAAGTTAGATGCCAGGCTACAACCGCTGGAATCCCCAGGATGGAACTTGGGGAGTTGCACCACAAAGATGTAGTTTTCCTATTTGTGGCCTGGACATCCATGTTTGAATTGCAGTTGGACATTAGCGTGCTTGAACACCAACCACAGTTAAAATTGCCAAAGCTTCTCAGGTTCCAGTGACATAAAGAGCTGTCACTAATCAAGAACAGAAAAAGGGGAGGCTTTTGCTGTCCTCTTAGGGAGCACAACATGAGAGAAAATGGGTAACAAGCAAAGGAAAGAAAGAAAGCCATTTGGAAAGAATTAGGCAATGCTCTCCAAATGATTTATCCCCAAAATGTAAACAGCTGACTGAAACAGCCATATTAATGGCTCTGTATTGTGTTTATTAGCATTCCTTGACCACCCTGATCCTGAGGTGAAGGAAGCATTATATTTTTGATGACTTCATAAAAGTATATAATGAAACATACATTGAAACTTAACACCTGTCAATAATGTCACCCTGGTCAACTGAATAAGGCTGACCAAAAGTACTTGATAATGGGATTTCTCATAATAAAAGTGTTCAAGGATGCACTGATGTGCAAATGGGTGGGAAAAGCTCATAGCATGTGGAGAAAAGAGCATGTCCAGATCCTACAAATGTTCACCAGCCATAACATGGCAATTTGGGGGGCTATATGGGAAACACAAGAATGGCCAACAGACTGGAAAACATCAACTTATATCCCCATACCAAAAAAGGGAAATGCTCAAACCTTCGTACAGGGGCACTTATTTCTCATGCCAGTAAGGTAATGCTCAAGATCCTGCAAGGAAGACTCCAGGAAAACATGGAGAGAGATACTTGCCAGATGTACAAGCTGGCTTTAGAAAAGGTAGAGGAACGAGAGACCAAATGGCCAATATCCGTTGGATAACAGAGAAAGGCAGTGAGTTTCAGAAAAAAAGTCTATTTCTGTTTTATTGACTATTCTAAAGCCTTTGACTGTGTGGATCATAATAAACTGAGGCAAGTTCTTGGTGGTATATGTCTCCTGAGGAATCTGTATAATGACCAAGTAGCAACAGTCAGAACTGACCATGGAACAACAGACTGGTTCAGTATTGGGAAAGGCATATGGCAAGGTTGCCTACTCTCACCCAACCTATTCAACTTGTATGCAGAACACATCATGAGATGTGCGCAGCTTGATGAATGCAAGGTTGGGGTTAAAATTGCTGGAAGAAACATTAACAACCTTAGATATGCAGATGATACCACTTTGATGGCCTAGAACAAGGAGGAGCTGAGGAGTCTTCTAATCAAGGTGAAAGAAGAAAGTGCAAAAGCTGGGTTGCAGTTAAATATCAAAAAAATGAAGATTCTGGCAACCGGATTGACAACTGGCAAATAGCAGGAGAAAACGTGGAGGCAGAGACAGGCTTTGTATCTCTAGATGCAAAGATGATTGCAGATGCAGACTGCAGCCAGGAAACCAGAAGACCTTTCCTTCTTGGGAGGAGAGCAATGACCAATCTCAATAAGATAGTGAAGAGTAGAGACATCACACTGGCAACGAAGATCCACATAGTTAAAGCAATGGTAGTCCCCATAGTCACCTATGGATGTGAGAGCTGGACCATAGGGAAAGCTGAGCAAAGGAAGATAGATGCTTTTGAACTGTGGTGCTGGAGGAAAGTTCTGAGAGTGCCTTCGACAGCGAGAAGATCCAACCAGTCCATACTCCAAGAAAGAAAGCCTGACTGCTCATTGGAGGGAAAGATATTAGAGCCAAAGTCCTTTGGCTACATCATGAGAAGGCAGGAAAGCTTAGAGAAGACAATGACGCTGGGCAAAATAGAAGAAAAAGGAAGAGGGGCCGACCAAGGGCAAGATGGATGGATGGGATCCTTGACGTGACTGGCTTGACTCTGAAGGAGCTGGGGGTGGTGACGGCTGACAGGAAGCTTTGGCCTGGGCTGGTCCAGGAGGTCATAAAGAGTCATAAGTGACTGAACGAATAAACAACAAACAACAACAATCACAGCAAAAGTATGAGTTCTGAAAGGCCTTGTATGATTTGGTCAATCCAGGAGTGGAAGGGAATACCAATCTCAACAACGACCCACAAAAGAGGTCAAGAGGTCCAGGATGGACCTAGGTTTGTTCATGTCATTTCCAAGATGCCAATCACTGTGTGTTATTTGAGTAATAAAATGCATGAGACCAGATCACCAAAGTTGCTGAAAGTATTTTCAACATGCCTGATTTATATGCTGCCCACTGCACTTTGCATTTTATTTATGTATTGAATGTCTAAGCTACTACCTCTAGAGCAACTCAAGTGCACGTGGGCATGGAGTGCGCCTTATGTTAGGAATTACTTCAGGGCCTCCAAATGCATTGATCAGGCTCAGTCTTAAAGGAATCTCCTCTGAGCACAGCTAGTTGAAATACGTAGAAGATGAACACAGTGGAGATTCCTTGCCTGCAGATCTCAGCGCAGAGACACCGACAGCAAAGGAGGAGAGAGACATCAGCTTGTGCCAAGCAGGATGTGGGATGCCCTGAAAATGCAGAATTCCTTCTTTCTCTTTCTCTCTCTCCCTTAGACCTTTGCAAGTCAGCAGGAAAGCAGCAGATGGAATATGTTAGATCCAGCAGGGTTGCTCTCATCTGATTTGAATTAATAATTCGGAAAGCGTTGCAAGCAGAGAAACAGGAGAGTCGGATTGCCATGGTGTTCCTCCCACTGAACCAGGATTGCTATCAACCCATTGTTTAAGGAGCTCCATTGGCTGCCGTTCATCTTCTGGTCCCAATTCAAGGTGCAGGTCATCACCTATAAAGCCCTGGATGGTTTGGGACCCGCCTACCTTTGTGACTGCATTTCCTACCATAAACCTGCACGATCTCTTCAATCTTTTGGAGAGGCCCTCCTTTTGCCCCTTCCTCTATCACAAGCACAACTTGTGGGAACGAGGGAGAGAGCCTTCTCCAGTGTTGCCCCCCGGCTCTGGAACTCGCTACCAAGTGAGATTAGGCAAGCTCTCACCCTAGCAGCCTTTAAGAAAGATCTAAAAACTTGGCTTTTCCGATGTGCCTTCAGAGAGTGACCATTCAACCCATTTTGTTTGTTTTCATCTACAATTGTCCTCATGATGCACTTTCCCCTGTCGTTAACAAAGGACAAACCCCACTGCTCCCCCTTCTTGGGCTCCTCCCTTACAAATACACTTTTTAATACACTCTTTTATTCCCATCTCATCCAGGGTTTTAACATTTTAGCTTGTGCATTTGGCCTGCCCTTTGTGTTTGATTTTTTTTTATTATGTTACCTTGCACTGTTTATTTTATTGTGTTATTTTATGTGTTCTGTTGTTTTGTTTTGTTTCTGTTTTGCTGTATTATTTTTGGGCTTGGCCTCATGTTAGCCAACTCAAGTCCCCTTTGGAGAGATGGTGGCGGGGTATAAATAAAGATTATTATTATTATTATTATTATTATTATTATTAGATACACAACAAGATGAGTCCACAGCAGACACTCTGCTGGCTGTTGAATTGGATCACACGTCAGACACTTCCCAAGTGTCTAGGACTGTGAGATGTATCGGCCAATAATGCATGCAGATCCCAGTAAAGTGGCCTTTTGCAGCTGGCAGCTGGTAATTTTGTCAGTGCCAATTGTGTTTAAGTGCACGCCAAGGTCTCTAGGCACTGCACCCAGTGTGCCGATCACCACTGGGACCACCTTGACTGGTTTGTGCCAGAGTCTTTGCAGTTCGATCTTTAGATCCTCATATTGTGTCAGCTTTTCCAGTTGTTTCTCTGCAATCCTGCTGTCACCTGGGATTGTGACATCGATGATCCATACTTTGTTTTTTAACACGATTGTGAGGTCAAGAGTATTGTGCTCCAAAACTCTGTCTGTCTGAATCCAGAAGTTTGGCGTGTTCATTCTCTGTAACCTTTTCCGGCTTGTGATCCTACCAGTTCTTTGTTGCAGGCATTCTTGTTGTTGTTGTTGTTGTTGTTGTTGTTGTTGTTCTTGTTGTTATTGCAAGCACCTCTGGGGGTGAAAAGAATGGCACTGCCCTGGCTACTGACAAGCCAAATGTATTGGCAGCTGTATCTTTGTACCATGCTAGAGGTCAGAGAGCATTATCCTGCATACCTGAAGGCAGTAGACTAGGTTAGGTATTTCAAGGTACATTGTGTGGGAGATGTACAGTATTCTCTCTTTTTCCCCTTCCAAATGCCTCCTCGCTGTTCCCCAGCATCCATTACTTAAGGTAGCCACCTCCCTTCAATGGTAGGACAGTTTGGAATCTTTTCCTTCTGGAAAGGAAAGGATCTGGAAAACTTGTTGGCAAAGTTGGTCTTTCTCAGGTTGGAAACCCAGGACAAAGAGGATTCTGGCAGTGGCTAGCTCAGGCAAGGGAGCTGGTTTCAGTCTGAATCTGAAAGGAGCTATCCAAGATGCTGAACTGTACAACTCAAATAGCTTCAGCTCAGTTCAGCACCATTTGGGGGAACAGGTTGGATGATTATTTTACCAACATTTTTAGAGGGATATGAAAGAGGTCTACAAGGCACAGGGTTCTCACCCCGTTCTATGCCAAGCCAACTATTTGATTTGCAACAGGTACAAGAAACTGTAGCATATGCACTCCAATTGATATTGGGGGAGAAAAAAGTCCACTGAAAGAGTGAGAAACGCAGCTTAGAAGCAAGACATATTTCCCTGGGATAAAAAGAGATCAACAGTATTCCTGAACGTCAGGATATTTTTTTTACACAGCATTGTATTACGTACAGAATGAAGATTGACAGCCCATGTTACCTAGAGCCTGGGCTAGACTCACACTTTTGCCACCAGACTGTTAAACAGCCTAGACTCTGTGTTGTTGAAGGCTTTCATGGCTGGCATCACCAGGTTGCTGTGAGTTTTCTGGGCTGTATGGCCATGTTCCAGAAGCATTATCTCCTGATGTTTCGCCCACATCTATGGCAGCTATCCTCAGAGGTTGTGAGGTCTGTTGGAAACTAGGACAAGGGAGGTTTATATATCTATGGAATATCCAGGGTGGGAGAAAGAACTCTTCTGAGATAATGCTTCTGGAACATGGCCAGACAGCCCGGAAAACTCACAGCAACCCAGGCAAGATTATATTTGATTACATTTAAGCATTACAAGATATCTCTTCTCGGGAAGCAGAAGGAGAACGTAAGTCTTCAGAGGATGCGTCCTTGAGATAATCAATATGCCCTGGTTAAGAGCTTGGAAAGTTTATTGATTTGGACTGAAGCTCCCAGAATCCCTCTGAAAAAGAGTTGCAGTCCAAAAAGATAAAATTTCTAAACTCTGTTCCTGAAAGAAAAGGGAGGATTGGGGGAAATGGGATAAGTTTAACAGGAGCAGGCAAGGAAAAGAAAAACAATGGAGGCAATGACGAGGGGCAGTAATGTGAAGAAAATGGGAATCTCATGCAAAGAAGTAACAACAGTGCAATAAGGGAATATTCAGATCACCTTATCACCTTTCAGTCCGTGTTCTCCGGGATTTCCCATCAGTCCCTAGTTTTGGGAAGGAGGGGGAGAGACCAGCATTATATTATTTCTCATTATTATAACCACTAGGTACACAGCCTGAAAGGGGGGGGGGGCTTGGAACTTTCTATTATCTAAGAACGATCCTTCCTGACTATTCAAACAAGAAGCTAATTACTGCTGAGAAATCGATGCACAAGTGTATCTCTGATAAAGTCACTAACAATTACCAATTGTAAATATAGACCGATTTGTTCACTAATTTATTTAACATTACTAATTTATTGTTGAAGGCTTTCATGGCCAGAATCAATGGGTTGTTGCAGGTTTTTCGGGTTGTATGGCCATGTTCTAGAAGCATTCTCTCCTGACGTTTCGCCTGCAACCTTACAACCTCTGAGGATGTTTGCCACAAATGCAGGTGAAACGTCAGGAGAGAATGCTTCTAGAACATGACCATACAGCCTGAAAAACCTACAACAATCCATTACTAATTTAAGTAGCAATGTGGAATAGAAATACAGTAGAGTCTCACTTATCTGACCTAAACGGGCCAGCAGAACGTCAGATAAACGAAAATGTCAGATAATGCAGAGTATCCTACCTGTCTGACGCAGTGCTAGACACCTAGAATACTAACAAAAGGGACTCAACGAGTTAAGGTAAGGCAACACCCAGCAGGACGTGCCTGGATGTGAAAGAGCAGCGTGGAAATCACAGAGGGAAGAAGGGAGGACACTTCCGCTTCCGGTCCTGCCTCTTTTCCCCCTTTTCTCCCCCGCTCCTCCTCCTCATCTTGCCCTTTTCACTTATTGGGAATGGAGAGAGAGTTGAGGGAGTTCCTTTCATTGAAGGGGAAATGCTGGAGGAAAAGGAGGCATTGGATAACCGCATCGGACAAGACAGAATGTCGGATAAGCAAAGGTTGGATAAGCGAGACTCTACTGTAAATACAACAATCACAATAATAATGTTCTCTTGCTTAATTACAGTAGATCCATTTCATCCAATAAGACCTCCTTTCAATGGCTTTGCCACCACTTTCTCAACCCTAGGAGATAGGAGATGATGCCAAGGGTTTTAACAAATGAAGCCATGGTTTTGCCTCCTATAAGGATGCCAGACTTTGTGCATGCAAAACATATATTCCCTACAACAAATCAGCAGCATCTAGCAATTGGAAGGCTTCTCACCTTTAATCCTTTTGGCCCTGGAAAGCCCATTGGTCCAATGGCACCCATGTCGCCCTGGTTGGATGGAGAGAGAAGAGGAAGAAGAGAAAAAAGTCAAGCTTGGGCATCCCGGTGAACAACCAAGCCCTCTCACTGTCAACATAAAGGGATGACTGTGCCTACCATTATAATTCTGACATCCAGAAACACATTACAAAGCAAAATAGATAAGCCTCGAGGATGAAAAACATCATTAAAACAAAAGCTATAGCAGGATTGTTTTTGGAAATATTTTAAGCCTTGTTTTGTAAACAGCTCAGAAAGAATTTGAGTCTATCAGTCGGGGAGATTCATCCACACAGGGAGAGGGCTTTATTTGATTGCTATTGCTGTGTGCCTTCAAGTCATTTCCAATTTGTGGTGAATCTATCACAAGCATGGGCAAACTTTGGCCTTCCATGTGTTTTGGACTTCAACTCCCACAATTACTAACAGCCTACCGGTTAGCAACAGAGAAACCACCAAATTCTGAAGGCATGTGACAACAACTTTTTTATGATGCCACTCCTCCTTCCCCCCAACAGGATAAGGTCCCTAGTCCAAGACTAAAATCAAGAAAAATTGTGAGGGTACAGACCAATCATGGGCAAATGGGCCCTCCAGGTGTTTTGGACTTCAACTCCTACAATTCCTAACAGCCTCACATCCATTCCCTTTCCTGCTGAGGGGAAAAAGGAAGGGGCTTGAGGCTGTTAGGAATTGTGGGAGTTGAAGTACAAAACACCTGGAGGGACCCAAGTTTGCCCATGCCTGGTTTAGACCTAAAAGGCCCTTGCACACTCCAGAAATGTAGTGCTGCTCTTCCACTTAAATTGACATAATTGTATCCCATGGAATCCTGGAATTTGTAGTTGAATCCAATTGCAATGAGCCTTAGTACCCCATCAAACTGTACATTCCATATGGTGCAACCACAGCAGTTCAAGTGGAAGCATCATGCTACAATCATGTCATGTGAAAAGGAACAAAACAAAGGATTGGGTGCCACAATCGAAGGGAGATGTTGACGAGCTGGAATGTGTCCAGAGGAGGGCAACTAAAATGATCAAGGGTCTGGAGAACAAGCCCTATGAGGAGTGGCTTCAAGAGCTGATCATGTTTAGCCTGAAGAAGAGAAGGCTGAGAGGAGACATGATAGTTATGTATAAGTATGTGAGAGGAAGTCATGGGGAGGAGGGAGCAAGCTTGTTTTTTGCTGCCCTGGAGACTAGGATGCAGAACAATGGCTTCAAGCTACAGGAAAAGAGATTCCATCTGAACAAAGCTTTCGGACAATAGATGTAAGAAGCACTTTAGAGGGACATGACTGGAACAACAATACGGCTGACAAGACTGTTTTACTGTTTTTAATGATTGCTTATGCATTGTTTAACTATGATTTATGTTCAATTGTGGTTTTATTATTGTAATTGTTATGCAGTGGCCTCTTAATGATAGCCATGTATAAATATGTGAGGGGAAGCCACAGGGAGGAGGGAGCAAGCTTGTTTTCTGCTATCTTGGAGACTAGAACGCGGAACAATGGTTTCAAACTACAAGAGAGGAGATTCCATCTGAACATGAGGAAGAACATCCTGACTGAGAGCCGTTCAGCAGTGGAACTCTCTGCCCCAGAGTGTGGTGGAGGCTCCTTCTTTGGAGGCTTTTAAACAGAGGCTGGATGGCCTCTGTCAGGGGTGCTTTGAATGCAATTTTCCTGCTTCTTGGCAGGGGGTTGGACTGGATGGCCCATGAGGTCTCTTCCAACTCTATGATTCTATGGTTCTAAAGGAAGGTGGGAGGAAAGGAAAAAAGAGATATTTGTCCTCTCATCTGCCTACAGCATTTATCTTCCAAATAGATTTTGGCAGCATCTGCAACCTCCCAGCCCCCCATAAAATGGGAGAAAGGGAAGTCTTGAGATTTGGGAAAATGAAATTAAATGGGGCAAAATGACAAAAAGATTAAGAGTGGTCAAGTACTACTACTACTACTACTACTACTACTTTGTGCTGGTCATGGACCGTAATAGTTTTGTTGTTATTGTTGTTGACAAAGTCGTCTGGAGTAATCTCTTCTCCCTATGAGTTTGCGACCTGCCCAAGAAAGGACCCAGAGCCCAGCAATTTAAAGACTTTTAAACAGATTGATAGTGATGGTTTTTATCCTGCCCTGACTCTAGAATTGAGTGGGTTATCTCCAGGCTGGCCTTGAGTGCTCAACTGCCTTGTATAAACAAGCAAGAGGCTGGCTGGTTTTGCAAAAGGTATATTTCTCTAACGGGTGGCTCAGGAGGCCAGCACCAAGCCACGGCTTTGTAGGAGGAACAGATCTCTTTTTCATGACGTGGGAGAAAGGGCTCGCTTCATGAAACTGGCCAGGATAAGCCAGCCCACACAAACCTAGCGAACTCATAGATCAAGTTCTGGCCATTGATGGACGAATGCCCGGTGCCAGTGTGGAAAGAGACAGCAAGGAGCTGTGGTCCTTAAGGTACCCAGATTCAAAAGGAGGAAATGGGCAAGAACAACCAACTTGGCAAGAGGCAGCACAGTGGACTGATTGCAACAGCGGAGCAAAAGTGAAAAGATCCATTTCTAGTCCCCCATGAAGCCATGGAAATTTACTGGAATCATAAGTTAATCATGCCTCTGTTAGCCAGCCATACTAACATGTCTTCAGTAGGGAGGAGGAAAATCTTGGTTGCTTCCATGAGCTCACAGGAAGAAAGATGAAATAAAAATATAGGAATGGTGATGGTGATTGAGCAAAGAGTGCCACGAGGAGTGGTTCTCTGCCTGGAGAACTAAAGCCACTCGATATCTGTCCAAAGTACTGTAGGCTCAATCGAACAGTACCTTGGACAGTTCTTTTTAGGTTTGAAATAAAAACCAGCATGGATTCACTGCTCCACTGACCAAGGATACAATTATTCATTTTATTTATTTACTTATTTACAACATTTATATTCCACCCTTCTCATCCTGAAGGGGACTCAGGACAGAACACAGAACACATACATGGCAAACATTCAGTGACACTAAACAGACAGGACAGACAGGAGATAGTATTATGCCAGCATTTTTTCCAACTTCGGCGTCTTGGATGTTGTGCTCTATTCCGGCCACAAGGGGGCGCTGTCGCTCCACCCTCTATGACAAAGAGTCCTTGATCACATACTTCCTCCTTCATTTGATCGCCAGCATTTTTTCTGGCATTTCCTTTAAGGTGCCATAAAATACCTCCCCACTTAAGTGGTGCCTAATTTCTCTACTTACAGCTCACAACTGTTTTTGAACTGCTTAGGTGAACAGTAAGCTAGACTGAAAATCGGGTGCTCACCCCAACCTGAGCTTCGAACTACCACCTTTAGATTGATAATGTTTATTGCTGCTGGTGATTAATCAGCTGTGCTAAAGCCCGGCTAAAGCTGTGCTAAAGTTTATTCTTGAGAGAAAGCACCCAGTTTTCAATGTCTGCTTGCAAAACAAACATTGTTGTGGTTGTTTTACATTAAAACATGTTCCCAGTGTTTTGCACCTTGGAATGTCTGTCCACCTCCTCCTTTTTAAAACTTTGACTAAAGGTGGTCAAAGGGTTGGAAACCAAAATGGTCAAAGGTTTGGAAACCAAGCCGCATGAAGAACAGTTGGGGGAGCTGGGTAGGTCTAGCTTGGAGAAAAGAAGGCTGAAAGGGAACATGAGGGCCATGTTTAAATATTTGAAAGGATGCCGGACTTTAGCACAGCGGGTTAAACCACCAGCTAAAGTGAATCTTGCCAATGGAAAGGTCAACAGTTCAAGCCCAGATCGGGGTGAGCTCACAGCCCAGCTTCTGCTCACCCAGCAGTTCAAAAACAGCAATGTGAGTAGATACATAGGTACTGCTTTGGCAGGGAGGTAATAAAAAAGCACCCATGCGGAACATGCCGGTGATTCGATCAGGAGAGTGTCTAAGGACAACCAAGCTCCTCGGGATGGAAGAATGAACGACAGACCCCCCCACCCCAATGGCAGGGTGGAGCACAGCCTCCAGATGCCGGAGATGGAAAAAGATGGGAAGCCTTTACCTCTGTTTATGTACTATCTGTCTTTGTTAATTGTATAATGGCATTGAATGCCATATATGTGTAATGTAATCCACCCTGAATCCCCTTGGGGAGATAGGGCAGAATATAAATAAAGAATATTATGATTATATTCCCATTGAGGATGTGACAAGTTTGTTTTTTGCTGCTCTAGAGACCAGGACACAATGGCACAAAACTGCAGGGAAAAAAGATTCCACTTAATCATGAGGAAGAACTTCTTGATAGTAAAAGCTGTTCAGCAGTGGAATGTGTTGCAGTGGAGTCTCCTTCTCCTGAGGTTTTCAAGCTGAGGCTGGATGGCCATCTATCAGGTGTGCTTTGATTGTGCATAGCAGGGGGTCGGACTAAATGGCCCTCATGGTGTCTTCCAACCCTATGATACTATGATCCGCCTTGCTAGGGGTGGATCCCCACCCCTAGCTATGCATCAACCATATAGAAAAAACTTACAGGGTCATTTAATTGAGAAGTAGTCACTTGGGTGTCCCAGAGGAAAGCCAAGAAGCAGAGTGTGAAGACCATCTCCCACAGTGGCTTCCTATCCTCTGACAATATCAGACCAATATATTTCCCTTTTCTCGTGTCAGGAGTGACTTGAAAAACTGCTTCTGGTGTGAGAGAATTGGCCATCTGCAAGGACATTGCCCAGGAGATACCCGGATATTTTGATGTTTTATCATCATTGTGGGAGGCTTCTCTCATGTCCCCGCATGGGTAGCTGGAGCTAACAGAGGTGACCTGTCGGTCTTCAGTCCTGCTGGCAGAAGGGTTTAACCCATAGCACCACTGGAGGCATATACTGTATATACTCAAGTATAAGCCTAGTTTTTCATCCCCTTTTTTAGGCTGAAAAATATCCCCTCGGCTTATACTCGAGTCAAGGCTATTTATTATTTTACTCTGCTATTAGTATTATTTTTATTACATTTATTATTTTACTCTATTATTATTATTACATTTACATTATTTTACTCTATTATTACTTTTATTGCATTTATTATTTTACTCTATTATTGTTATTATTACATTACTTTATTATTATTATTACTATTATTATTAAATTTCCATTATTTACTCTATTATTATTTTATTACATGTTATTACATTTATTATTTTATTCTATCATTATAGGTAATAGGTAAGCACATTTACATTGAAGAAGGTTAGAATAATGGTTGAATCAGAGTTGGGCAGTCTTATCTTAAATTACAGTTTTGTGTAAATACCCAGAAACATTTAACCTACTGATGATTACCAGTAGCAGCTACATTTCTCATCCTCAGTTATACTTGAGTCAATACGTTTTACAGTTTTTTGTGGTAAAATTAGGTCCCTCGGCTTATATTCGGATTGGCTTATACTCAAGTATATATGGTATTTCCCTGTCTGAGTCAAAGAATAACCATTCCATGTATCAGAATTAATCGCTGAATCCACTTTCCTCATTGAGAAGGAAATCATCACCCTCTGTCACTTCTGGAGGAGGCATGGTAGCTTAGCCCGCTGTTATTTTCCTCTCAAACCTTGCTGCTGCATCATAATATCTGCTGCCTGAGACAATCGACTTATTATATCTAATGGTAGCTTGCAAGTCAGGGAGTAATGAGCACCTGAAACTACCTTATGGCGAGTCAAACCAATTGTTTACAGAGTCCATTCAGTATTGTTATTCAGGCAGCATTCAGGCAGCATGTGGGCAGACACATAGAAGGCCTTCATCTCCGTTATAGTTGCAACTCCCTACCAATCTATGAAAACACACCTTTCTCCTGGGAAAAGTAATTCTTCATAGTTGTTTTGGCCATTCTGGAAATACGGCGACTTTCACACTCTGCATCTATTCTCAGTATCCATTCGCCATTCCGTCCCAAACAAAATAAAGGCATGCAGTTCCTGCATGGCTCTAACTGCAAGTCTCGGAAAGAGTTTTTAAAAACCTCCAAGAGAACATACACACTCCCCCCTCCAACTCCAGCCCCAAGATATAAAGAAGTAGTAGGGAAAGCCTTCCTGCCTGCACCATACTTACAATGAGTCCATGAACTCCAGGAGGGCCTAGGACACCCACATCTCCCTAAAAGAAAGAGAAAGTTCAGCACGGTTATGGCCTTTTCTTTGTTAACAAACAGAGAGTCAAAAGTGCCTCAGTGTGGCAGAATTTAAGGAAAGGGGAAAGAGGGAGGGAGGAGGGGAGAGAGTGCCCCCTCCTTTGCCCAAGCAATCTCCTACTTCCATCTTTTGCAGGCATGTTAATGAAAGGGGGGCAGTGGGTCCTTCCAGACACAAGGCCTGCTTGTTCTCCTCTTGCAGTTTAAGTCCAGGCAAGACCCATTTCCTCTCCCAGGAATGGACAGGAGAGGAATTCACGGTACAGTTTTTAGCAGAAAGGGAAAGCTGGAGGAAAGTTGAGGACAAGGAAGGAAGGAAGGAAGGAAGGAAGGAAGGAAGGAAGGAAGGAAGGAAGGAAGGAAGGAGGAAAGGAAAAAAGGAAGAAAGGAAGGAGAGTGGAGGGAGGGAAGGAAGGGAAGGAAAGGAAAGGAAAGAAGGAACGAACAAACAAACAGACAAAGGGGAGGGAAGAAGGAGTGAGGGAAGGACTAAGACTTTATTATTTTTCTAATCTGCTGGAATGCACACATTAAGATTACAAGTCTTTATCTTTAAGTTCTCAATAGTCAATAGTCCTTTGAGTGCTCAATAGTTACTACTACTCCCAGTTTAAAGGTGTGGGAACAGCAGCTGAGTGAAGAAAATTGGCAGAAGATAGAACCTCAACATAGGTCTTTCGGATTTAACTCACCATTCATTTCTGCCACAAAAAAAAAAAACCAACCCAAAGACATATCTTCACTGGAGAAGTGTTTGTGTGTATGAAAGGGAATGTATGAAGGACTAGAGGATGGAACCGGCCTCAGCACTTCAAAACGTAAATAACCCAAAATAGAGAATGGAGCTTGACCTACACTTCAGAGCAAAGTTGCTGAGAACAGAATATGTTACCAGGTGGAAACTGTACATTTCCCTGAAAAGGTGTGTGTGTGTGTCTTGAGTTCAGATTTAAAGCTTGAACACAGAACTTGACTCAATCATTGAATGGTAAATCAGCACTTAGCTCCATCTCAGTGATCCAGTGGGCCTACTCAACTTGGGACTATTTATTAATTTATTTATTTGCATTATTTATATTCTGCCTTTCTCTACCTCGAGGGGGACTCAAGGCGGCTTACAATCGCACCTCCATTGTGCCTTAAAACGTACCACATCAGTTAAAACACAAGTTAAACATTAAAGCATAAGTATAATAAAAATACATTTCAATGAATCACATCATCCAGAGTATAGTCTGAAGGCCAATCCATAGTCAAATTACACATATTCCATACAAACATTCCTGCACTGCTCTATTTTTGAAACATCTGCTCCCAGAGTCAGGTTTTGACTCTCTTTCTAAACACTAAGAGGGAGGGGCTGTCCTGATATCACTAGGGAGGGAGTTCCACAACCGAGGGGCCACCACCAACCGTGCTTGCGAAGAAGGTGGGACTGAGAGCAGGGCCTCCCCAGACAATCTTAATCTCCATGATAGTTCATAAGGGGAAATACGTTTGGACAGGTAGGCTGGGCCAGAACCATTTAAAGCTTTATAGGCTAAAGCCAGCACTTTGAATTGTGCTTGGTAGCAGATTGGCAGCCAGTGGAGCTGATGCAACAGGGGGTTGTATGCTCCCTGTACGCCGCTCCAGTGAGCAGCCTGGCTGCCGCCCATTGGCCCAATTGTAGCTTCCAAGCAGTCTTCAAAGGCAACCCCACATAGAGCCTGTTGCAGTAACATATACAGGATGTAACCAGAGCATGGACCACCGTGGCCAAGTCATACTTCCCAAGATACAGGCGAAGTTGGCGGAAAAGTTTTAATTGTGCAAAAACTCCCCTGGCCAACACTAAGACCTGGGGTTCCAGGCTCAGCGATGAGTCCAGGATCACCCCCAAACTGCGAACCTGGGGAGTGTAACCCCATCCAGCACAGGCTGTAACCCTATGCCCTGTTTGGCCTTTCAACTGACCAGGAGGAACTCTGTCTTGTCTCGATTCAATTTCAATTTGTTCGCTCTCATCCAGACCGTCACAGCTGCCAAGCACCAGTACAGGACCTGAACAGCCTCTCTAATAGCAGGTGGGAAGGAATGATAGAGATGAACGTCATATAGCCCAACACCAATCCACTTTGTTTCTCTATGTAGAATTTGATATAAGGTAATGCTGCCATTTTGGTTTGTTGCTTGAAGCAGAAAATGTCTTGATATGGCCATAAATGTAATTAACTGCTCCATGCATGAACTCAGTGCCAGGTCAAGGCAAGGGAGAATTACATTAAGTGCTGAAAGAACCAAGTGGCAGGGAGCACTGGGGTTGTTTATTTTCAACGGAAAGCAAAGCCAACCTTATTGTTATTGGCTTTAGGTTGTAGTTCTTCCCATCTAATAAAGTCCACAACAGGAGTGCAACAGGAGACAGGAACAGTGACAAGGAGGAAGGGGAAAGGGATTGGTTCATCATTGTCCTCCTGCATGCAAGATATTTGACTGAAGTATTTAACACTTTGAATAAAGGTTGGTAAAGATTTCAAGAGAACTTAACATGACAACTGAGAAGGGTGGCTTCTTTGAATTGGCCCAACCATTAGCCCAACAGACAGTTCCTTAGTATATTCTAACAGAGATATAAAATCATAATTGAATGGTTACCAACTTACCGGGTTGCCATCAATGCCGGGGGGGCCACGTTCCCCAAAATCACCAGGAAAGCCCTGAAGAGAAGAGGGCGAGAGGGAAAACCTCTTGGTTACAAAGCAGAACAAACCTCACAACCTCTGAGGATGCCTGCCATAGGTGTGGGTGAAATGTTAGGAGAGAATGCTTCTGGAACATGGCCATACAGCCCAGAAAACTCATAGCAACCCAGAACAAGATATGGATACAAAGAAGGCAAGTACAAGTCCTGGAAAGCTTTTGCCTCTTTCCTACTCATCACATCCAATTGCCAATTGTTGCTGATTAATGGAATGGTTGTTTCCGCTTTCTTTCAACCCAGTATTTAAAGTAGTTAACAAGAGAAACTGTAAATCATTCCCACCAGTACAGATGATTTAAAAACAAAGCCAGAAAGATGCAGTTAATCATTTCCAACCTATATTTATGGAAACGATTAACAAACAGAACTTGTTAAATGTTGTAGCAAGACATTGCAGCTCCTGCCTTTTTCATGTTAGCTAACTTCAATATCACTTTGACTGAGGCAATCATATGAAGGAGGGACCTCCAACTCCCATTATCCTCAACAGCTCTGCTTAGGTCAGTGGTTCCCAACCTGGGGTCCATGGAGCACCAGTAGTCCACAAGAACTAAAATAAGGTCCGCAGCCTCACAATTACTACACCATTGCAACAAGAGCGATTGGTCTTGGGAACCCCTCTTGAAGTGCCATCAACATAGTTCTTTTTTAGTGTTTTTTAACCACTCTATGTTGGATTGATCTATACATGAAGGTTAAATGAAAGGATCTCTGATCTATAGCTACAGTAGTACCACCAATAAACACACATACTGAAGGTTTGTGCTAATTAGTCACATCCCTAACCATGTACAAATCAGTCATTCTCTATGCCAGCCTCACATTTCATTTTTTGCACAAATAAAATAATAAAATGTAAAATATCAAAAAGGATTACCACCTCACCCACTTCATAAGAAATCTGCTACAAAACAGATGCTTTTTTGTTGAGTTCCAGGGTGAAAGAAGCAGATGGCAAAAACAGAAGAGCGGCCTACATCAAGGGAGCATACTTGCTCCATCAATGTTTAAAATTTACACAAATGACCAGCCATGCCCAGAAGGGACAAAGAGATTCATCTATGCTGATGATCATGCCATCACCGCTCAAGAAGGGAGATTTTAAATGGTTCAACAGAAGCTCCCTGAAGCTTTAGGTGCTCTTAGTGCCTATTACAGGGGAAACCAGCTGATTCCTAATCCATTTAAAATGCAAACGTGTGCTTTTCATTTTAAAAACAGACAAGCATCCCGAGGTCTAAGGATTACCACTGGAGCATTGCAGCACACCTAAATATCTAAGAGTTACTCTGCACCTTGGTCTGCTGTATAAGAAGCAGTGCTTGAATATCAAGCAAATAGTGGGTGCTAGAAATAACATCATACGAAAACTGACTGGCACAATCTGCGGATCAAAACCAGTCATGGTGAAGACATCTGCCCTTGCGCTTTGCTACTCTGCTTCTGAGTAAGCATGCTCAGTGTGGAACATATCTCACCATGTTAAAATAGTGGATGTAGCTCTTAATGAGACATGGCGCATTATCACAGGATATCTACACCCTTCATCACTGGAGAAATTATACTATTTAGCCATATTGCACCATCTGACACTAATTGGGAAGTAGCAGCCAGTAATGGAAGGACCAAGACACTGACATCGCCGACCCATTCCCTGTTCAGATATCAGCCAGCATGCCAATGTCTTAAATCAAGAAACAACTTCCTAAGATCTACAGAAATACTCACAGGAACACCTCAGAAAGCAAGAGTCCAAAAGTGGCAGGCTACCTAAATCCATGGCTGATACTGGATGGGTGACTCCCTCCTAGGCACACAGAAGATGGGGTGACCTGGAAGATGCTGAACAGACTGAGCTCTGACACCACAACATGCACAGCTAACCTTAAGAAATGGGGCTACAAAGTGAAGTCCATGAGTGTGGAGAAGAGCAAATCATAGAACCATCTATTACAATGTAGTCTGAGCCTGCCACATGTACAATGGAAGACCTTCTTATAGCAACACCAGAGGCACTCCAAGTGGCCAGCTTCTGGTCAAAGGACAATTAGTATAATGCTAAGTCCTTAACATTGTTTGTGTTTCTAAATACATTACAATTGTACCCTCAATTTGCTTCTGACATGATAATTAAATAAATACTACGCTGCCTGGTTTTGCTATCATTATCATTCATCATGAGTTTCATGGCCTACCTCAATCTTTTTACCATTGAGGAACCTTTGAAATCATTTTCAGGTCTCATTAAAAATACTATATCAAAAACCTTTTCCTTTTTTAAAAAGGCTTTTTATATGTTCACAATCTCCCAAAAAGCCCCCAGTAACCTTTCACAGAATCCCAGGTTTCGGAAAACCTTGGTTGAGAAATCCTAGTCTACCTAGAGACATTTGGACCACCAATGATTTTGATTCTGTCCAAAAAAATATAGAACTCAACAGGGAATTGTGTGATAATGTGGCACATTACAAGCAGGGTTGCTTTCTGTAATTGTGCGATTGTGATTCCATCTATGGTAATTTGTAGGTTTGGTTAATTTTTCCCTCTTTGTCTTCAATTCTGGGATTTTTACATCTCTAATGCAAGTTGCTGTTGCCACTGTTGTCTCCTCTTCTCTGTTGTTGTGAAAATTATAGAGAAAGGGGGGGGGCGGGTGCGTTATGCTCTTTCTTCTTTTGCATGGATATGATTTAGCAATAGATCAGAGAAGGCGGTTTTAGTTTTCTAAAAGTATCCGAACGCCAAAATGCATGATCTGCACCGGAGATTAGTTGTTTCAACTCTTGTGCATCATTTATCTCTCCACCTCGTTCTATAGAATCAAAGGCAGCCTTGAAGTCAGGGCAGGCAGCAATACAAATGATCTTTTCTTTCAGCTTTTTCCATATTGGTTAATCAGATGGGCAAGAGTGAGTATATGATCCATTTTCAGCGCAAAGGCGGGCTGGTCTGAATCTACTTATTCCTTGAAGATAATGATCATTTGCAACACACAGCCCTCCCATTTACAAAGCAGATATTTGGCATCTAAGCAGTAATGTCAATCAAACAGACAGGGCTTTTAGCATTTTAGGTGATATTCAGTTTCCACTCTTATAAATGGCTAATATAACACTCTTAAACTAGCTAGATTTATAGCATCCAAAAGTTGCACCGTCCCCAGTGAATCTCTTTTGCTCAAATGGGTGACCATCCTTGCCAAAAAGCCAATTAAACCTTCACTTCTTTTAATTTTTTAGAAATAGAAAAGTCATGAGAAGCCAAACTATTTTGAAGAAACTGTTACTGAGTTTCCATCTTCTTTCAAATAGCTATATACACTTCCAATGTGTACATCGAAGTGAAAGTGGTTGAAACAAACCAACCAGATTTTGTAAATACAGAGTTGCAAATACATTACACTGAAATAGAGTTGCAAAAAGATTGCTGTCCTAGTGAAAGACACTGCCATACTAGTCTGTACATGTGGCACTTTTGAGATTAATGGGTCATTCATACTACACAATTATAGCACTATGGTTCCACTTTAGTTCAGATCTGCAAATCCAAACAAATTGAGGAAAGAATCCTGCCTGAAACCAGCTTCCTACGCGCTGCATACTGACAGTTAAAAGTTCATTTCCTGGTATCCTCATATCAAATGATACTGTGATTTCAAAAACAATCTGTGGATGACAACTTTGAAGTGCTGTTGTCATCAAACACACAGGTCTGGGCTAAACCGTGGTGCTGCAGTGGCACAATGGGTTAAACCATTGAACTGTTGAATCTTCAGTTTTTGAAGGTTGGCAGTTAGAAGCCATAGGTTGGTACTGTTAGACTAGCTCTTGCCAACTTAAAGGTAAAGATAAAGGTTTTCTCCTCACATTAAGTCCAGTCATGTCTGACTGGGGGTTGGTACTCATCTCCATTTCTAAGCCGAAGAGCCGGTGTTGTCCATGGACACCTCCAAGGTCATGTGGCCCACATGACTGCACAGAGTGCCATTACCTTCCCACCAGAGCAATACCTATTGATCTACTAACATTTGCATGTTTTCCAACTGCTAGGTTAGGAGAAGTTGGGGCTAACAGCAGGAGCTCACACCACTCCTAGGATTTGAACCTGCAACCTAGAAGTTCAAAAACATGCAAATGTGAGTAGATCAATAGGAACCGCTTCAGTGGGAAGATAATAAAAGGCACCCATGCAGCCATGCCAGCAATGCGACCAGGAGGTGTCTACGGACAACAGGCTCCTTGGCTTGGAAATAGAGAGAGAGCACCACCCTATGGCCAGAGTTGAGCAGTGTCTCCAGAAGCCGGAGTTGAAAGGGGAAGCCTTTTTCTTTGTTCTGTGTAATTGTGTGTCATTGTTATTTCACTGTGTTAAAGGTGGGGAGATCACTGCAGATGTAGACTGCAGCCAGGAAATCAGAAGACATTTCCTTCTTGGGAGGAGAGCAATGACCAATCTTGATAAAATAGTGAAGAATAGAGACATCACACTGGCAGTGAAGATCTGCATAGTTAAAGTAACCTATGGATGTGAGAGCGGGATAATAAGGAAGGCTGAGCGAAGGAAGAGAGACACTTTTTGAAGAGGCGTTGAAGGAAATTTTTGAAAGTGCTTTGGACTGTAAGAAGATCGAACAAGTCCATACTCCAGAAAATAATGCCCGATTGTTCACTGGCAGGAATCATAGAATTATAGAATCATAGAGTTGGAAGAGACCTCATGGGCCATCCAGTCCAACCCCCTGCCAAGAAGCAGGAAAATTGCATTCAAAGCACCCCAACAGATGGCCATCCAGCCTCTGTCTAAAAGCTTCCAAAGAAGGAGGCTCCACCACACTCCGGGGTAGAGAGTTCCACTGCTGAATGGCTTTCACAGGAAGTTCTTCCTAATGTTCAGATGGAATCTCCTTTCTTGTAGTTTGAAGCCACTGTTCCGCGTCCTAGTCTCCAGGGCAGCAGA